TTCGACGCTCACGTGATCGATAACGTGCGAATCGTTGACACTTGAACGCTATTTTTTCATTCAAAATAATAAAATTTCACGATAAAAATAAATTTTCAGAGTTACAAAAACAAAAAAATTTTAAATGTAATTAAAGATGTAAAAAAATAAAAATTCCATTATGCGTTGCATTTCAGTTTTGCCTTGATTGAAATAAAATTATTATCGCAATTATTATTCATATATAAATATATAAAATAAATTTTCAGAATTACAAAAACAAAAAATTTTAAGTATAATTAAAGATGTAAAAAAATAAAAAATTCCATTATGCGTTGCATTTCAGTTTTGCCTTGATTGAAATAAAATTATTATCGCAATTATTATTCATATATATATAACAAAACGTAAAATCGGCAATTTAATTTCTTGGAATCCTTAATTTTTGATTACTTAAGTTCTTTTTAAAATATAAAATAAAAGGTGCCAGAATTTTGTCGAAAACGAGATACTGATTTTGCAGGGATAAATCGAGAGAAAGCTAGCGAAGTCTAAGACGTTTCTGAGATGCATACGGAATACAGGATGATTTATTACTGTTATCATTGGCGCCAAAGTGAAAATAGAAAGAGGTTATCGCGTGTAAGTACGCAGGGGGTCTTCGATAAACCCGGCAACTTTCTGTTTCGACAGAAATTTTTTATACACGAGAAACAAACATTAACTTTTCCGACCTTTCAGAAGATGATGAAACTCGTATATATATATATTGACGAAAATAAAAAGACAGGAAGCGGAGCAAAAGCAACAAATGTCACACGCACCATCCGTTTATTTAATTCTATTTTTCTCAACTTTTTCTCCTTTTCTCTTTCAGAAATGTTTTGATTATATTTATTTCACTTAAAATTAAAAAAAAAGTGAAAAGGATGCAGATCTAATTAGGAAGATCTCCTGAAGCATCATGATAAAACGAAAGATCCTAATGAGATTCCACGTGTGTTACCAAACTGGAGGACACGAAATAATCACGTGTGCAATGAAGACATGAAGACCACTCGGAGAACACATGCATGCGTAATTTAATCTTTCTTGAACTTGAACTTGTTCGTTTTTTTATCAACATGTTCTTTTCAGCAATTCTTTTTCTTTTATATCAATCAGTAATTAAATGTGGCGAGGCGTTGCATTACGGCGATAAAAGTCGACACCATTACGTAACAAAAGAATGCATTATGCAGAGGCAAAACATATGTGTTATAAAAGAACGAAGCACCCCCAAAAAATTGACTTTAACAAAGTTAAAGTCGATTAAATTAACTCTGTGTGATTCCGTTCCGCATGTTAAAAAAATTATATCGAAACAGATTGTTATTTAAACTTATTCTTTAAAAGAGGAAATATATCAATTTTTGAAAAATCAGAAATTGATGTTAAACTTTTTACTTACTTCGCAAAATATGCGATAAAATATTAAACTTATTCTTTAAAAAAGGAAATATATCAATTTTTGAAAAATCAGAAATTGATGTTAAACTTTTTACTTACTTCGCAAAATATGCGATAAAATATAAAAACTACTTTTCGTAAGAATTTTTATTTTTTTTCTCATTTAAAGAAAAGAAAGGCTTCTTGATCGCCATCTAATGGATAACTATGTAAAATAAATACAGTTGATATGCTAGAGAACTGCTATGCTATATATCACACAATTCAATTATAAACAAAAAATTAATTGACTTCTTTATCTAAAATTTAAAATATATAAAATATATAAAATACAACGTTATATATCATACATATTTAATAAAAAATTATAGTAAATTAATCTTTAAATTTCAAAAGTTTCTTGAAGAGAACACGCGATATTAAATAAAATATACAATGAAATTATTCTAATTATATATATAAAACATTAATTATAAAAAATTTCTTAATAACAAATTTCTTGTATATATAATAAACTCGTCAATTTTGGGGAATTGCAAGAACAAAACGCGATGAATCTGCAGGAGACCCAAATGATACCCTTCGGAAAAGGGAGCGTCTGTTGTGCGTCCTCCTCACTATCATAATAAGGGATACTCTTTATCTACACGATTAGTGCACGTGAGAGACGTATATTTAACACCACCACCAACGTCGGCCGCGCCATACGCCGAGTTCTCGGGAAGAAAGGCGATAGCCGGCGTGGATCCAATTTTGTCTGTAGATCGAGTTTCGTGCCCTTCGCGCGCGCGCGTGTCTGTGTATATATGCATGTTAGTATAATATAATAATAGAGTCGCGGAGCGAGACGCACAAAGATAAGGAACGTCGTCGCGTCGTGTCTCACGTGACCGATCCTTCCGAGAAGATCCTCGTTTTCGTCCGATCTGATTCATCCTCGCGAGAATATTCGTGAATTAATAGTAGCGGGAATATATATGCGAAAAATATACGCGGATTTTCAATTGAATTGAATCAACAACCGGAAATTGATTCCGCGAAATTGAAATTCCGCGATCTTCGAGAGGGAGAGAAAAAATGAATCTTTATTTAAAAAATTGTTTGTGTTCTTTCCTTTCTTCCATGAACGTTAAATTTTTCAGAATTAATGATAATAATAATATCAATTTTTTTATACACAGAGAGAATTTTCTCTTAGAATTTACCCTGAAAATCATGGTAATCGTGGGACAATAATATATGTTCGATTAATTTTTCGATTAATATGTACATAGTAAAATTTATATTATGTACATATTAATATTTTTATTGTGGTAAATATTAATTAAAGAAACTTTAATTAAAATATTTACCACAATAAAAATATTCTAAGCGAAAATTCTCTCCGTGTATAAAAATATTGATATTATCATTAATTTTGAAAAATTTAACGTGAAAGAAAGGAAAAAACACAAACAATTGTATATAATATTTTTAAATGAAGATTTATTTTATATTCATAAATTAACTGTTTTAAAATACAAAATATTTGAAAAATCAAATTTGATTTTATTTCTCTTTTAATTAGACTCAGTTATGCAATATATATGGAATCACCAATTTTTTTGATTTTGAGATTTTTATTGCAAATTGTGCTTGAATACATCAAGCACAGTTTGCAATAAAAATCTCAAAATAAAAAAAATTGAAGTTGATTTCATATTGTATAACTGTGTTCAATTTAAAATTTTAATTTCTTTTAAATTTTTTATTTTATGAATATAAAGTATTTAATTTCACAGAGAGATTAATTTCTCTCGTGTCATTTTAATTCGTTACATTCTACAGCGATAACAGAATCAGATAAAGAATATCAGAGATATCATATAATATCATATAATAATAATCGATATATAACGATGATTCATTATTTGCTCATTGAAGTTTAAGGTATCCTTATCTAAATAATTAAGCAATACTAATAACATTTCTACAAAACGGTTATAAACGCGTTTTTTTCAAAGGTGTCTCATTTTTTTAAAATATTTTGCGGATTCTTTAGGAATATTTTTTCAACAAATTTTGCATCTAATATTCGAGATTAGAGAAAACAAATATGTTTATGAAAAAGACTTACGTAAAAAAAAAATTTACTTTGCAAAACTAACACTTCTGTCATCGTGCCATCATATTAATTTATTCATCGCAGTCGAATGGAAAATCAAAGGATGAAAGTACGAACGATTTGCATAAGTAAGTGCTAAACTGCGTTCTTTTCTTTATTCATCAGAAATACCGAATATCCGTGCGAACGCGCAAACTTTGCGTTGTGCATATTAAAATTTACACGCGCCGCAACGTTGAATCGTGATATCGCACGCATCGGTCACACGTGACCGAAATGGTCAACGCATGGTCGCTTAAATATAAATATAATATGTATATATATATATATATATATATGTGTGTGTGTGTATGCGCGCGTGTCACACATTAATACGCTAATATAAACGTGCTTGCCTTTGGGACTGCACCGCAAAAAATTGATGGCTGGTACCGCAAGAACTTTTATCCCCGCAAAAAATTTCTATTCTTGGATTACTTTAGAGTTTCCTTAATTTCTTTTTATCTCGATATACGTAACGACATTTTATATATATTTTAAGAACGATTAGATAAACAAGCTTTGTCAATTATTCCAGAATAAAGTACAATTTAACGATGCTATTACTATAAATGTATGTAATATGTATAACTTGTATTAAAAAAATAAAACAATAATAAATATGCTTATTAATAATTTAATTTTTTGTTAAAGAATGATTTAATTATTCAATTATTGCGAACAAAATAAAAATAAAAAAACAGCCAAATAATTTGAGAATTATTTTTTATTTGAAAAATTAGACGTTCATGAATTTATAAAATAATAAATTGCTTAATTATTAGTTCTAATTTATTTGTTATTTAAGTAATTTATAATCGCGTTAGAGATGAATAAAAAAAAAAGAAACTATCACAGCGAGAGGAAAATTATATCGTGTTACATGTATATTATAATATTGCAATACGAAATAACGGTACCTACTTCGGTTCGACATCCCGTAAGTACGGCATTGATACTTGTTTAACCTTCAAACAGAGAAGTCTAAAAATACAACACGCAGTCGCATGTAGTTTGTATGAAACATGTGTATTATTTTTAGTCTTTTTATTATCAATTAATGTAAGAAATAAAAAATGGAAATAATATTTTAATCAGAATGTGCTTGTTTAAATTTTATTACATTTTATATTCTCTGCTATATATAAAAAATCAAGGAAATTGATGATTAAATTATTCGCGTTGAATTATTTATAGAACATATAAATTGTTGTTTGAACAATAGTGTAAGATCGCTTCGAATAAATAATCGCTATATAGTATTAATATATATATTACACACACACATATATACAAAATCTAAAACGTCAGTGTTTGATTGTGATAAGTCTTTTATCACAAATCCTAACGATTGAAATAGATATTTAGCTGGTTAAAATAAGTAAGTCGGAGCATCGACTAATAATTTGAAGTGTCTAAATGTTCCTACCTTTAACGTCGAATCTGGCATTTTTCACGAAACGTCGAGCATCACGAAGAACATTTTGTATCGCGGGAGGCGAAGGCGCAAAGTCTGGATCATCTGCGTCGAAGGACACGTTTTCCTCGAATTCTGTCAGTGTCGTCGTCTCTGTCATGCTTCGCCCAGTGACAAAACGCGCCTGAAAGAATAAGCCTAAAACATTCAAAGACAAAACAAATCGCCTCGTTAAAAGCATCATCCATTATGACACGGAACCATTACGTTATTACGAAACTTTTATTGCAACGCTATTCATTCTACTTATAAAACGATACATGTGTTTGTGTTTGCGTCATTACATAACTCTCCACAATTAGTGAGACACGTTTATTCTCCCAAGTATTCCGAAAGATATATATATATATGTATATGTTATACCGTTCGATCGTGATAATTCTTTCGCTGCAAGTTCAAGTCATTGGGCAAGTTTTAGGCTAAAAGTCGACGATACCCGAAGTCGTGTGATTATTGTCGCAAAAATAAACAGCGGTAATCGTTACCTGTATCGACGATAATTACATCGGCATTCCCAGCTTGCTGTCACCGTCGCGACATTCGGTATCGCGATTTCACGGATGATTAAGAGAGAGAGAGAGAGAGAGAGAACCGCTCTGTACGTTCCTCCGTAATTTTTTCCCCCCCAAATGGTCCGCGCGCGACGCGAAGCGGCGACCGACTGACACCTGACGCGTCTTATCGCGCGGGAAAATCGCCGCTAGCAGACGATGTGCGGCCAACGTCAGACCGCTTTCTCGGACGCGGTTCTTCGACTTCGAATCTATCGTTCTCGCACGCGATAAAATCGAATGAAGCTTCTAAATCTCTTAAAATTCACTTCGAAGAAATAATAACTGTTTTTCAAAATTACAATATTCTTTTATGCATGTATTATTGTAAGGCTATATTATTATTTATTGTCGCCAGAGATATCATATATGAATCTTAAATTTCGATTTTTCATCTTTTAAGAATAAATATGAATTTTTAGAAAGAATCTCTCTAAAGGATTTACGAAATTTTATACATTTATTACATGTATTTATACACTAAATATTTCGTATAAAATAATATATCTTTTTTTTATTTATGTTACTTCTATGGAATAAGTTATGTGCTTACATAAATAATTAACTTATAATTATTCTGCGGAATAAATGTGCACATAAAAATCAACTCTAATATAGCAAATTTCATATAAATATAGTGTTAATTTCTTTTTCTTATTATATAATTAAGAAATAATAACAGATACAAAATTATATTTTTCTATATATTATTGTAAAACCATATATTTATTTGGTGCCAGAGATATACATGTTATTTCGATTCTTTTTTGAAGAATGAACATGAATTTTTGAAAGAATCTTTAAAGAATTTACGAAATTTTATACATTTATTACATGTTTTTACACTATATATTTCGTATAAAAATAATACATCTTTTTTTATTTATTACTTTTATGGAATAAGTTGTGCATAGATATCAATTAAACTAATTATTCTGCAAGATAAATGTATATATAAAAATCATCTCTTTAATGGTAAATTTCAAAGAAATATAGTGTTAATTTCTTTTTCTTCATTATATAATTATAAAAGACAAAATAAAAAAGTAAAAAAAATATTAATCAATTTCATTATACCTTTCTCTTATTTAATGGCACATCATATTTGAAATAAAATCCAAATGATATAAACAAGATAAATGCCTAAGCAGTATGACTTTAATTTACGTATTATTTTACTATAATCTAATGAGTAGTTTTACATAGTATTTTATATAAACTGTATGTTTATCTTCCATATGTTCAAAATTGTCATATATAAACAAAATACTTGAAGGTAAACCTTATATGCAAATCATTAAAATAAAGAACAAATAATTATATAGTTTAAAACTTACAGACCCAGCTGTAATATGAAAAAAGATTATAAAATAGTTTGTGAATTATTATTGGACGAGTTTTTTATCCGCTTTTCGTACGCATTCCAAAGATGTTTTTTATATTCCAAAGTAGCCTTTAAATAACCATGGGAGGCTTCTGTGATGCCTCTACCGACAACAGCCAAATCAGCACCCGCATTGATAACCGATTCTGGATTGTGATATTGTTGATCTAATCCATCATCGCTTTTGACTAATTTGACACCAGGCGTCAACTGGAGCAGTCCATATTCCGCAGAAAGATTGGATTGACACACAAGGCCAACCACTAGGTCAGATGCCTCTTTCGCCATCGACACTGCGCTTTGCAAATAATCACCGGTAGTCAACGCACCCTTGGATGACATTTCAGCGACAAGAAAGATGCCACGAGGTTCCGTGATGTTCTCCAGACCTTTTTTTAACGCGTCGATAACTGATGCGCCGGATACCGGATGCACTGTGATCAGATCAGCCCATTCGGCGATCTTATATAAGCCATATCTATATTGCAACGACACCGTGTTGCCGATATCGCCAAATTTCCGGTCTTCCATCAGTAAAAACTTGTGCCGCTTCGCTAGCTCCTTGAGTTGAAGAATAAAACTCTCATTAAAATCTTCTATAATGTCAATGTGGGTTTTCAACACAACGATGTGAGGACCAGCTACATTTGCCAATTCTAAAATCGCGTCGGTTTTTTCAGATCAGCTGCCAGACACAGATTGCTTTGTTTAGACTCCATTAGTTCCAGCAGAGTCGAGGCTAATGGATTTTTTGCTAACTTTGCGCGTTTACTGTATGACAGTCTCAATCTGTCATCTGGTATAGCTACAGTACCTATAAGCAAAAACAACAGATATTATAGCAGATGATAAATTATATAAGTATATATGAAATATCAAAGAGTAAATTACCTTGAACAGAAACGTTCGGAGCCTGATTTGTTTTCAGATAATCATCAACATCCTTAACAATTTCCGGCGTAATCTTTCCAGCCTCAAGAAGATATTTCATGAGCTGCGACATCACATACAAACTCTTGACCTTGAGTCCATGATTCTCGAGATTCTTTTTGCCACCTTGCTCCCTATCGATTATCACATATGCTTTTGTTATATTCAGATGTTCCTTCTTCAAAGCATCAACAGTTTCCAGAATACTGCTACCACTCGTGATGACATCCTCGATGATCACACAGTTATCACCAGGTGAAAATGCACCTTCGATCAGCTTCTTCGTGCCATATGATTTTGCCTCCTTTCGCTTTATTAACATCGGAATGTCATTGTCCGCAGAGATCAGGGTGGCTAATGGCAATGCTGTGTACGGAACTCCACAAATTTGGGATACTTTTGTAGTGTCATCCGAAAGAGTCCACAGAGCTCTTGCTAACTTAGACTATAATAAAGTAATTAATAAATTATATATATTATAAGTTATATAATATAATTAATATAATAAATTATATAAGATATATAATATACAATTAATATAATAAATTATATATAAGTTACATAATATATAATTAATATTATAAATTATACATATACATAAAATTTATATTTTATAAATATAAATCTGTCATGGATTCTCGTGTTATATCATTCATATATATGTGTAAATATATTTACCATTAATTTCGGGTACGAAATTACCACTCGCAGGTCGAAATATACCGGCGTTCTTAAACCAAGTTTCATCTTGAAGTCCCCAAATTTCAGGGCTTGGACATCATATAGCTCTACGGCCAACTTTTTCAAATACTCTTCCATTTTTCTGTAAATAAAAAAAGATGTGTTAGAGGAAAAAAATTTATACGTAAGATTAAATATTCTCACGACGACCACCTGTTCGGAAATAATTCTCGGTGAATATCAATTGTATTTTTTTACTCACAAGTACTTTTAAGCTTTAATTCGTGATTAAAATTTCTCCTAATATTTTTGGACATTTTATTACAAAATAATACTGTGAATAGAACAAATATACGTACAGTAAAAAAGAAGAAAAGGAGTGACGAAAATTTAGCCTAAACTCGGCTAAAACACGTGTCCATTTGATACCAAGTTCGAACAGTGACGTCACATGAAAGAAAGATCCTTCTTGTCAGATGCAACATTTAGTGCTTATAAAATCGGCATAAATTTGTAATGTTTTTTTCCTCACATCAATAAGATAGACTAAGCGCATTAAAATATTACATATGTTAACATTATGATAAATTATATTATATTTCTGAAAAATTACATTTATCATTTTTTATTTCTATTCACAAATCTCGATGAACTATGTACGCTACTGAAAGTCAGCTGACTGTGACGTTTTAGAGTTTACGTCACTGCGCATGCGCGAGAGGATCCCTTCCCTGCATAAATAGAGTTTGAAGTGCAGAACTTCAGGGGATTAGGATCAATTAGGATTGCTTCGATGATTTCGTCGTCCTGAGTGATCAATTAAATAAGTGTCCAAGTATTTATAAAACAAACTGTATTTCAAATAAGTGCGAAATCACGAGAATAAAGAGTCGCAAAATCTGACATAGCGAATAGTGACGATATTTTGATACGCGATCAAAACTAATACGTGGATCGGCGAATCTTCTAAAGGAACTACAACGGAACTTTTTTGTCTTCTTGATGAAGATGTGATCGCCTTCAGTGTTTCAGGTATGTGATAATATATTATATATCGAGATGTTAATGATGACGGTGGAGGAAGGAAGATTGATGAAAGAAAAGGTAAGAAACGCAAGATAAGATTTATACTATACAACAGTGATTGGTTATGTGTAACACAAATATATTTCATTTTTATTCGAAAACAACAAACACATCTAGAGATCTTGGGCGCCAATTTTGCGCGACCGCAAAACGCATACTATGCAAGTGTCTATATGTGTATAATTTATGTGTGTTGGACACTCTCCTGTCTCTTCGATATACAATATACACACACACTCGCTTAGGTATGTTACAACTTTATTAATAACCGCGACACTGATTCATGTTCGCAAAAACGAACAGCGAAATATATATACACACATATATATTATAAAAAGTTTAAGTAGATTTTCAAGAAATAAATCAGAATTATATTATGATGAATAATTAGGTATATGATATATTATTCTGTTGTACTTCGGACATGTGTTGCAGTCTTTTTTTTATTTTTATATACAGGCATCTATAAATAAGTGCAAAAAATTTTAGGGGCTGATTCTTTGTCGAAAATTAAGGGGAGTTTCTTATATAAATATCGCAATACTTTTATATCTCTCATTCCTGAAGAATTATATTTTTCTAAAGAGGGAGGTAAAAATTAAATTTTTTCTCAAATTTCAGACAAATTAAAAACATGAAAAACTTGGTGAATATTTTCATTTTTTTAATTTGTCTAAAATTTAAGAAAAAAATGAAAACGTTTTTACCTCTTTTTTTTAGAAAAGTCCTCCGAGAGGGATATATGAATATATAATATATTTATATAAGAAACTTAATTTTCGACAAAAATCATCTTCTATAATTTTTCGCACCTATTTAGATACATCCTGTATTTTATTTCTTTGATAAAATTTGCTTATTTTTAATAATATATGCTTATTATGTCGTTGCTTTGTACTCTCTATTTCGCTGTTGGTGCTTGCGCACAAATAATCCGCAAGTTATTAATAATTGCGAAGACAAATGAAAAGTCAATGGATGATAGTCAATGTTGCAATCGATAATGATCCCTTGAATTCTATTAATTATTATGAATGAAATGAGGCGACGAAGTACTATAATTCAATCTTATGAGACCTTATACATATATGTATATGGAGAACTTCATAATTAATTGCAATTCTACGTAAATGTACATTTTACATGATGTTTTAAATTAAGCTGTGCGTCCACCTGAGAATCTCTTTTTCTTTCATTTGAAATCTGCAGCGTGCAATGAGTGATAAGATTTTTTTAATACACGCGCACAGCTTCGAAATTTCACAGTCTCGATAAAAAGACATTCGCTTCGTTTGTCATTAAATGTGATTGATTGCTTTCGATGAATACATGCTTTTATAGGCCATTATTACATCGTGACAAGATATCCATCTTGCGAGATTTGGCTATTGAAAGTGTGTCCGCTTTAATGAAAATGTTTTCTGTCTTTATTCATTATCTCGATTAATTATCTTCTATCTACTACGGATTTTTCGTATCATGGATCGCGAATTTTTTACAACTGATACCATCAATTTTTCGATGATAAATGATGATTCTCGGATAAATGTAATTTGTACCATTTATAGATCCTTAAATATCTTTGTTACAGAGAATCTTTATTTGATACGAAGATGCTCGATAATGTCCTTGTTCGGTGTATCATTTTTCAAAGGAAGAGATAGACAAAGTTTCTAATTTATAAGCTATTTTAAAAACGTAAAATCGTACCTATGGTCCACTTAATTTACTCAAAAGTCCTTACAGGATATATTCAGAATAGAGGCTACAAATTTCGAACATAGTTCGCTGTTGCTTCAAAACGCGTTACATGTCCTCGATACCGCGAACGTTTCATTTCACGTGTGTGGAATGTATATTTTAATGTATATTACACTTGGCTAGATTAAATAGGTCTCTCTACTGTCTTTTTTTTTGTCAGTTTATACCTCGTTTTTTCGCCGTGAACTGTTTTCTTGCCAGACTAACGCTTATAAGATCTCTAAATACAGTATAATATAATTAATTTCAATTCTCTCAATGGCCAAGTCAATTGGACTCTAATTTGATATATAGTAATTTTCTATAGGTACTCCACTACACTGTTTTTCCAAAGTTCGTATAAACCCTGCTAAAATTTCACCGACTGTTTTCATCGGCGGGTGGCCGCGACCGAAAAGTGGGACGTATTTATATATATAAGATGTTTTTGCACAGAGAAAATTCGTCCCTCTTTATCCCTTTTAATCTTCATAATATATAGTTACTCATGTCAATTTACATTAATGAGTTCGAAGTTGTCCTAACGATTGATTTATATGACTTTTATACATGAATGAGTATATGAATATGCATGAATTTTAAGAATAATGTTTTAATAATGTTTTAATTCTACTGCATTCGGTTGGCCACCTATTACTACTATCATTTAAACTTATCCAAAAATTGTATCAAATATTTTTCGACAAATGTATACAAGAAACTGACGGGTTCTATGGTGTTTTGTAATTTTAATACGTGCGTGTGATAAATTAAAAATAAATTAAATATACAATTAAAAACTTTTAGAAAGTTTAATATCAAGTCTTTTTTACTTTATAAATAACAAATAATTTCAATGGAATTGTATAGTAATTATATTTAATTATATTAAAATTCAATATAAAAATATAGATATTGTTATGCCAATTGATTTAATATTTAAGAGAAGCATGTTGGCAAAGCTAATTAACATTTCAAGTGCAGCAATTTAATATAATTTTATTTAATTTTCATAGAAAAAAAATGTCAACTATTTTATATATAACTTTGTAATAATTTTTTTCTAGTTAGAGAGAACACGTCAGATTCTATTTACATTGTTTACAAAAAACATCATTCTAGAAAAAGAAGAATAAATAAGAATATTTCTGATTCGTTGAGAATTCATTGACGACGGTTTTTATCGTTAAAAGAAATGTTACTTTCAATATCGGAAGTAAATCGTTATCGCGATAAATCCATCCACTGCTTTGTCTCATAAAAAAGATCTTACTACTATTCGTCTATTCGTCTAATTTGAGGAATTGTTTAATTGAGGCCTGTACATTTGGCGCATCGTCAGCACTACAATTATTTTTTGGTTGGTTATTTTCATGTGCAATTATTATTTTTAAGTCGTATTTAAAAGTGAGTTTTAATAGCGGAAAAATGTTTGTGCATTCTGTATTTATCATTTTCTCGCAATATAATATGATAAAAAAAAAAAACTTCTAGATATAATAATTGATTGAGAAAAATATTTTTGACTAGCTTAACAATCAATAAGAACCATTAATTAATATATTCAGTGATATAGAGAAAAGATTCAAGTAAAACAGCTACACAAAATAGACATTTAAATTGCACGAATAATTACAGACATGTGCGTCAACAATAACTATCATATTAACAATAGATTTCGATACTATCATGTAATAGGTAATAATTTAATAATTATGCATCGCGTGCTTTAACGATTATTACATAACGATATATTGCTCTTTGAGACAAAGTCTAAAGATATATAATTACGAAAATGCCGAATTACGTAAATTTAAAACTTGAAAACCCAATATATTAAATATTCATCTAACTCTCCCAGCTGACGATTTAGCAGAGATAATATTTTTCGTTAATTTCAGTATTAATTATGTAATAGTGCAATTCTTAAAATCTTTTGCAAGCTATAGCATGTATAAGATCCGTTCCACAACATTTTTGGATCCTTAGACTCGTCAGTTTGACGTACCTTTAAAAAGCTAAAGAGTGAATATTTTCTGAATATCTGCGCGCATTTAATTATTAACATTAATTACTCATACATTATCCGTGAATGAATAAGTTAAATAAAAAACGTATTATTTAACTATTAAATAAAAAAAATAGTGAAAACGTGTATCGATGTTATGTATTTTGATTGTTTATAAAATGATTATATAAAAAATAGGCCTATATATTGATAAAATATATGATTGTAATTGCAAATTACTTATTGAAAGATTGTTAACGCCCACACACATACACAAATTTCGAGACACATATACAATCAGATTAATCAACAATATTTAAATCAATTGAAATTATATATTCCGCATAAGCATTCCGCGAGAAGTAATTTTACAGTTGAAAAACAAATTCAAGAAACTATTGAATTTCCAAATTTCACAAATTTTAAGTGCGATTAAAAATCATGCTCCAAAATGTTATTAATCGCTTTGTGATCCTGTCATATCAATCTCAAACGTATCATAGCCTCAATCTGATCAAATAGAGATCTTGACTTGATTCTTCGTTCAGTGAGCCTCTTAATTAGCACAAACCTGTCCAGAATCAATCAAAAATTTCGTTTCCACATACGAAATTTCCTTCCAACCCGTCAACATTGCAGTCGCTGCAGTTCGCGAAGAACAGTCAGCAAGGCTGAGAATCGATATCCTTCTGGATATCCTCTCTGGGCGAGAAACCACTCGAATCGAGATCCAATGGCGAAATTTATTCGTTCGACATTAGTTGCACGCTATCATCGGCCGATCGATGGAGTCGTCGAACTTCCGACAAGGAACGAATCGGCGTCGGATGTAGTAACGAGAAAGGATGCGAATGCCGATCTGTAATCAAAAATGCAAATATTCCAGATTCAGAGAGACGCCACGTATCTGACGATTTTCGTGATTTACATGTTAGAAATCATTATCAAAAAAATTTACGTACATATGTGTGTTGAGATGTATGTGTGTAATCATATATTACAGGGTGCATCTAATAATAATGATTCTCTATCAAAAATTAAGGAGGGTTTCTTATATAAATATAAATATTTTTATATCCCTCCCTGAAAAATTAAGTTTTTTTTTAATTTGTCTGAAATTTGAGAAAAAAATAAAAACTCCTCAGAAAGGGAGATGTAAAAAATCTTCTTGATTTTCGACAAAGAATCATCTACTAAAATGTTCGCGCGTGTTTAGATGCACCCTGCATAAATATATCTCTAAATTATATGCAATTACGATAATATTTATAAAGAAATTTGATATGATAGATGCGATCGTATATATTATCATATATCCTTGAAGCTTTATTGATTCGACGGTCCCGATAGAATAGAGAATTATTACTTATTACAATATTTCCAACCTCCCATCGAGAAACCTTAATTTATTCCGGTTAAAAATAAGGAAATGCACATATATGCACGAGAAAGAAAAAGAGAGAACGAGAGATATCGCTCGATCGTGTCCATAAGTGCAATGCCAAGGTCGGACGTAAACGTTCGTATCGCGAAAGGATCGATTTACCGAAGAGCTACGATCTATATTTCCATCTCCAAGGTATATCATGTGTTGGGCATATAATTTTGCCTAGACACGCGGAGAATTCCTCGTCTCTTGCCGCGATTCGATTAAACAGTTCCATTCTCTCACATATACATATTTATATACATACATATATATGTATGTAGGATATGTATTCATTGTACATATATCATCTTGAATAATTCATAATTATTATATCGACTCCGAGGAAACAATGCACGTTCTAGTTAGCAATATCCGTATATTACTCGCGTTCCATCGAGTATTCTATTCTTCATTAATTTTTAATTAACTTTCAGTCAGTTTTTTAATTTCTTAGGGAGAGATGTCGTGCGTGTCCTAAGTGTCCTTCTCTTGAAATTCTCACCTCTGATGTCAGTCAACGGTTCGCTCCTGGAGAGCTCATGCTCGTTATTACGATGTGAGGGCGTTTTCAAGGGACTTTTAGCTTGTGGTACCGCGTCGTTCTTGAATGGGGTAGTATTCTGATCCTGATTGGGAAATGGAAGGCTGTGGAATTAGGCCACGAAGCCGGAGGTGGACTGCGAACCAGGTGCTCGTGTACCTGTGCGAGCGTAAGAGGATCCGCGTCTCCTAATTCCTGAAAGCATATGTGTCATTATTATTTCAAGATAGAGTTGATGAAGGCTAGAAGATGAAGATTACATTTTTTTATAGTATATAACATTGTTTAGAATATTAAGTGTAGATGATTGGAAAGGAGGAATCTCTCGTTATCGTTTTGTTTAGGAAGAGATTTCTAAAATGTTCTTGTGTCTTCCAAAATTTGAATTCGGGGTCTCACCTGCGACATCAAAATCGCATCGTCAGACTCGGACTCCTCGATCGATTCCACGAGGCTCTCTCGACTTGCTAGTACCTGCATAATTAGAGGAAATTTGCACAATTGAGTCGATATGTATATTGCAGAGTAAAACGTACAATTATATTACACCTTTAAGAAATAGGATTTACTGTGTTATTATAATACTTTGATATTTTTCCTTTTTTTCATAATATACTTTGCCTTTCTTTAAGTTTCAAAAAATTCTGATAAATCACAAAGATACTCATTTTTTTTAGAAATATTTGAGAATTCGAGATCGCAAAAATCGTCTTTGATGTGATAACAATAAGGAAATTTGCACAATTGAGTCGATATGTATATTGCAGAGTAAAGCGTACAATTATATTACACCTTTAAGAAATAGGATTTACTGTTATTATAATACTTTGATATTTTTTCTTTTTTTCATAATATACTTTGCCTTTATTTAAGTTTCAAAAAATTCTGAAAAATCGCAAAGATACTCATTTTTTTTCGAGAAATATTCGAGAATTCGAGATCGCAAAAATCGTCTCTGATAGAATAACAACAATAATCGGATCAAACCTGTAAGAAAGGATTGTCCTGACGGCTCAGTCTGAGCGCCTCCATATCCTGATCGATGTTACGTGTTCTACCGGGTGTCAGGGTCAGAATTGAGTGCGAGGGTGACGGCTGACAGGAGACGACAACGTCCACCGCTGTCACGCTCAAGGTCGACGGAATTCGCGACATTGTGTTATCGTTCTCCGAGCCGCTCCGGCGACAAGCGGTGGTAATAATTGCTATGCAGACAATATCGCTTGGTGTTATCGATTATGCGATTTTATGCTTTTATTATAAACGAATATAAAGTACAAAATATAATTTTTAATTTTTTTTATATATGATCTTTAACTAAAATACTTAATTAAAAATTAGGCTTGTGTAAAATTAAAATAACTATTCTAATAGGCCAAAGTAACGAGCTTAGATTGTTTAGGATGTTAAATGATTAATTTATGATATTTAATAAAAAAAAATTATTTAACATCTTAAACAATCTAGCTCGTCAAGTTGGCCTATTATGGAATAGTTATTTTAACTAAAATTTCGGTTTCCGAATATTTAAATATGTGGACAATGATTTAAATTTTATCACTGAACTCAATTAATTTATTAATTGAATCTCTCTTTATCTTAATTTAATTAAATTTAGAAAAATAGGATGAAATAAAATCATTAAAATTTTAAAAATTCCCAGCATTAACTACTGTCTTTCGACTTAATGAATAAATATTGTCATTTAATAACATTATTCAACAATACACTGTGTTATTGTCACATGAATAATTCTACATATATTAATTTCTAAATAAATCATGTAAAATTAATGAGGAGGGTGGGTTTATATATTTTCCAACAAAAGCTCTTTGTCGTACAAGGTACGCTCAATACGTACATTTCTAATTAATGAAAGTGATTAATGAATAATTGAAGAGTCAAAGACGCTTTATGGATTTTCGAAGAAAGTTTCTTAGAGACCCTTTTTTCTAATAATCAAAAAATAATGAAGGAATATTGTCTCACCAGGAGTTTCCACCCTAGGCGCGCGTTCCATCTCTTCGTCCTCGTTAATCTTCATTCCTACTGTCAGCTTTCTCGATTTGAAAAGATTCGTGAGGAAAGCTGCGCCTTTACGCTTCATCCGATCATATCTGTGCGCGCTTTCAGACGACACGTGTATCATAATTCGTCTGAAACTGAAGCATAAATGGCGTAAATTGCAATTCTGCATAACTTATCATGAAAAGCACAATATTATATAACATATCCCTGGACGACACGTGTCTCATAATTCGTCCGGGACTACAATATATACATATATAGCGGAAGATATATATATATATATATATATATAAAATTATTGTCTCATAATACTATTTATACATAGGTTAGGCAAAAAATTTCTGATAAAAACATGTTTATTTAAACAGAAGCTCTTCGAGAGAAACTCACACTCTTCTATAACTTTAGTAAACACTATATTGCAATACCTAGTATTGTGACCGTCTACTAAGCCTCAGGGGTAGAACCAAAAATTGATCATCATAATCGGACTCGAGGAATTCATTTTACATATTGTTCATAATGAAAGTATGAATTTACAATGATAGAAAAAATATCACGCTGTAACTTAGAATAATTTCGCGATTTAAGGTTGAGCGATATATACATAATATGCCGACTTACGCCACTTTCGCTTTCAATCCCTCAATCGTCGCTGTTAAGCATCTCCATGACAATAAGACCCTCGGAAATGTTTATCGGACGGAAAAACTCGAGCTTATATCCATCGGAAACTGACGAGATAGCGATAATAAACCGAGCCGGGTATCGGGACACGTCAGCAGTGTATAAAACGTTAGAGGAATTACAATCGTTGTCGGATTTCTGTTAACTAACATCGGATTTGCAAGCCGAGGAGCAGCGTACTGCCAACTGCAGTTGCGGAAGGGTGTGCACCTACTCTCCTGTGCAGAAACTCGCGCAGCTGCAGCTGTCAGTGAATGAACGGAGCTTGCGCGCGAAAGGGGTGGCTAAGAAAGGGAAGGTGGTAGAAAAGACGAGAGCAACGGGGTCCTCAAAGAGCAAAGTGGCATTATTTTTTTTTTCTTACTCGATGAGTACCTCCATGACCCATATCTCTATATTTGATTTATGTGAGGATATTATTAAATCGTATGTCTGTTATTGAATTAGATGATTTTATAAAATATATGAGTGGTTGAATTTAAATATTAAAAGAGCGCAAGAGTAAATTTTAATTAGCCGATTAGAAAAATATTATAATACCCTTTTTATACAGCATTAATAAGAGATGAGAGCAAATATGTGCTATGATGTGCTTTTTTAAATTAAAAACAAAAATACGAAAGTTAATACCAAATTGAACAAAATTAATTTTAAAGGGAGCTTTTAAAACAATCTTTTGTATATCGGGTGATGCAAGGATACGGGTACTTTTCCAGGAGTGTGCCACGTCGTGCTTATTCGATCGATTGCACGAGACTCCAAGTTATACAAGGTGGCTACAGCACACGTGCTGTTGGCACCACATATATAGTATATATTGCACGCGTGACCAGCATACATAAATTAATAGAAATTAAATTGATTAGACAAAAAATGCAATGATAAATATCTCTAATTATTTATAGAAATAGGAAAGTATTATATAATCAGTGATATATATGCAACATGTTCCTGATTATTCATATTATCGCCCCATTTCTTTATGAACTTTTATAAAATTTGAATATACTCACCTTTGAAATAAAAGTTTAAAGAGATATAATTAAAAAAGAATTGATATATTAGATTATAATTGTCCCCACACACTATCATATCCAATATTGCATATCTTTTTTCTATTTTTATAAACTCGCGAATTATAATATAAATTACATTATAATAAATTATAATATAAATTAAATATGGAAATGATTTCTTATTCGATTAAAAGTTTTAATTAAAATAAATGAAATACACAACTAAGTTTTTTGTAAAATAAAGTGTTCTTAGAACTAATTTAGCACGAAAATAAACAATTATTATTTATTTTTTTACTTTAGCTTGTTTTGACTAAACAGCACTTTCAATCGACAATTTTGTATTATAATCAGGAGTCTAATTATATTTTCACTAAAAATACTGACTTCAAATTCTTCCAAGAAATCTTCAATGATTGAAACAACATTTAGCTGATTTATATATATATAATCAAAACTCAAACTAAAATTTATCCGATCAAAATTCTTGATTTAAAGGACAGAACCAATTTAGCACGAACAATTATTATTTATTTTTTTACTTTAGCACTTTCAATCGACAACTGTGTAATTAATCAGGAGTCTCATTAAATTTTCACTAAAAATACTGACTTCAAATTCTTCCAAGAACTCTTCAATGATTGAAACAGCATGTGGCTGATTTATACATATATAGTCAAAACTCAAGCTAAAACTTGGCCGGTGAAAATTCTTGATTTAAAGGATTAAAAATTTGTGTCTCGACATTCAAATAATCAATAGTGGAACCATTTAATTCCGATGCGTAAACACTATAATCACTGTGTATATAGTCGTTGTATAAAACTGATAGTTGTACATTTGAACAAAAGGAGAGACAAAAGGAGCAGAACTCTTGATCACATACATGCTCTCGCTCGGAATACGCCTTTAGCGCCGAATTACCTGCAAGCTCGTGCACCTGTCGGCGGTGCATCTTCGTTCCGCCACGCGGAACGAGCGCGTCGTGTCGCGATGCGTCGCGACGCCAACACAACACAGGGTGCGGCAGGCGCGAAAGAGAGCCTCGAGGCCGGCACGCCGGTCCTACGCCGGAAAATCAAAGGAAGCCGTCTCTTATCAGTGATACGTGTGCGCGCGCATTCGCATTTACGGGAGAGCATCCCCGAGCAAAGGGGATGCTCGTCAATTCGGGTGGGTGTACAGGGTGTCTCGGAAATCAGGCGTATTCAGAAAACTAGGATTTTCTTTTTATTTTTTATTTTTTTTTGCATTTTTCCTTAGTGAAAATGTTGAGGAAGGCTATCATTTTTAGCATGTTCCCAATTTTTATTATGTATCTTTATAACTAAGCCTTGTATTAAAAATCTATTAAAGCAAACTCTATTTAAAATTCACTGAAGAATGTAGTTCTGTTAATATTTTATTTCCACAAGGCTTAGTTTTCAAAAAAAGCCTTTATTTTCAACTGTTTAGCTATAATTCGAAAATTATAGGTGTCTCGACATTTTCGATGAGGAAAAATCGTCTGCGAATGATACCAGGAATCTGCCATTCAAAACTTTTCCGCCAGTTCTGAGACATCCTGTATATGATCTCGCTATAATAAACTTGCTAGAATCATTTAGGTACATTTGTGGAAAAATATTAATTAAGTTGAGTTTAAGTAGGGCGAATAAAAAAATGAAGAACGAGCTTGAGGTAGATATGCCGATTTATTCAAAAGATTCGTTCACCTGAAAATTTCGCCAAATTAATTACGATTATATCATAAATTAATGTTTAATTGTGTACTTAAATCAACGCGCTAATTACGGTGCGCAAAAATATTCGTATAGAAAGATTGATTCGCCATAAGAATATTATTTCCATATTTATTCAAATATTTTTCAATAAATAATAAATAAATAAATTTCTCTCCCAATTTAAAATTTTTATACAATATTTTCTTGTTACACTTAAAACACAAAATCTCAAAAGATTTAAATACAAAATTTTTATTTTGGCACATAAAACGAAGAATATACACATACTTAACAATAATAATAAATATGTATTTAAAATGATATATATATATTATTTTAAAATTTATTATTATTATTATATGTATATATAATTTAAAAATTTTTAAATATATATATATATATATATATATATATATATATACATATATATATGTATATATTTATATAATTATTCATGAATAAAAATGTCTGAAGAAAATGTATTTTATGGCGAACCAATGCGAGGTACGAATACCTTTTTTGTCACACATAAATACTTATTTAACACATGAGATATGAGAAAGAAATTAAATAAAGCAACTGGTGTAAATTAAAACGGCGCCTTCCTCCTAAATACGAATAACAAAATTTTTCTAATAAACAAATTTGAAGAAAATATAATGCACAAAAGTTTTCTTCGACGAATTCATGTCATTTCCATTTCCATTTTTTTTAATGAGGCGGTAAAAATGCGCTAATAATCGACGATACGATTTATCCTCATATACTTACAGTAAGCAATCAGCAACACTCGAGCCCCGCAACAATAATAAGGAATAATAATCATAATAATCATCATTAATAATAATAATGATAATAATAATGATCATAATAATAATTTTCGTTAACGATATGTTAGCCTAGTCCGTATAAACACAGCGACATCGAAACATCGTTTATATTATGTGTAGAAATTAATTCATATTTATGTATATAACGTACATATATATAATATATATATAAAACATTTTGCAAAAAAATCACAGTTACTTAAAACACCTTACTTTCCACTCTTCTCTCTCAATCTCTCTTTCTCTCGCTTTTTCTCTCTCATACATACATTCTCGTCTTTTCGCATCAGTTTATAATCGACGTGTCAGGAATAATCATCCATGTTTAATGCAAACTAATAATTAAACAAAAAGTATGTCGCAACCGATTTTGTAAAATTCTTTACATTTCTCACAAAATGCAATTGCAAGACTCGTTTCGCGATTAATCCAATTAATTTTTTTTTCTAAGTTTCAATCTAATAAAAATTACAAAATTATTTTAATAATTCATAGCATTTAGTGGGGATTAAAAAATTATTTGTTTTCTAATCTGTAAATTTGGAATCTCTTGAAAATTTATTACGATCAATTCCAAATAAAATAAAATTAGTTTCGAATAAGATCTTCTTTTCATAGGATATGTATATAAATTATTATCAATATATTGCGAAAAAGAAATTAATTGATAATGATTTATCAATTGAACAAAGTAATCTTTTATGGAAGAAAATCGCGTCGAGGCAGTGGCACAACATCGATGTAACAATAATCAGGATTTTTTAAGTACTGTTGCGGTTCTGCAATATTCTTTTTAGAATTGAAACAAATGTTTCGATCTATTATTTTTTTCTGAAATAATTCACGAATGGTAATTCTAGAATTTTTCAAGCATTGTAATAATTTTCATTAATAAGCTGGTTGTCTTTACTTTTTTGCAATTAATATTATTGAGTTGAAGTTTAAGTTTAACAAACTTTTTTAATCATTTGCATACGCAAATTTTCAGAATTTTATTTATCAATTTTTTAATTTATTATGAAAATCTGTTAAATAAAAAAATTGTCACATTTAATTTTTTACATTTTCAGTTTGAAGTTAAAAATTGAAAATTTCTCATTACCGCATAAGTTTCTTTTAAAAAATTCTGCTTTTCTATAGTTAAGTAATGTTTTTAGGAATCGAAATTTACCTATGACTGTTGTACAAAGTTGCTTTACAATTGTCGTTGCTCGAAGATCAAACGATCGATTGTTTAATTACACGGCAGTGTTGGCACGAAGCGTAAACATTGGCTGTCTTTGTCTCGGAGAGGAATAAAAATTTACATTTAAATACAATCCCAAGCATACGCAGCGTTTCTTTGTCCAGTTATATCTGCGACTCGAATCACTATGGCGGCCGTCGGAAATAATTAATTGTTACCAATAATTCATATACTTAATCCCTCAAATCCCATGTTGCTACTTCTCTCTCGAAGAAAACCCCAAAAGGGCATTACACGAATAAAAATTAAAAATGTATAAGTACTTTTTATATATACATATTAAGTCTGAAAAATATACTGCATATAATAATGTGCAGTCTGAGATGGTTGTTTCTCAGATTAATTGTTACATTTTTAGTAATAATTTAATTATTAATTTTTTGGATAAGTATAGCGAATCACGTCGGCCGAGATATTTGAGAGATTAACCAACGAAAGAAATAATTACGAACCTCACAGTGAATACTTATGATTAGTCTAGAGATATCTAGATAGTAAGACTTTTACGCTATCGTCCGCTTGGTAAGCCGAGGACAGAAAAGCCAGTGACGATGGCAGTAAATGTTCGCGATTTGATTCGCCGGGAGCTAGTCGACCGCACAAACATTTTTGTCGAAGCTAAATGAAAATTTGCATTTAAATCTAATCCTACCACAGGAGCACACCGTTAAATTTCAGAAACACATTACGATCCATCAATCCAGTAACGAGGCTCAAATTATGTTACTTCATTAAAACGCGAAAGTATTACAATTCTGAGATAGATCCCAGATCTATGGATTATTGTATTCGCAATTTCGGCATTAAGGAATATGAACTTTCAGAAATTAGCAATTGAGAAAATTTAAATATATTGCGACTAGTTTCAAATTTCTCAAAACAATTTCAGAATCTAAGGATTGACAATTTATTTAAAAAAAGTATTTTTTTAGCAATATAATTATATATTTAACTTTATATAATTATATATATAATTTATATAATTATATATATAATTTATATATATATATATATATGTTGCAATTCATGCAACAAAATATATCAAAATTATTTAAAATTAATCGAATCTATCGATGCTGTTAGCTCCAAGCGATTAATCGCGAGACAAATGGTTGACAAAACATCGATCAGTTACTATTTCATTAGCGTTAAAGGGTATGTACAAAATTTTATATGTTACACGACAATTCCGATCCATCGTTAATGCAAGCGCTCATGGGAAATCAGCGTTGACTCGTACATGTGACGTTAGAGCGTTATCGCATTGGACTTCGGTCAACAGTAATAATGATTACGATAAGAAAATGTGTGTGAAAACAAAATCAGTTTTAGAAATCCGTAGTCAAAGATCTACAATGCAGACATTTTATAAAATCAAAATAATCGCGGATTAAAGATTCACAATTAAAGATTCCTTATTGGAATCTTTAATATGCGTTTAAATTAATCATATCTATAAATTAAATTCTCAATATTACTCTCAATATAATTATCAAAGAAAATCTTTACAACTTTACTAATATGTAAAGTTTGAAGAAAATAAATGAAAAATTAAGCAAAAGTTCGGAGCCCTGTCGATTATTTTTCAGTCGGTACTTTCTTGCCGCGAGCGCTTTAATTATCACGCCGACGGATGCTCGGCAGTAAGGAATGGTCAGAGAAGGACTTCCCTTAAGAGAGGACGTTGACCTCACGGGGCGAGCCACAGACGTTCAACACACTGCTAGTCGAGTTAGGCGTGATCTGACTCCGAGCCTCGTTCTGGGCCTGCCGTATCGCTTCCTTGTACGGGCCGCGTTTCTTTTTGTTGTACCGCGTCTAAACAAAATCAGATTCACAATCATTATAAACAAATTCATCAAAATCATTATCAAAAATCATTATAAAATTAACTTCAAAATTTAACTATATTTCTATTTTTTATTATTGTACATATTATTTAAAGGAGCATACTTTAAAGGTTTCCAGGAAGGGACTCAGTTGATCGCAGGACATTAGTGAACTCGTAGACGATCCGTACCAAGCCACATGAGCTTGAGGACCCGAAGAGGTTCCGTCTTCTTTACAGGACACTGTTATACTTAGTACCTGCGTATAATAAAATACGTGTTAACGTCTCGAATTAAAGATTTATTAAACAAAGATTAATCCAGGTAGGAAAGCGTACGTCATTTTGACGTTTGATCACGTACGTCAGTTTGCTACTTGGGAATGTTCTCTTGAAATCCTGTACTTTGTACGTACCTTGCCGGGCCACCAGGGAAAACCGTGAATCTTGCCCCACACCACGTCGCCCACGTCCATGCGTCTCCCATTCGCCGTGTGGCAGTGTGCCACAGGAGTAGCGGCTAGACGCATGACCAGAGGATGCGACTGATGCGGCGGGAAGTCTGGCGCGGTTTCTACCTCTGGCTCGTGTTCGCTCAACTCGTCGCTACTACCGCCGGAACTCTTGCAGCCGGAGGACGCATTGCTCACGGGGTAATCACAGCGAGCGTACGCGTTCGTGTTGAGCCTCTTTAAAGATATCGACAGCTTCTGCTTCAGGCACTGCTCCTTGATAGCTCTGTAGGATTCGCCGCTGCCCGGCAAAACGTTCCAGTTTTGCTGGTGCTGCTGTTGCTGTTCCTGCTCCTGTTCCTGCTCTTGCTCTCGTTCCACGGAATCTGGGCAAGGTTGTTCAGACTCCGGTTGTTCTTGTTGCGACTGATTCTTGTGCTTTCGACCTTCCTTGTGCTTCTTTTTATGTTTCACCTTGTGTTTCCGACGATGGTACGAAAGCGGGTCATACGTGGGATTGTATCTGGAATATAAATAATATTGTCATTTCACTTCTTCTCGTTACAGTTACATAATATAATCATAATGTATTTTTATAGATATTTGATTGATAAAATTGTACACGGAGAGAATTTTCTCTTAGAATTTACCTTGAAAATCATGGTAATCATGGGATAATATGGTATTGGAAGAATTTTGTAACAGTTTCTCTGATTAACATTTACCACAATAAAAATATTAATATCTATCACAATAAGATATCTTATGTGATAGATATTAATATTTTTATTGTGGTAAATGTTAATTAGAAGAACACTTATAAAATTCTTTTAATATTATATTGTCTTAGATTACCATGATTTTCAGGGTAAATTCTAAGGGAAAATTCTCCCTATGTATGAATCCTTAGATTTAGGTAATGTGTTCCTACCTAGGCGAACCGTTACACGGCGATCTTGCTGGTGACACTCCGCCCAACATCTTCCTCCTAGCTTCCTTTTTCGCCTTCTTCAAAGCCCGTTTCGCCGCTTTCGCGCTGGCGTCCTTCACAACATCCTGCTTCTGAGGATCCACCTGTTCCTGCCCATCCTCCTCACCCTCGTAATCGTTGCCGAAGGATCTGGGTAATTCCAGGGGATCCCTCTCTTGTTGGGCATCGTCAGCGTCGTCGGTCTCCTGCTCGTACGCGTCAGGATCTTGAGGTTTCGCGGGTATCTTCAGCACAGTTCCTTCGCCCTGCGCGCCAAACGAGATCTTGATCACCGGCGTGGTCCTGGCGGTCCTCGTGGGATCCTCGAACACAGATTCGTCCCAGAGGTCCTCCATCGAACCCACCGAGCGTTTCTTCCTCGGCACTCTGCCAGTTCTCAATCTCATCGTCGAGTCCGCGGCTGCGAAGGTCTTCTTTTCCTCCTCCTCGGGAATTTTCGCGCTCTCCACTGATGAACTGCTTAGCCTCCTCGGCGTAGCGCAATAGGCCATTGAAGGATTGTTGTCGCAGTCTGCGGACGATTCCACCCGCTCCTGCGATGACGTTAATACGTTCCTTAAAGACGCCTCCTCCTCGTTACTAACAGGCCAGTGCGTAGATTGCGCGCTCGCTGCAAGCTTCACTTTGTCTGAAATAACCATCCAGCCGTGTGAAATTTTTTCTAGCATGTGCAAATCTAAATGGGATCTAGAATTATCGTATATTTAAATATTATTTTCATGTCAGGTTTTACCTTTAAATAAATTAGAATGTGTTACATAATTTTTGATATATTCATAAATATAATATAATCTCTAATATTTTTTATATATTTTGATACTAATAAATTAAATTAAATTAAATTTGTGTGTATAGCTTACTGTTGTGTATGATTGAATGATCCATTTAACAGATCTTATATTATCGGAATATACTCGCGATAATAATATTGTAACAAAGTTTAATTCTCAAGACTCGAACTTTGCTTCCATTTATGCAACCGGTTTTAATAACTGATGTGCATAATTTAGTATAATTTATGCTCTTCAGTTTTTTTCTTTACGTATCTAATACGTGGCAATTGACATATAGCGCATGACTAGCATATAAAGTTTAGAAAATCCAATAAATCGCAAAAGCGTAAATTACTTATTTGAAAGAAGAATTTCTTGAAATGCCTCGTAATAATTGTTTTAATTTTTTTATACAAAATATGTTAATTAATCTTCGCTTATATCATTAAATTAATTATTGAATTAATCGTTTATATATGCATATAGCTTCATTTGAACTATGCTCTTAAATTATTCAGCAGTAATATGTTAACGTCAATCATTTTTTTCATCGAAAGTATAACAAATATGTGTGAAAAATAAATACCAGATAATTGGCCAGAGCTCTGAATTGCGGTACTGATCTCATTAGGCTGCAGTCTCGACAATTTCGGAATCAACGATGCTCCCACTTTCGACGAATCGGTACTACTCGAGGTTGTCGTCTTCGTCGTCGCTTGATTGGAGGTCGAATTTTCCGTCTGACATTCCGATAATAGCGTCCGTTGTGTCTTTTGTGGCTGCTGACCGCAACGACGATCGCTTCTTCTCGTCGAACCCGGAACGAACTGATGGAATCGCAAAAAAGTTTTTCACGTCTTTCGTGCATTGTACAAGTTAACTTGTTAGATCGAAGATCTAATATGTAGCAATTCTGTTGAAACTTCGATAAGGTTGATAGAGAGGTTTAAAGTTACCAAAAAAGAATCGATCGCTTATCAAAATCTAAGAAACTTATCAAAAGATACCAGAATTGCTGATCTATGTTATCGCGCGTTTAATACCAAAAGTTATGAGTTTCGAGTTTTTAAAGAGATAAAAAGAGATAGGTTTAAATTTTTTTAAGTTTTCTTTTAAGATTTTTATGTATACAGGGTGTTTCAGAGCTGGCGGAAGTTCTTAATGTCAGATTCCTGGTATCATTTGGAGACGATTTTTCCTTAGTAAAAATTTTGAGGGAAGCTATCATTTTTAGCATGTTCTCAATTTTTACTGTTATATAATAGTCTTTATATAACTAAGCCTTATATTAAAATTCTATTAAAGCAAACTACTAAAATTAACTGTTAATATTTTATTTCCACAAGACTTAGTTTTTCCAAAAAAAGCCTTTATTTTCAACTGCTTACAATTCGAAAGTTATTGGTGTCTCGACATTTTCGCCGAGAAAAAATCGTCTCCGAACGATACCAGGAATTAAAAACTTTACCGCCAGTTCTGAAACACCCGGTATATCTCTCGACAAGCAACGTTCACGATACCTGCTGCGACGGCTGTTGCGCCTCTTCGTGTTTTCGCTTCCTGCTGACGTCGACATTCTCACTGTTTTCGTTACATATTGACCGGCACTTACTACAGAGCACCTGACGAGGCCTCAGTCTCACCGTGGGCCTCGCGTTTTTGTATCTGGCGGGCGGATTGATGCTCTTGCGAAGGTCGACCTTGGCGACAAGGGCGGTCGCCGACGCCGAGGACGCGATCTTCCGTTCCTGGAAGTAGCTGAAGCGCGCAGCGATCGTCGCCAATTTGTCGCCATCGGGGTCCAATACCGGCTCCGGGGGTTGAACTCCGCAGGGAAGGCCTCTGCGGGAACACAATTATTCGTGGCGTATTATTTTAGCACGGTCCCAAAATTTTAATAATACTTAAAAACATGTATCATGACACCTTTCGCGTTTTGAACATCCTTTAAGGCTCCTGGCTCCTCGCCGAGTTGGATTTGTGACGTCAGAGGCGAGAAAACACTCGCTAAAAATTCTTAGATTAGCCATTTCGAAGTAATAAAAAGATTTCGATGAAGCACTTCAGATCGCTTTAGCACACTCTTAAAATATCTCGAAAACTATCCTTTATAATCAATCAACAGATGTAAAATGACTATAATATGAGACATGATCTTTGCACATGCGCAGTCATTCCGAAATCTGAGATCATTTTGGTTGTTGATTGACTGTCAAGGGAAAGGAATAGTTTTCAAGGTATTTTAAAAGTGCTAAAGCTATCTGAAATAATGTTTCATCGAAATATCTTTTAATATTTAATTAAAAATGGCATCTAAGAATTTTCAACATATGCTTTCTCGCTTCTGACGTCACAATCCAACATGGCTGCGACGAGGATCTAGGAGCCTTAAAGTTTTGATTGACAATACAGCGAATAATGAATGTACCCTCGTCCTCAAGAATTTATTAAAGTTATAATTACTTGATTAGAGATTAAAATAAATTATTGTACGATAATGGATTTACTTATATATATTATGAAATCAATTGACAAAAAAAAATAAATATATCCCTTTAAGAAATATTCCGTATAAAATGCTAAGTTTCGATTCCTTTGGCTCTTTACTTCCTTTTTACGCTCGGGGAAATTTCGTGAATTATTATATGTTAACTTCTATAATTAAAAAAAGTGACGAGTGATTTATTTTTTCAATTTTAATATTGAATTTTTACGCTTTCTAAATTTTCTCGACTTTAAGACTTTAGGATTAATTTTCTCAGGTCTATCGCGGAAAGTGAGTCGGTCAGATTGTTGCGTGGAGACCTTCGGATGGAAACTGTCTCAAAACGAGAATGACTAGGCAAAAGATTGGGCAACGCTTGCGGGTATGCTTCGCCGGCTTCTCGTGCACCGACAACACGGCCATGTCATGGTATTGATTCGAGAGAAGCGTACAATGAGCGACAGCCTCTGACGGTATATCCATTAATATTTTCTGGGTCTCGATACGAGATAGACCCTCAAAATTCCGAGTCAGCTTGAGCGCGAGGGAAGAAAAATTGCTAGGCGGGCATATCGAGAATCAGCAGATTCACGACGTGAAAATGATTGCTGATCAAACTGATGACAAATTCAATACCCACTCGTTCAGTTTCTAATAAATTTGCACGACCAACTAAGCTATACAAATTTATTAAAATTCCAGGATTACTTCGAGTCTCTCTCTTTCCCACTCAATTTTGCTTCAATGGCGACATAGAGTTATTAGCTTTAAATTTAAATAAACTTGAGGGGAAGCTCTTAAGTAGCCAGGAGCCTTTTTTCATAAAACATCGAATGTTGTTAATCTTCCGCTTGGCGCAGTTAAGTTATATAATTTCCTTTTTCCGACGTTGTCAATTATCTCGTTAAAAACAACTGTAACAACTGGCTCATTTCTTAAGTTAATAAAGCAAGCGGTTAATGTGGACTACGGTGTGGCATACGTGGCTGTTTCTCTGCTTTGTGTCCACGCACACATTCGCAGTTTCGACCCGCAAATGGTGGCGTTCTCAGAGACGTCGACGATATTCCCTTTGTTCCTGACGAACACGAGACCACTATATTGGGGGTTCTCAACCTTGGATCGTTCGTGAGCCGCACAGCTGGGACGTGTTTTGGCTCTCGACGTCGAGGAAGATCAATAAATTCCGTTCCGCAGTCTAATAAATTCATGTCCTTGGATTGTCACCTACTAATTAAGTTATCGATTTTCAAGTCAAACCTTTCTCAAACGCGAATATAATAGAGCGTTTAATAAGAATTCTATCGGAACAATCTATTGAAAATTTTGACGGAAAAAAAATTTTTTTTAATTCTCGAAAAATTTATACCATGTATGTAATTTCCATTATATCTAAATTGGTATAAATATCTTTCTTTCGCTCAGAAAATAAGCTTATTAATTGATATTGAATGTAAATATGTTGCTAAATAACTATAATAGAGTCCAACACATGTCCGAAAGATATAAAATATCCTTTGAATGTTCTCTGGCTGTCCTTTATTTATTTAGCAAAATATTTACATTCGTTATCAATTAATAAACTTATTTTCTGAGCAAAAGAAAGAAATTAATTTCGCTTTCTCTTTTAATAACTTGATTAATTTCTGAAGTTTGCTGTTAGGAACTTTCGCCAAATTTGTTTCAAAGTTGATTCCGGTATCAATGATTTTTCTAGAATGAAATAAGAAAAATGATAGAATATATAGCGAAAAAGGATATATGGGAACCTCTGTGCCGCACCATACCGTCGTGCACAACGTGACACAAGCCAGGCCTGGCTGGTCGGTGGCCCCGACTAGCTTCCAGGGCCGTAAGCAAGAATCTTGCCATCTGTATTATTTATCTTTCCGATATCTCGTTCGATAAAATTATACATTACAACGGAAAAGTAGATGTAAGACTACGTAAAAAACGCAATTATACCAATTTCGATATCGTCGTGTCAAGCATTGCTGATGGGAACCAAAATCACATTTATATCATTCTTATACAAGACAATAGTCATAAACGGACAATAGACAAGCTAATCTAGACTAGGTAATTGTAATTCAATTATAACTCAAGTTTGAAGTCCAGATGTGCTATTAGCTGGCAAACAATTAGCTAAATTTTAGCTGTCCCTATATATTACAACTTTGATAGCTAATATTTATAGAATTCTGCGTTAAATTATAGCTAAAAAATATTAGTTGTTAGCTAAAATTTAGACATATGATACCTAAAAGGTTGTAACATAGAGACAACTAAGCTTGAGCTACGGTGGCTAATGTTTTTTATCGATCGGGCCTTAAAAACAATCCCTTCGCCCTCTGTTTAGGGCCAGTCTTGGCAGTGCAATTGCGACACGAGACTGCCATTAGTCGGCCGACTCGACCAAGAAAACCTAGAACGCGGGGGTAAGAAAACAGGCAACAGCTGTTCGGTCGTAGCGAGAAGTCCAGCTCTGAACTCACGGGGCACATATCCCCGGCTTGCGATGTACGCTGAGAAAAAAGACAACTGTACGTATGGAGAGACGAATAAAACTAGCGATTGTACGAACAAAATTGCTACTTGGACGAGCGAAAGATGTTCGGACGGTATATACGATAGAAACCGCGCAGGGTTGCGATTTCGAAATTTTATTCATCCCATATGAATTGAATCATTGGATAATTGTGCGTAAAAATTAATTCATCAGCGAGCAAATTTCTTTAAACAAATTCAACTTGATATTCAATTAATTCGATAAATCCAATTTAATTAATAATAAAATACAGTTCACACGCAATTAGTAATAAATAATTATACATATTTGAACATAAAACTCGAATGTATAAATACTTGATTGGTTTAATAAATTTTGATAATAGAGTTCGATAAATAAATGTATCGTTCGCGGATATAAACTTGGTTGACAATAATTTGAGTGAATGAATCCAGTTGGAAACGTCATTAAATTTTAAAATGACATATCACGCATCACCGTGGCTATACATCAAGAACTGTTTTAAAACTTTGCGAATTAACTCGCGGTTAAACATCGTTCAACTTGGTGCAACAAGCGCTTAGTTGATTTCCCAATAATCAAAATGACTACTCGTATCAACGAGAAATCAGCAGCGATATAACACTAAGGTGGCGTTTACTATGCGAGAGCATGAGTCATCGCGGCAAAGTCTTTTTAAGTCTTTCCTGTACCGGGTGACACGAAACTTTCTTATATTTCTCTCTTCATCCTATCCATATTTCTCAATTAATTCAAGTCCACCTTGCCTCGATGTATTAGAAATTCTAATTTCATTTAAATCAACAAATTCATTATACATTATTTTATTAATTTAACATCGTTCGTTAATTTAACATGAACTTCTTAAGTTAATCAAGGTAATTCATCTGATATATCGCGTAAAAGAAAAAAAAATAATAATTCTCGCGGGTGAGAAAGAGAGAATCGAGAGAGAAAGCGACTTGCGAGACACCGCGTACATAAAAATATACATGCATCTATATATATATATATATGTAAGTGGAAGAAAAATGGATGAAAGATATAACATCTTGTGTTTGCGACAGGCTAGGCGAAGTTCGAGGAAACTCTGGAGCAAATTCGTCACGCCCATATCCCGGGTAAACTCTGGCGCCAGCCAGCATTCGAGAGGCGAGGACGTACTTCCTATTAAAAATCGTACAGATAAGCTATCGAAATTATCGGAGCGCTCTTTCGGTACTGCCGGGCCTGTTTACATCTCGGAGGAAGTGAGATATAGATTTTGTGCCGAGTTTGCACAAGTCCCCGACTGTATCGTGGAAGCGACGGCCGTCGCACGACGACGTTCTCTGCGGCAACTTAATCCGAGGATTGGAGTAATTGAATATCCTCGACCCTCAATGTCATCCTTGATGCTCCGAATTTCACCGAGCTTGCACCTTGCTGGCCAAATTTTACGCTTCAAAAATATATTATCTCAAAAACTTGCAAGAGCGTAATAACGAAGCGATGTCAAAAGTGACTTATGTATAAAGTCGTCTCTCATACAAGATCTCTTCTAAAAATACATTTAAAAATATATTTTTTAAATAAATAAATGTCTTTACTTGCGCGATTCATATTTATTTTATATAACGAAATAAATTCAGCTTGAAAGTTTAGGATCTTTGAATTCTGAATTTCGCGAAGCTTGAACAAAGCTTGTACTATCCAAATTTTAAACTTAAATCTGAAAAACTTGTAGAAACAAATCACGAAATAATATAAATATTAATATCAAAAGAATTATATAAAGTTATTTTTTTTAAGATCTTTTCAACTGAAAAATAATTAATATTTTTTATATCATATTTCATTTTTTAATTATCCCCAAATATTATAATTATACCTTTCGTTTGCAATAAAAATTTCCAGAACTATACTATTTTTTATAAAAAAAAAACTCTTAAAATCTTTCTCATTAGAATCTCTCTTATAAATAAAATGTACCATTACAATATTTGGAGATAGTCGAGAAGCGAAATATGATATATGAAAGAATGAGGTTGCTGTTTTCAATTGAAGAGATCTTTCAAGAGATCTTTTTTTAAATAAATTTGGTTGCAAGAGTCATACTCATTCTATAAACGAAATTAGGCTCGAAAGTCTAGGATCCTCGAAGTCTGACAGTCAAAAATTGCGAGAGCCCACGTCGTATTTGTAACCGCCTAATTTTACTCCGATTATATAACGATTCCTTTTGGAATTCTACTACTGTCAGATTTGAAACATCCCAAATTATTAAATTTTTCAAGCCCAACATCTTAAATTCCGCGATATAATCGAGAGAATTCAAAATTTAAAATTACATAATATTAAGCCGAATGATGAATCACATTCCGTTGGATTCTTTATCTATCTTATATTTAATCTTGGCATACGACAGTTCTAAAATTCGAGAAAAGTCTCAGATATGTTTCTACCTTCTACAATTAATTATAAGGGAAAAAAATGTGTACAGCAATGCGTAAAATTTCGTGGGTCCCCGAGTTTTGAACATTTAAAATTTAAAGTTTTAAATATCGTTGATTCTTTGTGTTTTTTAAGACCTCGAGAATCACTGCATATCGAAATCGAGAAAGATCAACCACTCCTTAATCAACATGACATTCGTTTTTCGAAAAACAACCAGCTCCTTCCGATTGAAATACGATTATAGCTATCGATAAAACAAGATGAATCAATTAATCTTGAAAACCTCATATCCTCGAGTCCGCGTATCCTGAACTACAGAGGTACGTAAAATCGAGAAAAATAACATCTTGAACAAGGAAAAACACACAAGAAAACGCAAAACAGTCTAGTCATTAATATCCGCTTAAACAACAATTATAATTTCAGATTACAATGAATACTAGCTGGGTGGTGGAAAGACTTGGAAAAAGTCGAAAGCTATCCTTCGATTTCTATTCTCTCTTATCCCAACACTTCTCAGGCATTTTACCACCTGAAAATAAAATCAACAAACCCCAGATAGGCTTTTAATCATCAACTTAAAACATTCCATCGTGCGTTCGTCATTCTCTGTTCGTAAATAGCGATCCAATACCTACGAACACAATCAACTTTCGAAGGCGCATTGTTCTCGGGTCTCCGTGAACAAAATCTTGTAGGAAGCAATCCTAATGGATCTACATCAATCTCGATCCAGCGAAGAAGTGCAAAAATCTATCATCACGCTTTTGCAAAAGCTGATCCTGATGATCGTCGGATCGATGAATCACCTAGTCCCCAAGTTCTCTTTCTTCCAGCCGGCGGAAACCTTGAGTCTCAAGAGCGGAAATGGAATCTTGCTCCGTAAAATTTTACGACACATTCAGGGAATGATGATTTCATCATTATTTTGACAGCGGAACAATAATCCAGTCCTCACCGTGGACAAAGAAAAAAATAGACAAAAGGAAAAAGAGCCAAGCATGAGGATACACATGGAGCCTCTCTCTCGCTCTCTTTCCTTAATCTTACCTTTTAGCGGCATCGAGGAGCGCACCTTGGAAGCACTTGGCGCCGTGGACGAAGGACACCACGAGGATGTCGGACAGCGCAGATTCGACGGTCACGAGGATCTTGTCGCCCATGGCGAGCGCGAGGTGCGCGGATGGGGCCTCCGTCGCTGCGGCCGCCATCTTGCCTCGAATTTAGAGTTATTGCGAGCGAGCGAGCGTGCAAGCTGGTGGTGTGGTGTGCGCTTTGGTATGGTGTGGGCTTTGCGCTCTCCGCTCCGCTCCTGTCCGCTCCGAGCCGCCCGAGAGGAGCGAGCGGGTCCGTCTCGTCTCGTCGTCTCTTCGCGCGTCGCGCCACTCTGCGTCGCGACGCACCGCCCCTCGTTTCTGTCCTCTCTCTCTCCCTCTTTTCCTCTTTTGCTCGCTCGCTCGCTCGCGGCTAGTTAGCCAAAGCAGGATGACGTGAGGAACACGATGGCGACTCCTATGTGTGGAAACCACATGAGGCGAGGTTTCTAGGGTCGTCGGGAGGGTTGGTGGGGAATAGGACGAAGTAAGGGCATTGAGAAGTAGAGAAGTATTCAGCCTGGCAGAGCCTACGGCACAGCTGGCCGCTCCGTCATCCCGGGTGCGCTTGCGCGAGCTGGAGGCGGGTCGTGTCAGGTCCGTATACGTTGAGGATTCTTCAAAAGAGTCCCACGGGATCCGAGATCATCCTTTCCTTCGTCATTCTATTGCTACCAATTTACTCCAAAAATTATAATGTATCATCGGTAGCTTCATTTCTGGATTTTGCGTGTTTCAGATGATGACGTAAGTCGAATCGCTGATGTCAGGCATGTCGCGAGGAGGTGAAACATGCCTCGGTGTAGCCACCCCATTGAGGGACACGTTCGCCGGTGACAGTAGCGTAGCAAGCAACCTTCGTCGTGCGATCAGCTGCCTCTTCCTCGACTTCGGCGCTCGTCGACGTCAAAGAACGGAACGGCCGAGAACGGCCGAGCGTGGTTCCAGAGGTACCACGGTAAGCGAGTGACGGATTTATATGTTTTAATAAAGCGTTGCGTAAGGCGAGGGCGGATCTTGTTTTCGAGAAATTCTCCTTCCTCATATTCTTTATGTATGTTGTAGCTGGACGTTTCATGTAACGAGGAATCGGTTGACTACTGGTGGTTGCCGGCGCAGCGACGAAGGTACATGCAATCTCCATTGACGGAACTAGGTCGTTCTTCGCGATTGCGACCTCTTCGCCGACACCGGGTTGATAGACGGTCGGAAGACGTAAAGTGACGTGAGAGAGGAGTGTTGACACAACGCGTGTACGTCTTGCGAAAAGTGCGTGCTCTCAGCGTGTTAAGCCGTGTTCACACGTTTTTCTTAATAGCTGGAAACGATGCAGGCTCGGTTCATATGCCGACATCGATAGGGAAACCGAGGAAGACCATCTTCGAAGAAAAGAATCTCTGAAAAATCATGCATTTTTATATTAGTACATGTAATCAAGTTGAGACTGATTTTAATTACACTAAATTAGCTTAATTAAATGGCAATGTAATAAGTGAAGAGGGAACCAATTTTGTTTAATCGTTCGAGGTTTCATATTTCAGTTTGATTAATGAAACTACTCAGTCTATTTTAATTAATTGTTGACTAAGTAATTGAATTAAATTTAAAAAAAAACTAACGATAGAAAAGTGTGTCAGGTCCCTTGACGGTGTGATACACTCGTGTCAATCTCGACTTGCACTCGGCTCATTAGCGTTGACTTATACACGTGAATGGCACAACTCCGATAATGCTCAATGGTGTTGATCAATTCCGTCATGACGTTGCGTATGATCCCACGTCACTGCGACTTTCAAGAAACGTTTCTTTATCTTATTTCGTACGTGACATGGCTGCTCATTGCATTTCTAAAATCAGAAATTCGATCATTTTGTACAGCATTTTTGGCTTTTTTACAATAGATATATATTTTAGTCCGTAAAACTTTCAAATTATCGTTATCGGGTAATCGTTATCAATTCCAATGTCATTGCAATTATCTAAAAATCAGGATTTATATCTTGCTGCAGCCTGATAATTAAACGCATATTCGTGTAAGCTTTCGAAGTTTCGCGCTTGCAACCGTATAATTTCGGTTTAAAAAGGCTTGATATAAAAATCTGATTTTTTTGTTAAATTTAATATAATACGTCAGAACACATATTTTAATCCTGTGCCGCCAAAAATATTTTCAAACAAGGTGATTTAAAAAACATTTGATATCAAAATCGAGAAAATAATATAAATGCATTTATCTTTCTGTATCTGTATCTCAAAAACGAAGATTAAGAATTGTTGACGAAGAGGAACTTAAAAGAAGACAAAAAATGTGGTTTCAAAACAACTTAAAAATTATATTGCTTAGTGTTTGTGTAAAAAAAATAATTTTGCCTATTAAAACAATTTCACAGTTAGTTCTCCACGTTAAAGGAAATTTGTACATACATCGGTTTTTGTTTTATAACTATTATCGTTTTTTTATTCATAAAAAATATCGTGTATTATATCTTATTGTTAGTAACAATGAGCAGAAATTCTTTCGTATATATTAAAATGTATATGTTAAAATGCTCAACTGCCGTGCATTATTTTGCATGTGCTCGCACACCAAAACTATAAATACCCTCATTTTTGTCAGACTTCTTGTAACGTTACGAAGGTACACTCGGTTTATTGCAAAACGTAAGAACGCGTTTATCATTTGATTGAAGATCAAAAATACGTATATTTCTTCCTGAAATATTGTTCGCGTGCAGATAAAATAAATAAGTAAATATTGGATAATTATTGAAGTGAGATATTAAGGAAAAATAATTAAAAGAATAATTTCAAAATGTATTGAAAATGTTCTAATTTTTGTAATTGATTATGACAGTGTCTTATTACTTACGAATTATTATATTTTTGATTAGATCTGTGGAAAAATCTCTTGATCGTCCACGATGACGAGCGAGAGACTGGATCTGGACAAGCCCTTGTGGGATCTCAGCAGTTTCGTGGGAAGATGGAAATATTTTGCGTGGATGACCGACTTCCGCACTTGCGTCGTGCCCGAATCAGAATTATTAGCTGCTAAAACATTATGCGAACAATACAGGTAATTGCAAAAATATATATATTTAAAGATTTTTATTTTCTGCAGAATCCACATTCATTGATTGGTCGAAAAATTTTTATAGTATTCAATATAATTTCAATATAACTCTGTGATTAATTCTAAAATATTTACAATTAATTCTTGAAATAATTAAAAACTTGAATTTGAAATCTTATTAAACTTTATTATGAAAATTAATGTTATTAAATAACAATGTGTAAGGCAATTTGCTGTCTTCATTCGTTATTTCATGTTTTCTAATCACTCGGAAATGGTTGTATATACCTTGTAGACTTGGCAAAGAACCAGCTGATACGACCAGAGAACAAATCATCTATGCGAAGAAGCTGTACGAGTCAGCCTTTCATCCTGACACCGGCGACCTACAAAATGTCTTTGGCAGAATGTCTTTCCAAGTGCCAGGTGGAATGGCCATCACCGGCGCTATGCTCCAATTTTATAGGTTTTTGCAGAATATTTTCAGATTGTTCCTTTGCTCAATATTGAACATTTTTATTTTTAGTTTTATCGATATCGTGATAAAATCTTCCAAGCTGTAAAAAGAAAAGAATATTAATTATTCATTTTTTAAATCTAGGTTTAATATTGATAAGTAATATTTTATTCTATTTATTAAATTATATAATATTTTATTTCTTAATTCGAGAGTTTTTTTTTTGCAATAATTGTTATATTTCTTTTAGATACAAGAGATATTTGATTTGATTTTTAGAACAACGCAAGCGGTGGTTTTCTGGCAATGGGTCAATCAATCTTTTAACGCTCTCGTCAATTACACCAACAGAAATGCTAACAGTCCTATAACCACCAACCAGCTAGGTGCAGCTTACATCAGTGCCACCGTCGCGGCGATGATAACCGCGATAGGATGTAAATCATATTGGGAGAAACGCGCAAGCCCTTTGATGGCTGTAAGTTTTGCGAAGGCAATTTAAAGACTATATAGAATATCTTACATTGTTTTATGTAAGTGGCATATAATTATTTTTTGACATAATTTAGAATAATTAATTTTAATTCGCTAGAAAAAAATTAAAAAATTGATAGTTCTTATTTTTCAAGAAACTCGTTCTAGATTGTGCTCTGAATAGATCTTTAAAAAATTTTCAGAGGTATGTTCCGTTCGCAGCAGTGGCGGCCGCTAATTGCGCTAATATCCCTCTAATGAGACAAAACGAAATCAGTAACGGCGTGGATCTCATTGACGAAGACGGTAGAAAACTTACAAGATCGAAGGTGAGCTCTCGAGTCTGTCGCATTAAATCTTTACTTCATTATGAAAATCAATGTACCTTTTATATTTTATACTTTATTTTAGAATTTTAGACATTTTAGATTTTTACAATAAATTTTAATAATTAATTAATAATTTCAGCTCGCAGCCATAAAAGGCATCAGTCAAGTCGTTATTTCAAGAATCGTCATGTGCGCACCCGGCATGCGTACGTATCGAATGAATATATATAAATCAATACTATCTCAATATTATTACATATAAATTGCTCATTAAAAATATTCTACGAATTGGTTTCTGCGTTATTAAAATATTACATCTGTCTAATTAAAATAATAATTTCCACAGTTATTCTGCCGCCTATAATGGAAAGGTTGGAGAAATACGCGTGGATGCAAAAAATTAGACCTCTGCACGCGCCTATGCAAATTATGATGTGCGGAGTTTCGTGAGTATTCTGTTCTTCTTATTTAATCACAATCTAACTGGCATCCTTATATTATTATTATTCAATTATTAATGAAATTTTTATTTTCCTTTTAGACTAACGTTTATGGTACCAACGGCATGTGCGTTGTTCCCGCAAAATTGGTAAATAATATTTTCACATATCCGACATGTCCATAGCTATTCCTCACTTTTATTTTATTTTGTTGTTATCTTATTTTATCGTATTTTACAGTTCCATCAAAGCAACAACTCTGCAGCGGTGGGAGCCAGAAAACTACGAGTTGCTGAAGAAGAATTGCGAAGGCGGTGAAATACCGAAATATTTGTATTTTAACAAGGGATTATAATGTTATGAAATTTCCTAGTTTTACGAAGCTAATTGTCCTAAATGAGCGTTATTCCATCCTTTGCAAATGTTATTGTTTCAATTAACGCACTCGTGTGACAAAACTTTTCTGCTGGATCAGAAATGAAACATGCGTTCATAATTAATAGAATTAATAGAATCGATCCCTTTGTCAATTCTTTCATGTGATCGAAAATATTGAACGTTTCACACGAAATGTTAATAACAATGTTAGAAATTAGAATTTAGATACAAAATGTGTAATACGAACAAAAGAGTAAAATTTCGTCAACATGTTGAAATATCATGCAATAAATAGTCGAGATTTGCAATGCAATAGAAACCATAAAGAATGAAGGATAAAGCTTTGACAATACAGGTTTAGTGCTTTATCAAAGTTTAATCACGTGTAAACACAAAAATCTTAGTGATAATTTTGTTTTAATAAGCACTCAATGTGGTTGCTCTCAGGCATCTCTCAATTTGAAAGTTTTATATATTATAAATGTTATTTTTTTGTTCTGTGCAAAATAATCTTAAACACTGGAAAATGTTACTTAATATTAATCATATACTTAATATTGTTACTTAATATTGTTAATATTATTTGCGTTACATTTTCAACGTCTGTCGAAGATAAAAATGCTGCCATATGTAACGATACGATAAAAAACTTTGCTACATATGTGATTAATAAAAAATACAATGGTATATATAGAGAAACAATTAAGATATGAATAAAGGTTGTTAAATAATTAAATAACAGTTATTTTGTTCTCACCTAACTTTATCCAATTCTAATTTTTATTTTGGCAACTCCATTTCTGGAAAAAATCTAATAATGTGAAAGAAAATTTATAAATTTTATTTTTATTTATACTAATTACAATCCCTTGTTATAATAAACAAAATCCGGATATTTGCGCTGGCCCATTTTCTCTCGAAATATTTCATATTCTTCTGGATATGTCTTTAACAGATCTGGCTTCATCGAGCTTGTAAAAAAATGATTAACATGTATATATTAACATACAGTTGTATTATTTTATACTAAATCATTCTAATACAAATATGATATATACAAATTGTAAAAAGTACATACAGTAATTTCTTATTTAAATTCTCTTATTCACAAATATTGAAAATTAACTCAAGTTTATACTTACTTTTTCTGCGGGAAGATAGCAAGCGCCGAAGGGATCATGATCAATAAACTGCCAATAAAAAAAACATACTTGTATTAATATTTTTATAGCTTGTTTTTTTTTTTATATAGTTTGTTTCACTTCCATTACCAAACATTGCAACTCAAAGGAGTGCATGGTGCAACAGGTTGCAATATCAATACTGTACGTTGCAGATAAATTTGCATAAGGTTCAACACGGTTGCATACAAATCGTATGTCGCGCGAATACATATTTCAGCTGCCGCCGCTGCTTGCGCAAATTTGCGCGACGCAACGTAAACATGTAACTGTAATAAAACTTACCTGAGCGCGCATAAACCGATTTCTATGGGAAAAGCGATCCACGGACGAAGCTGGTAGAAACAGTACGGTTGCATTCGTTGCGTGATAATTGGGATCATCAACATTCCCGGCGCGGCCATTATTATCCTGGTGAGGACGCACTCGGAAATGCCCTTGACGGCAGCCACCTGCGACCTCATGATGCAGACTTTATCTTCACTTTTGACAAATATAGGGATGCCTCGCGTGAGTTCCCGTTGCCTCATAATGGGAAGATTCACTATGTTGCCGGCAGCCACCGCACAGAACGGAGCGAATCTCTATGAAGAAGACAACTTTTTGAATTAATATACTCATTTTTTTACATTTCTTGATTATAATTAATATCCCCTATAATTATGGATTTTTATAGATGATATAATATATTAATAGACATGATATAGATATATTATTAGATATAATATATCAATATCTTATTAATAAATATAATAGGTATATAAAATATGTTAATAAAAATATATCTATTTAATATTAAATATAAATATAAAATATTAGTAGTCGCTAGTTTAAAATGATGAAACATTTCTTTTAATGACATTTTCTTGCTCATTTTGTTCTGTCATCTAGATAGAATGCGGAGCAAAGAATGATATAGCGGATTAACTGCAAAGAGGGTTCCTCTGCCGGAGAATAGCTTCCTGAATCCCAAAGCGGCCGCGCAACTCGCTACAGTCGCCAGCACGAAGGCCTGTTGGATCGCATCGGTGTCTTGCGGTTCGTCGCTCATCGCGTTTCGATTGGTGTAATTGACAAACGCATTGAAACCTTGATTAACCAATTGACACGCTATGACGCCGTAAGCGGACCTAATAAAGACGCGCGCACGATAGATATGATTGAATTTGAGGAAGGATTTGCGCGTGCGGGGATGATGTATCATGCATATTCATTTCATGCGGAAAAGTTCACCTGTAGAAAGTCAACATTGCGGCGGTGAGGACGACGGAACTTGGTAGTTGAAAGGACATTCTTCCTATCACATGCATCAACTCGCCGTTATCAGGATGAAAGGCGCTGTCCCGTAGCTTCTTCGCGTAGATTATATCCTTTCTCTGCAGGCATTCCGGCTCCTTGCCGGCTCTAATTGACAAATAAATATTAAATATTAAAATAAATATTATAATTATTAATTATTAATTGAATTTTACAATTATATAACTATAATTAAATTATTGGTTAATATAAGCTATACAATTAATAATTAAAGAGTATTATCTTTTATATTTTAAGCGATTATTATTTCTCCAATAGTATACTTGTTTTCCGTAAAATTAGGATTAATTCAAAACATCAAATATATAATCGCAACTCACTTATAATCCTCGCAGAGTTTCTTCGCTTCCCACAATTTGCTTGTCGGCACAACAATCGTGCGACAATCGGTGATAAAGGCATAATGCATCCATCTTCCCAAATACGTGTCTTGACTCCAAAGTGGTTTATCGATGTCAATTCTATCCTTAGTTTCATTTCGAAGATCGCCGTTCTTTCCCTTTATTATTTGTTGTGTAACTGATTGCGTCTCTCCCATTTCAACAAAATTCCTAGAAATTATATAATAAATTATTACAATATAAATATATTCACAAATTACAGCTACACACGATAAATACAAAAGACTTTTGCACAAAAAGATTAAAAATAATTTTTAAAAAATTACTTTTGTTTAAAATCGATTTTGTGTTTTAGACAGAACAAGATGAAACAAAATTAACGATAAGATGTCTGTCGCATAATTTTGATAAGATTTCTGACATGTTTCGTCTCATCAAAATGTACTGATGTTTACTCGATTTATAGAACGTAAATGACACTTCTGATTGTCATAACAGCATTTGACGTTTGACAGTAGATCGTAAAATCAATGACTAAGTTAAATAATTTGCAACATTGTGAATATGTTTGCAGAATTTTCGATATAACTCGCAGTATCTTTATATCAAATAATACATGAACAAAATTATTCTAGAGATATAATTATGCGATAAATATGAATTGCACTTGCTGACACAAAAACCAATTAATTCAAAAAAATTATCACGATTTATTTTAATTTATACATCAATTCGTTTTATAGTGTCATTTTCGAAAAGAAAATATTTGTACAGGATGTGTTTATAAAATATGATATCCAACGCGGGAAGATTTGAATTTTGCGTTCGAGTATCTCGCAAAAGTTATTATGTGTAAATAAATATGATCAAAAAGACGATTATATTGAAACATTGCGAATTTTCTGTTGTCGAGATGTTTATCATTTGCCGGGAAAAAATTGATGTGACACAGTTAATTTGTTCTCCAGAACTCTATCTATAATATAAATTTAGGTCGCAAATTGCGCGTTCAATATCTATTGTTAACGATAACGTAAAATGGATTTATTTACCATTAATAAGCTAATAAGTTCGTACATTATTCTTAGAACATGTTATATTATTTTTGCTTTCCTCGTTTTTCTACTAATCATAATAAAATTATTTACATCTCCGGTTTTACATCTCCGGTTAATATTATTCTGATAAACTGGTTGAACTCATAACTAATCGAATAAATGTAACTGAAGACAAAGAGAGAATTTGAATCAATCGCAGTAAGTAAATTTTATAACTTTATAATTTCGTAGAGAAATTTTCATTGGCAATCGCGACATTTCTCTTCATGATTGATTTTACTTTATATATATTATATCGTTATCTTCGAAATTAAAATATTTTCGTCCTACATCCAAGTAAATATACGCAAACAAAAGAACGATTATTGTTTTAAAACTTGAAAAACTTTTGTCGACGAGATGTTTATTTGTCGAGAAACGTTCACACAGTTGATTTCTCATCCAGTAAATCACGCTGTTGATAATATAAATTTAATACATTTTTATAATTTAAATATATCGTGATAATTTGTGCGCTCGGGATCGATTAAAAATGGATCCGATCATTTTAATAGAAATGGATTTCCTCTTTTTGGTCACCTTTCTATTCATTTATATCGCAAGAATCCACGCGGAATTAAATTTAATAATAATAGATTTAGTGCGCGCGTTCGCAATTATTTATTTCATATTAACTACGGGTAGAATAATCTTAAGTGATTTACAAGCATATAAGGATAAAGAATTAAAAGATTATTAATAAAATTGAAAACGTTTCGAGGAACTTAAAGGGAGACTAACCGATCGCGGTAAGTAAATCTTGAATTCATATGTTCGTACACGAGATAAAATTTCGAACGGATGATGACTGCATCTAATAAATTTCAAAGAACACGGCCAATTAATCGAAAAAGATTATCATCTTCATAACGTTTATATACATTACATGATTCATTTTATATCGCATTGTTTCGTAGCGTTATCTTCGAAATAAATAAAATATATTTACGACACACACACACACACACACACACACTGATATATATATATATCGTAAAGATATTTTATTATATATATTTATATATAGCAAATTGTGGGAAGCGAAGAAACTCTGCGAGGATTATAAGTGAGTTGCGATTATATATTTGAATTAATTTTAATTTTGCGGAAAACAAGTCTACTATTGGAAAAATAATAATCGCTTAAAATATAAAAGATAATACTCTTTAATTATTAATTGTATAGCTTATATTAATCAATAATATAATTATATAATTATATAATTGTAAAATTTAATTAATAATTCATAATTATAATATTTATTTTAATATTTAATATTTATTTATCAATATATATATTTTATATATATATATATATATATATATATATATATATATAGGATGATTTCGATGGCAATATTTAAATTTTGCGCCCGGGTATCTCGCAAAATAAGTAAATAAATACGGATAAATAGACAATCGTTTTGAAACTTTACAAACTTTTCGTTGACAAGACGCTCGTTATTTGTCGAGAAACGTTGACGCGACACAGTTGATTTCTCATCCAGTAAATCACGCTGTTGATAATATAAATTTAATACATTTTTATAATTTAAATATATCGTGATAATTTGTGCGCTCGGGATCGATTAAAAATGGATCCGATCATTTTAATAAAAGAGGATTTCCTCTTTTTGTTCATCTTTCTATTCATTTATATCGCAAGAAGAAACGGGCTAATAAATTTAATTACAACACGTTTATTGCTCGCGTGCACAATTATTTATATAATATTCACTATAAGTAGAAAAATCTATGGTTTATTACAAACATTTATAAGGCTAAAGAATTTAAAGATCATTAATGCAAGTGAAAACGTTTCGAGATACTTAAAGGTTGACTATCCGATCGCGGTAAGTAAATCTTGAATTCATATGTTCGTACACGAGATAAAATTTCGAACGGATGATGACTGCATCTAATAAATTTCAAAGAACACGGCCAATTAATCGAAAAAGATTATCATCTTCATAACGTTTATATACATTACATGATTCATTTTATATCGCATTGTTTCGTAGTGTTATCTTCTAAATAAATAAAATATCTTTACGACACACACACACACACACACACATATGTGTGTGTGTGTGTGTGTGTGTGTCGTAAAGATATTTTATAATTTTATATATATATATATATATATATATATATATCGTAAAGATATTTTATTATATATATTTATATATGTAGCAAATTGTGGGAAGCGAAGAAACTCTGCGAGAATTATAAGTGAGTTGCGATTATATATTTGATGTTTTGAATTAATTTTAATTTTGCGGAAAACAAGCCTACTATTGGAAAAATAATAATCGCTTAAAATATAAAAGATAATACTCTTTAATTATATAATTGTAAAATTTAATTAATAATTCATAATTATAATATTTATTTTAATATTTAATATTTATTTATCAATATATATATTTTATACATATATACAGGGTGTTCGGTAACTAACGGACCAACGATCACAAATGGATTCTTTGGTCAATTGGGAACGATTTTCCTCAGCGAAATGTCAAAAAAGGTCATCATTTTTTACAACTTTCCAATATTTGTCATTATGTATCTTTATAACTAAGCCTCAAATTAAAATTGTATTATAGTAAACTCTACCTGAAATTAACTGAAGAATGTAATTATGTTAGACTTTGAACTCCAAAACGTTTAGTTTTCAAAAAACCCATTTTTTTCAATCGCTTATAACTCGAAAATTATTGACTTCTCAACATTTTTGCTGAGGAAAAATCATCATCTTTTCACCTACCCTACAACCCCTCAACGGTTGGCACCGGAGTTCCCGAACACCCTGTATATGTATATAGGATGATTTCGATGGCAATATTTAAATTTTGCCCGGGTATCCCGCAAAATAAGTAAATAAATAATGATAAATAGACAATCGTTTTGAAACTTTACAAACATTTTGTTGACACGCTCGTTATTTGTCGAGAAACGTTGACGCGACACAGCTAATTTATCATCCAACAAACACACTGTTAATAATATAAATTCAAGTGTAGAGATCATTTGTGCGTTCGGAATCGATTATTAACAATAATCTAAAATGTACTATCATCTGCACAAGTTAAGCTATTATGTCTTAATCTTTTTATTGGTTCATTCGAATACCATAGAAACAGATAAGATATTCATAATAAAAATTGTAATTATCATATTGATACTCATTGATTTCATCAATTACATATAATAATTAAATCATGAGACTTTAAAAGAAGTCGAGCTTAAATAGCATAAATAGAGGATAAGTAATAGTATTAATAAAATTAAAAAAGGTTTAAGGAACTTAAAGAGAGACTAACCGATCGCGGTGAGTAAATCTAGAATTCATATTTTCGTAAAGAAATTTGCATATTTATATACGTATATTTATTGCATCTAGCCAACTCTTATTGCAGAAGAAAGGAAATTAAAATAAGAATAAAGATAATATAAATACAAATTGTACTTGCTATATAACACAAAGAACGATTAATTAAAAAAAATTCTCGTTTAGATAGCGACATTTGTCTTTTCATGATTAATTTTAATAATTTACTTTATATACCATATTGCGTTATCTTCGAAATTAAAATATTTTCGCAGGTCATATTTATATACAAATATATATATTTTGTTGACAAGATGCTCGTTATTCGTCGAGAAATATTCACGCGATACAGTTAATTTGTCCTTCGGGCTTCCATAATCTATAATATAAACTCAAGTCGCAGATTGCTATAACTTGATTTCTGTTGTGAAAATTAACATAAAATGAATCGACGAATAACATATTTAATTTTTGTCTGCATCGGAATACTCTTTAGATTCTTAATCCACCATTTCGTTGACGAGCCTAAAAATTCGAAAATTACAATCAATTTTATGCATCTAATTTTAGAATTTCTGAGAAGTATGAGTTTCAAATTATGGATGCAAATGGAAGGTGTGTACTATTCTGATGAACCGATTAAACTCATAAGTACTCGAATTAATGTAACTGGAGACGGAGAAAATTCTAATCGATCGCAGTAAGTAAATTTTGACTTTGTAATTTCGTAGAGAAATTTGGAACATATATATCGCATCGAGTCAACTCAAATTGCAGAAAAAAAGAGCATTAAAATATTAAGAATATTAACAATATTAAAGACAATTAAAATCAGAATAAAGATGAGATAAATACAAATTGTACTTGCTAACGCAAAAAGCGCGGTTAATTAAAACAAAAATTCTCGTTTAGATAGCAACATTTGTCTCTTCGTGATTGATTTTACTTTATAGATCATATCGTTTATCTTCGAAATTAAAATAATTTCAATGGCAATAATCGAATTTTGTGTTCGGACATCCCGCCAAAGATATAAATAAACACAGACCAAAGAACGATCGTTTTGAAACGTTATTGAGATGCTCGTTACTTGTCGAAAAACGTTCACGCGATACAGTTGATTCGTGCTCCGGGATTCCATAATCTATAATATAAATTCAGGTCGCAGATTGCGATAACTTGTGCGCGCGATATCTATTGTTTAAAATTGACATAAAATGTATAGTCAAGTAATATACTTTATTTTTATCAACTCCTTAATAGTCACTATAATATTCTTTGTAATCTATCTTCTTGAGGATATGATTGAGAAATATATAATAGGGCTATTAAATATATGAAATGGCTATTAAATAATATAAAAAGTGTAGTTTTGACAGTATGGGTCGAGTTGACAAATAAGTTTATATAAAATAATTCTTAATCGTAATACTATTCTGATGAACCAGCTGAGCTCATAACTAATCGAATTAAAATGTAACTGGAGAGAGAATTATTCTACTCGATTATAGTAAGTAAATTTGGAATTTAGAATTTTGTAGGGAAATTTTGAACATATTTTTATCGCATCTCGCTGACTCTAATTGCAGAAGAAAGGAAATTAAAATAAGAATAAAGATAAATACGAATTGTACTCGCTAACGCAAAAAGCGCGGTTAATTAAAACAAAAATTCTCGTTTAGATAGCAACAATTGTCTCTTCGTGATTGATTTTACTTTATAGATATTATATCGTTTATCTTCAAAATTAAAATAATTTCAATGGCAATAATCGAATTTTGTGTTCGAGCATCTCGCGAAAGATACGTAAATAAACATAGACTAAAGAACGATCGTTTTGAAACTTTATTGACGAGATGCTCGTTACTTGTCGAGAAACGTTCACGCGATACAGTTCGTCCTCCAGGATTCCATAATCTATAATATAAATTCAGGTTGCAGATTGCGATAACTGGTGCACGCGATATCTATTGTTTAAAATCGACATAAAATGAATAGATATGATTTAGTACACTTAATTCCTGTCTGCGTCGTAATATTCTTTATAATCTATCTTATTGAGGATAAGATGAGGAAATATATAATACGGCTATTAAATATATATGAAATGGATATTGAATAATACAAAAAGTGTAGTTTTGACAGTATGGGTCGAGTTGACAAATATGTTTATAAAAAATAATTCTTAACCGTAATACTATTCTGATGAACCAGCTGAACTCATAACTAATCGGATTAAAATGTAACTGGAGACGGAGAGAGAATTATTCTACTCGATTATAGAGTAAGTAAATTTGGAATTTAGAATTTTGTAGGGAAATTTTGAACATATTTTTATCGCATCTCGCTGACTCTAATTGCAGAAGAAAGGAAATTAAAATAAGAATAAAGATAAATACGAATTGTACTCGCTAACACAAAAAGCGCGGTTAATTAAAACAAAATTCTCATCTTAATAGCGAGCCCCACATTTGTCTACATGATTAATTTTAGTTTATACATCATATCGTTATCTCTCTTCAAAATTAAAATATTGTTGTAAAACATATACATACATAAGACAATTGCGATGACAATGTATTTAAATTTCGCATCCGAGCATCTCGCAAAAATAACGTGAATAAACGCGGACAAATGGATCGTTTTGAAACTTCTTACAAACTTCCCCTGTTGAAATGTTCGTCATTTACCGAGAAACGTTGACGCGATGCAGATCTATATGATTCATTTTACTTTATACATCATATCGTTTGATAACGTTATCTTCAAAATCAAAATATCTTTACAGGACTTATGTATAAGACAATTACAATGGCAATAATCAAATTTTACATCTGAGCATCCTGCAAAAGTTACATAAATAGCATAAACGCGATGAGAAGGACAATTATTTTAAAACGTTACATACCCTCCATATTTCCAGTTGACGAGAATCTCATTATCGTAAAATATTGACGCAGTTGATTTATCTTCCAAGACTATTCAAAATAATACAAAAACAAATCGTAGATAGTGATAATTTACACGATCGGTATCTATTAAGAATGACACAAAATGCATATTTTGCATTTATTACTGCATTTATTACTACCTTGTACTAATATATTTACATATGGATAAAATTGGAGAATAGCACAATTTTTATATTATAGAATATTAATTATATATACATTATAAACACATAAATATAATTATATATATATTACATAATTATATTTATGTTATAAATATATAATTATATATATATATTACATAATTATATTTGTTATAAATATATAATTATATATAATATTGTATATACATATATATAATTTTATATATATAATTATATATAATATATACATATATATAATTTTATATATATAATTATATATTATATTTTTTTAAACAATAACACTATTCTGAACCACTGAACTCATGAATAATATAATTGGAATAATGGATCTGGAAAGTGAATTTTAACCTCTGGTAAGTGAATCTTAAATTTGTACTTTCGTAAAGAAATTTGAGACGTATCTAAACTCTTACTACTAAACTCTTATGGCACAGAAAAGGAAATTGAAATAAGAATAAAGTTGAAATAAATAAGAATTGTACTTGCTATAAAACGCACAGTGCGGTCAATTGAATAAAAAAAGTTCTCATCTTGATAGCGATATTTGTCCTTGTATAATTCATTTTACTTTATAACATATCATATCGTTATCTTCAAAATCAAAATATTTTTGCAGGACGTGCATATATGGTAGATTATACAATTTCAAATTTTGCTATTCCGCAAAAGTTACGTAAACAAAATGAAGCGTTAATAAAAGAAGAAGGATGATTATTTTGAAACACATTTTCTGTTGCCGAGATGCTCATCATTTACCGGGCCTGGAAACATACCGACGAACTTGAAGAGAATTTTATCGAGTTTAGTAAATAAATTTTTTTAATTCACATTTTTGTATACGCGATAAAATTTCAAGCAGTTATATAATAAGCGCATCTGAAAAATTGTAAAAAGCACGGATAATTAATAGAAAATTATTCTCATCTTGATAGCGACACTTGTCTCTATATGATTCATTTTATTTTATGCATCATATCGTTTTATAGCGATAGCTTCAAAATCAAACTATTTTAGTAGGACACATATATATATATATTTCATACTCGATAAAATACTTTGTGTATTCACTTTTTTATGTATGTCAACGAAATAATTTAGGAATGTATGCTATGAAAGCCTATCCTGATATTATATTGCTTTCTAATATAGTATTATGTTCATTTTTATTCTATCATGGCACATTAATCTTATGAGAAATTTAACGCATGTAAGTTGAAGTAATCGATACGAATAAAACTGCCAACGTCTCAAAAAATTTAAAAGGAGATTTCAAATCCCTGTGGTAATATTCCAATTTTGCATCCCGATATCCCGCAAAAGTTACGTAATTAAAGACGGACCAAAGAACGTTCGCTTCGAAATTTTTGGTTGACGAGATGCTCGTTATTTGTCGAGAAACGTTGACGCGACATAGTTAATTTGTCATCCAGCAAATCACGCTGTTAATCATATCAATTTAATATCGATCATTAACGATAACATAAAATGGATTCGTTGATTTTAATACATTTGAATATAATCTTTCTCTTAATCTTTTTACACATTTATCATAAGAATAAACGCGGAACGAAATATATAGTGATAATAAAATTTACAGTGTTCATGTATATTTTGATTGCTTATACTTATTTAATAATCCAATGAGACTTCACAAGAAGTGGATGAGCTTAAAAAGTATAAGAAAAGTAAAAAAAATAATCGTATTAATAAAAATAAAAACGTTTTGAAGAACTTAAAGGGAGTCTAACCGATCGCGGTGAGTATGAGTATGTACAGTTGACTTGTCATCCAGCAAATCACGTTGTTAGTAATATAATTAATATAGCGATAATTTGCACGCTTGGGATTATTAACGATAACTTAAAATGGATCCGGCCTTATTAATATATATTTATATCGGTTTGGAACTCTTTCTATGTCTTTGTTTCACAAAAATAGACGCGGACGAAAATGTAGCGATAATGCAACTTACAGTGCTCACGTACATATATTTTTCTGGTTTACTCATATATATATCAATCTTAAGAGACTTTAAAAATCGAGCTGAAATAGTATAAATATAGTATAAGTAATCCTGTTAATAAAATGGAAAACGTTGGAGGAACTTAAAGGGAGACTAACCGATTGCGGTGAGTAAATCTTCAATTTATATTTTCATATACAAGATTAAATTTTTTACGGGCTGCATCTAACAAATTTTAAAAAACGCGGCCAATTAATCGAGAAAAATTTTCATCTTGTCTTTACATAATTTATTTTACTTTATGCATCGTATTCTTTTATAGCTTTCTCTTCGAAATAAATAAAATATTTTTACAGAACATGTTTATAGGACGATTTCGATGGCAATATTGAAATTTTGCGTCCGAGTATCCCGCAAAATAAGTAAATAAACGCGACTAAAGGACGATCGTTTTGAAACTTTAGAATCTTTTTGTTGACGAGATGCTCGTTATTTGTCGAAAAATGCGTTGACACGATACAGTTCGTTTGTCATCCAGCAAATTACGCTGTTAAAAATATAAATTTCAGTACAGTGATAATTTTTGTGCTCCGGATCGATTATTAACGATAACATAAAATGAATCCGTATACTTTATTACATTTGGTTTCTATCTGCCTCGTATTAATCATTACAATCATATTTTTTACTAACGAGAATACGGAATATATACATTTTATGCATTTAATAATGATATTATATATGGCAATAAAAATTGCTATACAAATTTATTTTTAACCATAACACTATTTTAATAAACCGGTTGAACTCATATAAGTAATCAAATTAATGTAACTGGAGACAGAGAGAGAATTCTAATCGATTGCAGTAAGTAAATTTTGACTTTATAATTTCGTAGAGAAATTTGGAACATATATATCGCATCGAGCCTACTCAAATTGCAGAAAAAAGAACATTAAAATATTAAGAATATTAATAATATTAAAGAAAATTAAAATCAGAATAAAGATGAGATAAATTGTACTTGCTAACGCAAAAAGCGCGGTTAATTAAAAAAATTCTCATTTAGATAGCAACATTTGTCTCTTCGTGATTGATTTTACTTTATAGATATCATATCGTTATCTTCAAAATTAAAATATTTTTGTAAAACATATACATATTTAAGCCAATTGCAATGGCAATGTATTTAAATTTCGCATCCGAGCATCTCGCAAAAATAACGTAAATAAACGCGGACAAATAAATCGTTTTGAAACTTCTTACAAACTTCTCCTGTTGAGATGTTCGTCAGGAGGTTTAATTTATCATCCAACAATTCACGCTATTAATACAAATTCAACTGTAATATAGAGATTATTTGAGCGCTCGGTATTTATTATTAACAATAACATAAAATAGACACTGAAATGGATCTGTACACTATATCATGTATTGATCATTCAATCAAGATCAGCCTATTCCTTCTATTAAATGATCTGAATATCTGGGGAATAATTAAGGGACAATATATAACGATAATGAAATGTATAAATCTCATGTTGTTATTTTTCACATTTTTATACGAGATTTTTCAATATACCACGAGATTTTACGCACTAATAAGTAATGATGTTAATAAAACTAGTCCCGCGAAATTTAAAGGAAAACACCGGATCACGCAGTGAGCAAATTTCGAATTTATATTTTTATAGAAAAATTTGGAACTAAATATTTATCATATCTAGTCTATCCTTATTGCAGAAGATAAGAAATTAAAATAAATGTGAGAGATAAATACGAATTATACAGTGAAAAAAATTTGTTAATTTGACTAAATCGTTCAACTAAATATTATTTTATTAAGTAAACTACAGAAATATTCAAATTAAATATAACATTAAATCTAATAAAATGTATATTTTATTTAAATACTAATATATGTTCAATTAAGAAGATAGTAATTTAATTGAACGGTTTAGTTAAATTAACAATTTTTTTCAGTGTACTTACTAACACAAAAAGTGCGGTTAATTAAAAAAAATTCTCATCTTGATAGCAACATTTGTCTACATGATTCATTTTAGTTTATATATTGTTATCTTCAAAATTAAAATATTTTTGCAAGAACATACATATATATTGCAATGTGGTCGAATTTCGTATCCGAGCATCTCGCAAAAATAACGTAAATAAACACGGACAAATTAAACGATTGTTTTGAAACTTTTTACAAATTTTCTGTTGAGATGTTCGTCATTTGCCGAGAAACGTTGACGCGATTCAGTTGGTTTATCATCCAACAAATCACGCTGATAATACAAATTCAACTGCAATATAGTGATTATTTGTGCCGTCAGTATCTATTATTAACAATAACATAAAATGGACAGTGAAAAGGATCTGTACATTTTACCTAGTTTAATCAATATAAGCCTATTCCTTATATTCATTAGTCTCAATATCTTGGGAGCTTATGGGAGACGAAATGTAATGATAATGAAATTTGTACTTATATTGATGATGTTCACATCCTCATACGAATTACTTCGTTTTATCGAGACAAGAATAAGTAATCCTATTGATAAAACTAGAAACGTTCCAAGAAATTTAAAGGAAAACACCTGATCACGCAGTGAGTAAATTTCAAATTTATATTTTCATAGAGAAATTTGGAACTGAATATTTATCATATCTATAGTCTACCCTTATTGCAGAAGAAATTAAAATAAATGTCAAGAGATAAATACAAATTATACAGTACAAAAAAATATTAATTGGACTAAATTGTTCAACTAAATATTATTTTATTAAGTGAACTACAGAAATATTCAAATTAAATATAACATATTAAATCTAACGAAATGTATATTTGACTTAAATACTAATATATGTTCAATTAAAAAGATAGTCATTTAATTGAACGATTTAGTCAAATTAACCATTTTTTTCAGTGTACTTGCTAACACAAAAAGCGCAGCTAATTAATAGAAAAAAATGTGATTATTTATCTTGATAACATAATTCATCTTGCATATATGCCTATTCGTTTTAATATTAATTCGTTTTATTATAATTCGTTGTTTTCCAAATCATATTCTTCGTTTATAACTTTTTTAGCTTCGAAACTCGAATTATTGTGTCGTGCGTTGAAAAATTTCGCGTCCAAAATCAAAAAAGTATGTAAATATAAACATAAATGGAAATAATATTCGACTGTTCCGAAACATTGTGAAACTTTTCTCAATTTTCGTATAACATTGGCGCAGATACCCGTCTAAGATTCTTCGCAGTTCATACAATCGATTACGATATATCGCCTTTTTTTTCAATTTTACGCGCGTCGTGTGTACTGTTTTAACATTTTAATGCTTTTTTGGCAATAACTTAAAACAACAAACACTTTGTGATAATTGATAATAAAATGTGGAACATATATCATCTCTTTTTGATAATTATTATCATAATTATCACTGTATTTACTGCAATACGTTACCCGAATTTGGAATCTGCAATTACATTGTTGATATGGCATTCCATGGCAATATGGCAGCGTTTGGCTAAATCTATGTCGTCTGAATTTATACAAAAATATGATAATGGAACAGAAAATGATCAAAGAAGACATTCGGATAATTTGTATACAATTGGTGAGTGATGGATATTTTTCTTGCATAAAATAACAATTTTAACGTATGTTGACTCGCATCTTGACGGAACGGAAAAAAATTAGAAATTAAGATAGAAAATGAAATAAATTTTAATCATTATCGACGCGAAAAAGATGACTATTGTCAAAAGAGATACGTTTATCTTGATGACAGGACTTGTTTCTCTGTATATGTTTTATTTATCACAGCTATTCTGTCTTCTATACAGCAGTTTCGCTTATGAAATTGATATTCTCAGATAATTTATTTATATTGATTAGCTTCAAAAAACAATTGTGTCCTCAATTCGAATTTCTCGATCCGATATCTTGAACGTAACATAAATATAAACATAAACGCGAAGAAATCCGTTCCATCGCGAAGCTTATTTTATTATTAGCAAGATGTTAAAATTTTAAGGAAAAACATTGATGCGAGACAAATCACGTTTGTCTACCATCACTTTCTGTAGTTTGCATAATCGCCGAATCACAATAATAAATCATTCTGTGCTAATATTGACTTTAATATAATTAATGCAATTTTTGTCAATAATTTGAAAAATACACGATTAACACTGCAATAAAAAAAATTGATTTGATTAAACCTTTTAACTAAATAATATTTTATTAATTGAATATATAAAAATATTTAAATTAAATATAACACATTAAATCTAACAAAATGTGTATTTGACTTAAATACTAATATATGTTCAGTTAACAAAATAATAATTTAGTTGAAAGATTTAGGGCAAGTTAACAATTTTTTTCAATGTACAAATGATGTATTTAGATATTATCATTATTTTTTATTCGTATTCAATAATTTATATTTTGTATTTGATATTTGGGCTAACATGCAATTTTATGCTTAAGTTATTAAATAAGTGGCAAATATATAGAGATTTATATTAAAACAGAATAACATAATTATATGCTGAAAAAAGTTAACTTTATTAAATCGTTCAACTAAATATTATTTTATTAATTGAACATATAGAAATATTTAAATTAAATGTAACACACACATATAACTTTAACAAAATATATATTTTACTTAAATACTAATATATGTTCAATTAACAAAATAGTAATTTAATTGAACGATTTAGTCAAGTCAATTTTTTTTCAATGTAAATGTTCAAAGAAAATTAGAAAATGTCTATGTGATTGCTAAGTGAATCTTGAATGAATATTTTTATACACAAAATAAAATTTAAAACGTATTGATCTAGTAAATTTATAATGGAAGGATAAATCAGGAAAGATTAATGATCATTTCGAAATATACCTGAGAATACAAAAGTGACGACTAATTAATTGAAAGAAATATCATCATTCATTTTGGCAGCAACATTCGTTTCTGCACGATTCATTTTATTCATACACCGATTCGCTACAATTCTGCTTTCGTATTCATTTCAGTTAGCATTCGCAGAACTTGTTTATGTAGAATAACTTTGAAAGGAAAAATCACAAGAGAAATTCTCAGACGAATTTAAAATTCATTCAGTTTTCCTTCATCGAAAAAGTAAATTCTCCTCTCTCAACATTTTAAATATATATACGTATATCCCCGACATTTAAATTAAGTTTCTATTAAACTATATAATTAAACTAAATTCAATTTACAATTACTTAAAAAATGGACTTATTTCTTTATTTACAATTTGCCGGGAAACGCTTGATAACTAAGCGCCTAGAATCTACATTTTCGACGAGGAACAGTAAATTTCAAACTCATCAAAAAAATACGTTACCAATTCTCGTATTTTCCAAGTCACCTTGTATTCATTCCGTTCCGCTACCCTTATTGTTCCGACATAAACGGAAAACGGAAAACGGAAACACACATCAAGATATTTAAAAAAAATTTTCGATTCGAACCATCTTCACTGACATATCTGAATATATTTCTACAACATTGTCATTTCGATGTATGTTCGATCGATAGCAAAAAAGAGCAAGTTCGAAAGTCGAAAGACAATGCAAACTCGGAACAATATATTGAAAAAGTCATACCTAATAAGAGCTTCTAATAATGACTTCCTAACTAAGTCGATACAAGATGGACAGTGTCTAAGAGGTAGTAGCAGCGATGCTTTCTCAACTTGATCAATGTTCTTCCACTTTTTCTTCCTGTCTAATCAGTTTTTCCGCCCACCACGTCTCTTCATCGAAGACGTGCACTGGGGACAGTACCATTTTCCTTTGGGTGGTGCGCTGATGCCCACGCAAGCATAATGGAACCATTCGAAGGGACACTAATAACATAATTATCGTCGTCACAAATTTATCCGCTCTGACGTACTTCAAAGAATATTGACGAAACTTACGTCTGAATTGTCGCAGGCAACCATATCGCCATACGACACTTGATTGCATATGCAATAACGTGGCTCGTTGGGATCGCACGTCCATTCCGGATTATCCGGATCCACTACTTGCATAGTTGTGGTTACCACAGGCGGCGACACAGGCTGCTGAATCGTGGCTGCGATTACACTTGAACTCGGCACAGTGGCAGTCACTTTCCTATAATCATATAAAAAAGTTTAAGAAATAAAAGAAAAAGGATTATAAGTATCTCTAATTTAATAGTAAATTGATAGTAAACTTTTCTAATGTCCAATTGCATAACTTTAAGACTTCTAAATCCTGGCCATGTCAGATTGTGATGTCAGAGACGAGGAAAAGTCACATACTGAAAATTCTTAGATGCCATTTTTAAATGAAAAGATATTTCGTTGAAACACTATTTCAGATATCACAATTCCAACATGATCAGCAAGGAGTCAAGAACCTTAAAATATCTTGGAAAGAATATCTGATCTCTTTTACAAATCTTGTATAAAATATCCTAGATAATAGATATTTTTATATCATTTCACCAGAAACATCCAAAATATAATTGATCCGGATGATGAAAACTTTCATAATAAATAATCTATCGATGAACAGAATAATCAAGAGTTCGCTTCCTTTCTTTATTCTATGTATTCTACTTACTTTTTATGTTTCTTTGTGGTTTCTTGGATGGCTGCGATAGCAGTTTGTGCTGCGCCAGCCAACTCCCTGCTGAATTCCGCAGCGTGCACGCCGCCAGTGTTAATGGCTTCGTAGCTGGCCTTCAAACTGGCCGAGCGTCTACCTTGCTGCATCGATTGCGTGGCTGCGATTGCTTGCGAAGCAGCCGCCGCGATAGCATTACCACCTGCCCCGATGTGACCGAGAGTATAGCATACCGATCCCACGGAATTGGCGATCGTCGCTGGCGCTGTCGCGACGTTGCTCGCTGCGATAATAGGCCCAGAATTCGCCGAGGCTGGTCGCGACTCCGGTAGATTCGTCGTCGCTGGCAACTTCTCGATCGCCAACCTTTTTTCGACGGACGTGGAAGACGCGTTAGAGTCTCGCCGCTTCTCTGATCGAGCTAAAATTAAAAAAAAAAGTTAGTAATTATTCTTATCTAGGAATATTGTCATACTTTGTTCTCCACTTGGAATAGTAGATTTGCTCTAATCGATCAATTTTACAAACCATTTTGAAATGTTGTCTACAAGGAGTATTAATACTTTTTATGAATCTAACAAAATATCTTGTGTTCTATCTTTAAAAATTAATGTGAAAAATTCACATTAAAGACTTACAATGGCTATGATTATCTCGTGTTCTACTTGGTGTGAAACTGTAACGATTTTCTTTTTGGCTACTATTTGTAGGAGGCTGATCCAGTTCCAGAGATCTTTTTTCCAAGATTTCGGTAATGCCCTTATTGTCCGCTTCCAGTTCCATTTTAAACTTATGCAACTCCTGATCAAGCCGCCTTAGATACCTGTCCACCAAGTCGTACATTTGATTAGCTAAATGCACCTTTTCGTCAGCATCCTCCAAAGTCTTGTAGTATTCCCTTCTAATAGCCTCGTATTCCGCTTCTTTCTCACTAGGCTTCATTTTTTTAGCATTGCAAAACAATGTCTTCACTTTCTTTTCCAAGCTATCCATGGAATCTGAAGACACCAAATAAATTTATTATCGTTACTTTTACATTACTACTACTACTTTCATTCATTATTGTCTTATCATTTTATTTTTAACACATACATATACATTATTGTATCGAAGAATACATACTTTGTACACCTAGATCCATTTCTCTCATTTCTGTAAATCGGTCCCTTAACTCTTGCGGAAGATGCTCGATCACTGAAACCATACAAAAAATTAGTCTTCTGTTTAAATATAAACATTACTTTTAACTATTTATATTTTTATATTTGATGCACTGTAACAATTTCTGTAAAATTAACATACAAATCTTAGCCTTAGGGCTATTGCGACTATTAATCTTCCTCATTTATTAACAAATTTTACAAATAAGCAAGCATCAATTTTATTGCAAAATTAACAATTCTTATCAGTACTATTATTCTTCTTTATCATTAATTCATCTTTCTATTGTACTAACAAAACACATCATTGTTAATACTTATGCTTCTGGAAATGAAACAAAAACCATTTGGATGAATTTTAAATCTCGAAAAAGGCGAAAATCAAATTCAATATACTCAAGAAATTCAAAAAACGAACGATCTCAATCGACACAACAATAATTGGCCAATCACGCGCCTAACCTCTCGACGGAGCATCGTGTTGAAACTCCCATTTTTTTACAAGAACAAATTCGAAAGATTGCAAAAGGGGAGACCCAAATTGAAACGTAAACAAAAATGGCTGCGCTCGTCCGCGGAGTCGCGAAACAGCTCGCGCTTCGTCCCGAATCGCGGGTTAGTCGAGCGCTCCGCGAGAGACGAGGTTAGTATTCGGCGGGTGGAATCGAGCGGGACGCTCATCGTACGCACTTTCGACGTAATCCTCGAGGTAGAGCATCTTCCTGGGTCGCCGTTCGCCCACGATCGGTACACTCGACTAGCGCTCGGCGGCTGGTCGCCGGGAAATTCCTCGGGATTCAGCGTCAGTCTCTCCGGGCGAAGCGCTGCCCGACCGAAAGCGTGCTCGCGCGCGTCCAGCCTCTCCGCCTCCGCATTTTTCGAGGCGCCTTTGACGCGCCTTCGACGCCGCGAGGCGCTTCCTCGCCGGAAGCTCGCGCTGGCCCGGGAGGCTGGCTTCGGAAAAGCGCGACCGATAAAGAGACGAATTTTTGTCGAGGAAGCGATTGGGATGATGCGGCTCGATTTGGGATTTATTCGGGGGCATTGTCATGTATCTCGCCATATTGCACGTGGATAGGAGCGTAGTTTGACAAAAGGGACCCCAGAGGGAGAGCCTTTTGCATGTTCTCTTTATATTCCTCGATTCAAATTTATTACTTAAAGAAATTTGTCAATTATTTTTAATTATATAATTCAATTATAAAATTATTATATATATATATGTAATAATTTTATAATGAAATTATATAATTAATATATAATTTAATTATGTTTAATAATTGAAATAATTATAATTATATATATATGAAATTTTTTAGAGATTAAAAGAGATTAAGTAATTAATAGAATATTTTAGAATGAAATATGAAAATGTATATATAAATTTCTTACACGAGATTTTTTCTTTTTCCAGTATAATGATACGACGTAGTCCGACACGTATAGAGATGCGTCTGGACGACCTGCAAGAATACGAGGAGATAAAAAAAGCGCACGAAGCCAAAAAGACCCGGAGAAAAAATCATCATCTTCTATGAATCCTCCTGCATGGGGAGGCAAGGTTCTTCAGAGCGAAATCCAGGAACGCATTGGTTACATACCACCACCGCTTAATCGAACCACATAACAATGGACATCAAATATACAAATTAGATGAATAGACAAGAAAATTTTTATGCCAATCGATATAGAAATTTAACTTTAATAGACTCGTCAGTGATTAATTTCTCTGTAATCATTCATTTTAATCATGTAAAGAATTTATTCTGTTTATAGTTATTAATTATTATGATTTATAAGTCAAGTTACGTACTTCATTTTAATGATTTCTTTACGCACATAGTCATTCATCATTATGATTTATAAACCATAATGATTTATGACTAAATAATGTTATATATCAAATTTTTTATATTATGACATTATTTTTTTACATTTCATGGAATCATTATACATCATAGATACATAACATTAATGAACGATATCTATAGCCTTCTTCTTTTTTTTCTTCATTGGCATAGGTCCTGGCATTTTGAATACAGTGCTTAAAAAAACAAAGATTATAATTAAAATACAAAATTATATATAAACGTGACTAAAATTGTATATTAAATAGTGATCGGTACATTATGTGTATATCATGGATAATGTACATTATCATTGTAAGCATATATGTGTTCAGTATGTTTACTAACAAGAAAATACTTACTGACAAGTTGTACATATTGGACTATATTTGCAGAAAACTGTAACAAAATTTAATCAACATCATCTTAATGCAAATAAATTAAACATTATGAACAGTAAAAGTGTTTAAATTTAATTATTTCACATTGATTAAAATATTTAAGATTATTTGATATAATTTTATGGTAACACCTACTTGATAAACATACAGAACAAACATATCCTATGTCAATAAGATCCTGATGACAGAAGCACGCTGCTCTATAGTTCACTTTCACTGGTGGCGGTAGAACTAATTTTGATCTAACACTTGGATCTGGCAGGAAAACCCACTAAATCGTAAAAGAAATAAACAAATATAGTGCATACACGTTTATTTAAGATGATAATTGCATAGAATTGAATGTGAAAAATTTACCAATAAATACTGCAGCAATCCAGCAAGATGTGGTACCTGCAGATAATTTCCACCAGTAATTTCACAGCCCTGTTGTAAAAGTGTCAATTCTTGATCCAGACTACATACATCCAGAATAACATTCTGAAAGTATTCATATCTCTTATTATAAATCACCATAATAATTATAAATCATCATAATAAAAACCTAATAGAGGAACACATATACCAGTCTCTGTGCTGTGAAAAATATATTCATATAATTCATATATTGTGTGGCTGAATCATTACTGCCAGTGATCACCAACATTCTGGGATACAGTTTCTGGTTGGCGACCTTTTCTCGTTCTAATCGAGCAATGTAACATAATGCCATACTGAGGGCACCAGAAATGAGACTCTCTGTGTTTAACGAAGCATCCATGGAAATTTCATTGATGACTTGCTGTAACTGCTGTTTCACTGTACGCTCTATCATAGTAAACTTCTCATACTGGCCATCTATCTGTCTTATTTCTGCTATGTTATCACATGGGTAGAGAAATTTGGCACCGTGACCATGACATGCCATGAACGCCACTTCATTATTAGACGCTTGCATGAAATGTGAATTAGCAAAGACTATCGTAGACTCCAAACATTGTGACAGTATTTTTGTCTCTTGTTTCACTATTCGTTGTACAGGATTAACATCTAGGATGATCACTAGCAAGCTTGTCTCAATTTCTGAAGATTTAAATAAATAAATATAATCAAAACTTTATTTTACAAAGTAACAAATTGTTTTATATAAAAATGATATACCTGTTGACATTTTGCTCAAATTGTTAAGTTTTATAATTTAAAAATATTCATTTATTTTAATCAAAAAATATTTTAAACATCTTGTTTCTTTCAACCTTATTCAGATGAAATTTCTTTTCCTTTTTGTGTTATAATAAAATTCACAAAAGTGACAAACTTCAAAACTCCAAATTGATTATTAGAGATCCCGCATTTTATGCGGTTACAAATGTGAAACTTCTGTTTCAGTGTTGCCAATCAAGCTAGGTAAAAATAACCTATAAAAAACAGCTGATCAAGATTTAAAAAATATGCGCGGGAATTTCAAATCTTCGATACTTGCATTTTTATTATAATTTTAACGTGTTCGCTTTATAAGCAATCAATTTCTAATATTTATTACTAATCATTTATATTTATATCATAAAGTTATTTTGATAAATATATGTATTTATGGAAATCAATTTCTTTTAAAGTTTTAAAACTTTCAAATTTTTATAAATCTATATATAATACTTATTTGATACTTCTAATTATTTATAATTTCATTATTCTATATTTTAGTGTTAGAGTTTATGAAATAGTATCTAATAATATATGTATGTATTTATCAAGTTCTGAAAAGAGAAATTTATATATTAGCAAAATATATATTAAAATATTCAAAATAGTTAATCTTACTATTAATAACTATTAATGGATTATATAAATATTTGTATTTATTAAATAACACAATTATTAGTAGCAACTAAATTCAGGATCTTTTGTGAACTTCGGAAGTCACCCATGGCTTATAAACATGTCCATCGGCTTCTTTGCAGGCCATATATGTGAAGAAGGCTCTTTTGAATGAAGTAGAAGGAAATTTTCCATATTCCATAGTATTCCACATTGTACGAGCATAAGAAACACGCGCTTTACGCACTTTACTGTAAAAAATCGTTCTTGCTTCTTGAACCTGTAGAACATGTATCAACAATTATATTTGTTCCAAATTAAGCAGTTTCAGATTTTAAAAAATTAAAAATTAATAAAAATTAGCAATTGAATATATTAAAAATAAAAATTAATAAATAAAATAAAAATTAAAAATTAAAATTAAAAAGAAATTGAAGAAAATCTGAGAATATAATCATAATTTTTTAAAAATAGAATATCAGAAGTTAAATATATATGTATGTCTTTTATACTTGAATTTGTAAATATGATAGTTGATATCGACAGTTAACCTTTTCCTTTATCTCTTTGGCTTGATTATAGGTCAATCTTTTCAACTGAAGCTCCGTCATGGGCATTGATGGTTGATCGATCTTTGGCATTCTCATCATATTCAGTAATTTCCACGAATTAATAGTAGTTTGCATCAAAATCTCTAGAAAGTTAGAAAAAATACAATAATATAAGGTAAATCAAATTTTAAAAATTTAAGAAATTTAAGAAAATTGAAGAAATTTAAAAATGGCATTTTTTAGACAAATTACTTTTATCCGTTTCCGAAAAAGTAACACTCTGCCTATACATAATCCAGTCTAGAAGTTGCGGCATAAGATAACATTTCGGTAACTTGGCAAATATATATCCTTCTGTAGCCATTTTTTTCAATTCAGCCTTAACATTTTAAATTCGAGATATATAATTTCTTACATAAATTCTTACATACAAATTGATATTGATATTTAATTATAAACTGATTAATTAATGAAGATATGAATATTTCGAAATTATTGAATTAAAAGAGAAAAAGAAAGAGATTGATATATACCTTTATTATCGCCATAAGCTTCCTGTCTATAGGTTTCTTGTCATCATTATTTATCAAATGCATCTCATCATCAATCTTTTTATCTATCTTATCGATTATTTGTTTATCTGACACATTTTGTTGCGCAATCTCATCAGTAGCTTCTTTCAGATATTTTTTCTCTCCAAATACTTCATTAGCAATTTTTGTATAGGATACATCTTTGTTCTGCTGTTCTAGCTTGCTAATTTTTTCACTTGGTGACTGTAATCCTGTTGTTCTTTTGGACGTTTTCTTCTCCACATCCATGTGATTTTCCTTTGTCTCATAGCTCGTCATTAATTTGTTCTTGTCACTTTCTTGATAACCCGAATCTAAATAAGATGCATCTTCTTCATTATTATCCCCATAAATGAACTTAAACGCTTCATCCCTAGCCTTTTTTCTACGTTCCATTTCTTCTTTTTTCTCGGCAATGGACCCGGAGGAATGTTTACCGGCGACCAATGTCGATGCGGAGCAGCAGCTCGGGAAATATATTCCTTGCTTGATTCTGATATTTGGAACAGTGTTGATATTACGTACGGCGATTCGACAAGATCATCTTTCGGGATGTATTCATCACTTTCTTGGGGACTAACGGATGGTGTAACATAAACAACACCTTCGATAACTGGCACCATTATCTTAGCTCCTTTTTCATCTGTTCTCTCCACTATACCAGCCACTTTATACACAGGGATCTTCTTCTTACTTTTGTTTTCCCTATCCGGTTCATAAAGATAGGTCAGAGTCTTTTCTGCTGAAAGTTCTTGCTCCGACTTTGTTCGGCAACTACAAGGTCCCTTATTTTCTTGCATTTTTAACGAAGAAGACGTAGGAAATGCTGGAGGAGTCAATTTCAGAGTTTTCTCATAATTTGTTTCTATTTTTGACGGGGCAGTGCGTAATTTACAAGGAATGTTATTTTTACATTGAGTACAGTAATCCATCAATACTGCCTTCCATCTTTCTTCTGGTAATTTGGACTCCATTAACTTTTGTCGAATTTCTGCAATGTTTTTCTTTTTATCAACAAGATGCTTCTTTTCCTTGAAACCATTCCTACATCTGCATGATCTCGACTTTTTCTGTATCTTCTCTAGAAGACTTTTAGAACCAGAATATCTTTCTATCAGTTTCAATTTTTCATCTGTAATGTGACTGGTGGTCATATTGTACGGCGATTCGACAATATCATTTTTCGGGATGTATTCATCATTTTGTTGAGGACTATCGGGTAGTGTAACATAAACACCATCGATAATTGGTATCATTTTTTTAGCTTCTTTTTCATCTGTTCTCTCCACTACACCAGCCACTTTATACACAGGAATCTTTTTCTTACTTTTGTCACTCTCTATTATTATCTCTTTCATGAAAGGATTATATCTGCAAGATCTATCACCAGGATATGTCTTGCAGGAATATGTACGTGTTTCTTCGTTTGGCCTGTACTTCTTTCCGATGCATAATCCTTCATCCTTTGTCGAAGGAATATCGTCCTGGCTTAGAGAAGGACTTACACTTTTATTGATTATTTGTTGAATAGCGCATGAACAAGGTGGAACATTCCTGATGAACTGGAGTACCGGAGCATCAGAAATTTGCGATGATATGTGTATATTTTCGCTCTGAATGTCTGATATAACGTATTGCATTTGACTGTTCTTTTTGGTAATACCATTTATAATGAAATTTGTCTTGATCTCGTTTTGCGAAACAATCAAGTTAATTGATGATCTTGCTATCAAATCTGGAGAATGCATTGATTTCGATTCTGCGACATAATACCTATTGTAAATAATATCATTATTTTAGATTATGACATTTTGAATCTTAGAAAATTGTATTTTGTATCAAGAATTATATAAAATTAAAAAGTGAAAATACTTTTAAAGTTTAAGAATATCAAAATTTGTATTAAAGACTAAAGAATTAAAGATTTTAAAATTAAAATATATTCATAAATATATTCATAAATAGATGGAATCAGTAGAAAATTTACCAAATTTTATACATGTAAAAATTTATAATTAAATACCAATATATAAATTTTAAAATTGTTAGAACTACTAGCAACTATAATTTATACAGCTATTCTTAAAAATCATTGAAATAACGTTATTAGATCTCACTCACTCGCTATTCTCCGTTGTATTGTCAATTGACACTTTGTTTTTCTCGGTCTTTCGGGTTTGTCGACACGAACAACAGTTGTCACAAACGAGTAAAGGAAATGCTGATTTCATAGTGGCCTGTATACTCTTCATCAACTCATCAGCTTTTTCCTTCATCTGCTCGAAATCCTGATCAGCATTTTGTAACCAGTCCTGCCAATTTTTTGATAAATTTCTCTGCCACTAGGAAATATTTTTGTGGGTCTGTCATCAAGTTTGAGCATTTTAAAGAACTTTTCATCGCTACTGCTAGGTCGTAAATTACCCACACCAGTGATCTCATCAGATGATATCTCGTTCTTCAAGGGCACATCCCCTATCATATAAATTCTCTTTTTATCCAGCCAGGATTTTTATTCATTGGTGGTTTTGACGCACCTCAAGTATTTTAATTGTTATCAAGAAAATTAAAAACTTTTTAAACATATTTGTAATAATAATTTGAATATGTATATGTGAAAATATATATGTAATTTTCTTATTACATTTTCTAACTCTAATTAGGATCAATAAAATGTTATAAAAATGATTGCAAAAAATACCATAAATTTTATCTTCCACAGTTTCTGATTTTGTGTTAAATCTACTGATTGTGGAATCATATTTTTTGTTATTGTCTAACATCGGATAAATATTGAAAATTGATGATTTATCCGCTTCTAAATTTTCCTGTTTTGGGAAATCTTTATCTTCGTATGTTACTTCATCAGTGTTCATTATACCTATGTATAAAAATCGATATTTCAATAAATATACTTATTTATGATATTTTGTGTCAAGATAGGATAGTCAAGTATACATGCTCAGGACTATCATTTTGTATATAACTCAAATATTTTTACCTTTTACATCAAACTTATTGTTAGTAGAGGAACTCTTCTGAAAATCTTTTGTGTTGCTTTTTCAAAATAGTTAATGTAAATATCTTCCTCACGTGTTCTAATCTCAGATAGTAGTCCATTACTAATCAAAAACTTCTGTTGTTTGAAACATGGTAAAGTTATTTTCGGAACTGTTTGTAATAGTTTGTATTGTTTCTGCCATTTTTGTAAAGCATTTCGATAACTGGCCCAATCGGAACACTTGAATAATTCTTCCTCATAAGGACAGCTGCTTTTCCGCCTTGCCAGACATACTGGCGATTTTGCTATAAAACAAAACAACTGTTATTTCGTCATTTTAATTAAATGACATTTAATAAAATAATTAAAGAACTTACGTTTTGGTGGTAATTTTGGCACGATCATTACTGGTAATCTCTTATGCAATTCCTTTAACGCTTCTGGCAGTGTTAAAAATGCGATGGCCGACAATATTATTCTCTCATTGCAATCATAAAATTTCTCTGCAAATTAAATAACTTTGTAATTACTATAAATGTTGCTAGAGTTTTTATTTATCTATAATTAAAAATAGAGGGTGAGAAATATACTATATTCCTCTCTGTAGAAATCATTTCCTGTCAAGATTTTATAAATTTCGAGCAAAAAATCAATACTATTCAAATTGCTTGATTTATGCAACTCAGTTATAATATTCGGTTTTAATTTAAAGAAAGTTGAAATAACACCGATAGCTATCAATATTTTTTGGGTGCCATCCGTTTTTGCCTCTTCGTAATCGGTATGTATTACATTTTCCAGATTCATTAAATTTCTCATCTACAAATTTTGATATAACTTTATGTTAGTCTTTCCTCCGAAATTCGAAATATATATAAAACACTTTCACAATTTAATTTTTCAATTAAAAATTTCTTGAATATTGAGACAATATCTCATGTAATGAAAGTCCATTATTTATAATATTATTTATATTCATAATTAAATACAAGTATTAAATTATATCTTTCTCAAAAAGAAGTATTTTCCCACTTAGAATCAATTACTCATTTTTATTCATACTTGAGCCAAGGAAAAATCTTGATACCATCGTGGCAACTGACTTGATAAAGTTTTTGCTTTTCTTTAACTGTAATAATTAAATAACATTCTATTTATTAAGAGTATATACACATAATCATGTATATATATATTCAGTCACAAATATAATCAAATATTATTAAAATAAATTTCTTTATTCTCAAGCATTTCGCATTCTTATAAAATGTGATTTAAAGAAATAGCATTTTTATTATCTTCTACAATGGCAAACAGTAGTGTAATTACTTGAAATATCTTGTAATATTTTGATTTAAAGAATTGATAGCCAAAAAAATTGATATACTCACATTTCTTTTTCCCAATGCTCATCGCCTTTTTGCTGGCTTCAATGTGAATTCTTTGCTTTTCTGTCCAAAACATATCCTTCGCCAACGCAATCTCATCCTCTAGATACCATTTTATAAAACGATCGTTTTTATCAAAGCGAGAGTAATTCAATTTTCTGTTCCTTGATCGTTGTTGATCTCCCACTTCTAACGCTTTCAGTCTCTTCTTTTCTCGAGTAAGCCGGGATGTTACAAATTTTACTTGCATCTTGGACACTGGACATTCGTGCACAGAAGTTATTGCTATTAATGATGATTTGTAAGGTGGTCTTCGTTGATTGTATCTTGAAAGAGGATCAAGCGATCCAGGGAACAGCAAAATCCAAATGGTTTTGATTTTGAATCTTTCTTTGATAATCTATAAACAATTTTCATAAAATTCAGCTATCAAATAATGTGTTATCAAATATTATAATAGACAAATTAATGACTATTGAATATATGTATGAACTGCAACTGATAACAAAAATATGTAGTAGAAAAAGATTTAATTTGTTTTATACTGATAACATTAATATAAATTGCATAATTATATAAACTATAATAAGATAAGAAAGTAAAAATATATTTTTCATAATTAAAGGAAATTTTACAATAACATGTAAAAAGTGATGGCAAAAAGACCTGTTTTTTCGTCCATTTTATAGGGTCAAATTTTGGGACCTCAAATTTCAAACTTTTTTATGCCAAATTGTACTATATGATGAGACATTAATCCCAGAGAAATTTCAAGATGAGTATAGGCACGGTTCCTTAGATATGAAGAAGTAAAAGTGATAATTTTTCATAAAACTGACTAAAAATCATCACTTTGCCCCTTGTATCTCTGGAATGCCTATGCTCATCTTGAAATTTTACTGGGATTAATATTTCATCTAATATAATACTATTTGGCATGAAAAAGTGTGAAATTCGAGGTCCCAAAAATGGGCGAATTTGCCATCACTCTTTCTATTCAATATATTTTTTTTCTTAAGAATCCTGTACAATAATTTTAATTGTTTTTCTAACATGCAAAATTTTCTTCAATACATTTATTTTATTAAGAATTTTACATAATTGTTTTGTGTTTTTTAACGATATCGAAGGAAATGTTTACTTATTGTTAGTGCTTTGAAGCAGCATTCGTGAACTCAAAGTCTTTAACAAAGTTTTAGACATTTTTGAGGTAGAGATTTGAATTATGTGTAATTCTTATCAACAAATATATATATTTTAGAAACTAAATGTATAATTAATACTTGTCAATTTAATACGTTACAAATGGTTAGAAAAAAATGATTAAAATGATGACAGGTTACGTCTGAATGTAGATGAAATTTTTGAGCCTTATTTTGTTTATAGTTTATAACATGTGATTGTTATAGCGTTAGCTAGATAAAAATAATTAACAATAAGTGATGATAATAATATATTACAATTGTACACAACACACACATATGTATATACATATATGTACACATACACACACATTAAAATTATACATTACAATTATTTCAAAAAATATATACCTTTTTTGATTAAAATTATTTGTTAATAAAAATGAAGAGCACATCATTTTTACTTAATTACAGCATGTTTTTTACCTGGAAATCCTATGATAAAATAAAAGTATATCTGAAGAATGACAAGTACGTTCGAAAATCTAGTCTTCGGAATAAAGTAGCGTTTGACGTTTGATTAACCAATCAGAACAAAGCGATAAGAATTATATTTGTTTTTGATTGGTCAATTGTTACTGCATTTGACAAGTAGATTTTCGGACGATGTAACATATGTTTATATATATTTATATATGTGTAGTTGTGTGCAATAAATCAGTCACGTGTATAGAATTGCAAGTTTGTGAAGAGCAAAAGTCATTTTGCAATAATGGTTTTTATAAGTAATTAAAAAAAAAAATAATTTATTATTTTTTGTTCTTCTTCATCTACACGCGTGTCTGTCAATTATCTCCACCAAAAGCAAGTGCGTTTTCAGAGTATCGTGTGTACTAAAAAAATTTGTATCTTGAAGTCTCATTAGCAAAGAAAAGTTTAAACATAAAATGTTGAATAAAAAATTGCAATAATATACTTTTTGCTCAAATAAAATTGATTAAATTTGTGCAAATAATATAATGAAATTACTTGAAATATTTATCAGAATTAAAAACGAATTAATATATGATATGAAATGTCACTAACATATGATGTGAACTCTAAATTCGAATTTTATTTATACATGCAGTTTAATTTTCTTTAAAAAGTAAGCTTGAGATTAAATTCATAAATTTTAATCTATAAGAGTCATTTACGAAAATTGCAACGTATTGATGTGTATTGTTAATGTTCAGATAAGATCTTAATCTCCCTTGTTGTTAACCATTTAACAATCTAGTGTTATCAGCTTGTACTTAACTATTTAAGCTCATTCAAGAATCATTTATGTTTGAAGCATTCATCTGACAATATATAGAGACATATCTTTTGTCGTTGCAGCAACTATTCTGTGCAATAAAATTTTTAAAAAGCTACAAAATGTCAAAGAAGACAAAGATTATTATTGTTGGAGCAGGTGCGGCTGGCATCGCAGCTGCATCCAAGTTATTACAAAAAGGAATGAACAATTTTATAATATTGGAAGCTAACAATAGAATTGGTGGTAGAGTGCACTCTTTAAATTTTGGTAAATAATCTCTTTTATTAATTCTTATAATTAGAAAAAAATGGCTTTCTAGTCTTAATTACTCTTAATTATAGTCCTTATTCTATTTTTTAAGTGACAATATTTTAATTGCATCTTTGAAAGTTTAAATATACTTACAAAAATTACATATATTTGCTTTAACTTATTTTTACAGGTGAAAATGTGGTGGACCTTGGAGCTCAATGGGTTCATGGTGAATCTAAAAATGTAGTATTCGAGCTTGCCTCCAAGCATAATTTGTTGGGATCATGTAGCAATCTGAACAATCCCACCAAACATAATTTTGTCAGCGGCAATGGTGAAATGATGCCCAAGGATGAAAGCAATGAGGCTTTGACCATCTATTATAATATGACAAAAAATGCGCAAGAAGAATTGAAAGAGGTAACAGGATCTCTTGGAAATTATTTCACCAAAGAGTGAGTATTATAATTATATTTTTGAACATAATTAAATAATTAACTGCAGTATGAATCAATTAGAAGAATCACTTATTTAAGAATTATTTAAACACAATATTCTTTTATTTTTTGTTGACAAAAATATTAATATTACATAATAATTTATATGAGGTGTGCCATAAAAATATCAATCATTAAAAGTCATTTATAAAATTTTTATTCTAAGCTCACTTTTATATGTCAATTTTCACTTCAAAATTTATGAAAAAGAATATTGTTCACAAAATTATCGATATCACTTTCGCGAAACCATGCTTGCAATGTTGGATGTAGATTTGCTCGAACGACAGTACAAACATCCTTATCTGGCACAATACATCTGATAAGAGAAATAAAAAGTTAACAAAAGATTTTGTTTGTCTTACTTGTTTGTTATTTTTATATTAATTAGTCATAAAAAATAGAAATAACATAGAAAAAAATTTATCTATTAAAGATTTATTAAATTTCTTATCAAAAACTTATTTATACACACCTCACGCGATTGTTGCAGCATTGATTTTTCAAATATTCGTATCTCAACAAAGAATATATGTATTTCAAGTATTTTTCATCTAAATTATTATGTATCTCTTCATATGTTTGTCCAAGATTACTAATTCTTTCAATGTATCCTCTTGTTAGTATTGGTATAATATAATTGACCTAAAAATATATAAATTTATGATATATAATTAATTAATATAATTAATATTATATAAATTTGATTAAAAAAAAACTTTTTCAATTTTAGTTTTATAAAATGTTAAATTAATACAAATAAAATTAAATTACTTGTTTAAAGCAATCATCTACAAATTCTTCAGCTCGACTGTAGACACCTTTCTCTTGTTCTTGCAATATAAGCACGCCAATTCGAGGTTGCTTGGATCTAAATATCTTTGTGATAGATTCTGCAGTTGATAAACCGTCATTCGTAAAAGTTAACATAACTATACAGCTATATTTTTGTTTAATATCCTGAAATAATAAGAAATTATAATTGTATTATATATAATTGGTAATCAAAAAATAAAAATATTTTAATATTAAAAAAAAATAAAGAATATTTTAATTTAAAAGTTTGCTTTATTACTAAATTTTTGGAAATATAAGTCGCAAATGAAGTAACCTTCTGTTGAATATGTTGTAACGGGCATTTTAATTCGTTTTCTTTCAATCTGGTTTCTGTAGTTAAAATAGGACTCAAAACTAATGGTGCTCTTGGTAGATGTCCAGGTCGAATTATTTCAGATCCTAAAAATATACACAACAAATAATTAATATAATGATATATAATTATTATATATTTTTTAGTTTGCATCTAAATATGATTATAATTAATTTCTTAATGTTAGGATAAAAAATTGTCTATTATCTATTTTACCTTCATTCATAGCACATTGTGATACAACATCAACTAGATCATATACATGATTCTTAATTTGATTTATTATATCAAGCCGTTGCATCTTTTGCAAAGCATTAAAAATTTTGTTCATTGTTGCCTCCGGAGATTGTACATAAGTTAAAAGCACGTAATATGTTGGATCCTGGAGACCCTTGAAGTCGTAATCTATACACTAAACAATAAAATAACATTATAATTATTATAGTGATATATATTATATATACACATACACATATATAAATGTATATACATATGTGTGTACATATGAATGTCCATACACACAATTTGGGGTATGTGTTGTATTTATACTTATTATATATTAGGTTTTCTATAATCTTACACGTATTTGCTCTCTCGTCAAGCCCATGTGATCTGCAAACTCTTGCCATCCATCATAAACTTTCCCTGTTGCTGTGGAACTCAACAGCAAACATAGTTTCTGTAGCATAGCTCTACCAATATGTTCAAATAAATATGCAGCATGAATACGTGATGATATTTTCTGAATATTTAAAATAAGTGTATCTAAATTTGGTGGTCCCTGTACTTCGTTCCTCAGCTTCTCCAACTCTGGATCTAGTTTCCTAAAAATATATTCCTCATTGACCATAATTCGCAATATATAATTTATCGGAATACAATCTTTCCTCTTGAGAGTTAATAAGGAAACTAAAATATAAAATTAATAAAAAAAGTTAACTAAAATATCAACAGATATATGTTGTTTACCTTCTTCCAAACATTTTGCAAGGTTTTATTGTATTTCACTAAGACTTTGTCATGAATAATTAAAATGATTTTGTTTCATTTTTGTTATAATTTGTTCTACAACGTAATACATTAAATTTACATGATTAAAATATTAAAAACTCAAAAATATAAACACTCGTAGTTAAAAGAATAAATAACAATTTCTTCACGTGATAAAACGATCGCCATATGTTGATGGTAGTATCTCAATCTCATCCCTACCACAACTTTATTGTTAGTACAAGATGATGATTCATGCTTAACGCGTCTCCGCCTATAATTTAAATCGCTATAAAGCACGAATAAATTTCTTACATTTGTCTAACAAAATTTGCAAAATATTTCAATAAATTTCGTTATTTGAATTAAGATACTGGGGAAGGGAAGGAGGGACCCAACAGCGCCAAGTTCAAAATTAGCGCATAAGATATTTTTAAGATATCTTTAAAATGTCTTGGATATCATAAGATTTCTTAAAGCTGTCTTAATGATATCTTATGCGCCAATTTTGAACTTGGTGCTGTCTGAGGAGTTGTAGAGAAAAAAAATTATAAATTTAAAATTTAAAACTATAAAAAATTATAAATAAATGTAAAAAAAGATTATATATTTTATTATTATTATTTAGAATTATTATATTTATTATTATTATATTATTCGTTACAGATATTATAAGATATTTGATGAGAAGCCTTTTACAAGTCGTGCTCGAGCTGCCGAATATTTAGCTTGGATGGAAAAAATGGAAAATTCTATAGAATGCAGCGATACTTGGTTCGACGTTTCCGCAAATCGTTTGACGGAATATTGGGAATGCGAAGGCGATCCCTTGCTGAATTGGAAAGGGCGTGGTTATAAAACGGTCTTTGATTTGTTATTGGTAATAAATTATTTGATAGAATTGAACTAAAAACATCGTGTATGTTATAGAAATAAATTTTTAATAGCGTATTTTTTTATAAAAATAAAGTTTTATTAAAATAAAATAATATTTTGTCGAAAAGAAAATATTTAAGAATAAATTAAATCAAAAATTTAAACTTGTAAACGATAAATAAACGAAACTTGAAATTTTATAATAGTTAAAAGATAACGAAATTAATATTTAAATAATACTTTATTGAGATACACATTTTTTACTAATTATTTCATCATTAAGCATATTAATTATTTTATCCCAGCGAAATATTCCGAACACAGAAGAATGTTTGCCAGTGATGGAAAAGATAGAGTTTGAAAAGATTGTAACAACTATCAACTATAGTTACGGCGAAGATGTTAAAGTGACCACCAGAGATGGATGCGAGTATTTTGCGTCGCACGTTATATTCACTGGGTCTCTGGGTGTTTTGAAGGAAAAACATTTTACGATGTTTGTGCCTCCCCTACCACAAAAAAAACAACGCGCGATAAAAGTATGATAAAAATGTCATTAACAAATATATAGTATTATAAAATAAAATTACATATTTTGTATAATGGATATTAATTTATTTTTATTATAGGGATTAAGTATTGGAACAGCAAATAAAATTTTCCTTGAATTTCCGCATAGATGGTGGTCAGAGGATACAGCCAGCTTCGATATTATTTGGTCGGAAAAGGACAAAAAAGAATTCTTGAAAATTTATGGTCAAGTAAGTAGATATTTAAATATAATAATAATATATATGTAAGTTTAGCAACGAATATTTTTTCGCTTTTACTACGTTATTACGTATATTAATCTCGTTAAATATATTTGTTTTAGAGTAAAGAATGGCTTTGCGACGTGTTTTCGATTTTCACTGTAACTGATCAGCCGAATCTTTTATGCGCCTGGATCGTTGGAAAAAATGCGAGACACATGGAAATTTTATCGGACGTTGACGTGTTAGATGGATTGTATCTATGGTTGAAAAGATTGCTCGGAAACCATTATGATGTTGTAAAGCCAACGAAAATATTGAGGTACTAATTATAGAAAAATTTGAAGAAAAAAAATTAATCAGATATACTTCTTATTTATATTTTTTCAATTTTTAGATCCAAATGGCATACCAATGAACATTTTCGTGGCTCATACACCTTTCAAAGCACGATTTCCGAAGAAATGGATGTAAGACCGAGAGATTTGGCCGAGCCAATCCTAGATGGAAATAAACCTGTACGTATTTTAAAAACAAATGTAACATTTTTAATTGTTAATATACTATTTTGAGATCTAATTCCTCCATCTTCTTGCATTTATTTTTATTTTGCTAATATAACACTCGAGTTTTTTTTAGTTTTACATTAGCTTATCTTATGATGTATTTCTGTCTTATATAACTAACAATAAAAATAACAGAAAAATTTTATTGACATTGACGAAACAATAACTAATTATCATATTAGGTAATTCTTTTCGCTGGAGAAGCTACGCATGATCATTATTATTCTACTGTGCATGGTGCGGTGGAAACTGGTTTTCGCGAAGCGGATCGATTAATTGACTTTGAAAGGTAAAAATAATATTAATTATTGAAGTGCCTGAGTTTGCTTGATACTAAATAATAAATATGACACGATATTTAACAGAACAATTTTGATTTTTCTTAATTATATATGTATTTATTATATAATTGCATATATATATATATATATATATATATATATATATATATATATATCTTTTTTCGTCTCTATCTCTTGTTAAAGCTCTTTATAACATTTTTCTGCACTATATAATTTGATTGAATTTCTCCATTTTGAGAAGATTTTGATTAAATAAAAAAGTGATAGGTTTACCTAATAAAGTTTTATTTTCATTATTATTAATTTTTATTATCGTTTATTAATTTATTATTTTGCATATGTTATCTTATCTTGTTTGTTAATGTTTTAATTACACATATACTTTATTTTACAACTTGATGGAATGAACATCACTTTGAAATTGTTCTAATTTAGTTTTAAATCTTCTAAACATAATTTTGCAATTATTTTTGTATTTTTATATTGACTTCATGCTTTTTCTTAGGCTGTTAAATTCGCATCTCTAATTGCATTCTTCCACTACCACTACGCTCTTCTAACGAATGGATTTTATGGAAAACTTTAAATATACAATTAATATGTTCGCAATAGATAAATATTTTAATACAAAAATTATCGTACTTATTTATAAAGTATAAAAAATTGTATATATAGAGGGAGAGATAAATATTATGTATTTAAAATTATATATAATATTGTAAATTGTGAAATTAAGAAAATGTAAAAAATATATGACATTCTGTCATCGTAAGAAATGTTTTACTCACGTTTTTAATTATTTATTATCCGCGCTTATCATTATTTAATTATTAATTGTAACTTTTTATACTATATATTATGTACAAAGGTACATATATTTAAATGGATAATTTTATAGTAATCATATATATATATATATATAGTAGAATACAATATATATTTGAAATGAATTTGGAAAATATTGAAATCATAGAAAATAGTAAACGATGGTTCACCTGAGATTTGACGAATTACTTCGGATGATGTAGAATGCTGAAAAACTTAGACCAACTGATTGACAACTTCAACGAGGAAGTGCGAATAGATGCGGGTGCGAAAAGAACAGAGAAAACAAGAGTTGTGATAGTAGGCGCAGGAATTGCAGGATTAGCAGCGGCAAGGACTCTAGAGGAAGCAGGCTTTACGGATTATCTTCTCCTGGAAGGTACATCTACATATTTATGTTAAAAATTTAAGTATATTTATAATTTACTTCTAGAGACATACAATTATTAAATAAATAAAAATATACAGAAGTTTAAAGAGAGAGATATACAATTATTATGTGGATATATAGTCAAAATTAAAACAGAACTTTCCTGGATTATTCTGTCATATTATTTTACAGCTCAAGATGTGGTTGGAGGAAGAATTCATTCCGTTCCGTGGAATAACAATTGGATAGATTGCGGGGCGCAATTCTTACATGGCGACAAGAGCAAATTGGCACAATATTGTCTTGATAATAATTTGCTGTCGAACATTCCAGGAACAGATAGCGAAGGACTCTTCTTGCGCAACGACGGAACAATAATGAGCGACAATTTGGTTCGCGAGATTGATAATCTTTTACGAACCGTCTCTGATGATATCTGCGAATGTCGGTGGCCTCTTAATAAACACGAGACCATCGGCTCTGTTATGAAATGTAAATTCGAGGAACATCTACGCGAGATAAACGATTCCTCGACACGAAAAATGATGGAGGAGATATTCGATTGGAATATACGGTTTCTCTTGATAGATAACAGCTGCCGTTCATTGGACGAATTATCAGCGAGTCTGTGGGGAAAGTTTAAAGTAAATTTAATTATATTACAAATAGTTGATAATATATAAGCGTTTTAAGAATTATTTTTATGTAGTATGTCGGCGGACCGGAACATTTGCTCTTCAAGTCCGGCTACAGCTCATTAACGAATCTTCTTGTCAAGAATCTGAATAAGGAAAAAATACGATTGGCCACTCCCGTAGAGACCATTCGCTGGCAGGATTCTCCGATCATCGTGACGACTTCCAAAGGGGTGCAGATTATCACCGACGCCGTTATAGTCACCTGTTCACTTGGCTATTTGAAGGATAACTATTGCAAGATGTTTCTGCCGCCCTTACCGAATCGTCTGAGCGTCGCCATCGAAAACCTTGGTTTTGAAACAATTAATAAAATCTTTTTGGACTTCGGCGATTTACCCTGGTGGCCAACCAACGTGAAAGGTTTCCAATTACTCTGGCACAGAGACGATCAGCGATCCTTCCCGGAATGGACCAGAGATCTCACGGGATTTGACGTCCTGGCGACACATCCAGCCACTCTCCTAGTGTGGGTCGGTGGACGAGGAGCTCGTATCGTCGAGGATTTGTCGGAATGTACGATCGCGCAAGATTGCACGGACCTGTTGAGGCATCATTTGAGGTGTCACGATATTCCGCCGGTGAGGAAATGCGTCAGAACGAAATGGTACGGAAATGAGTACGTGAGGGGCGGCTATAGTCATATCACGAAGAGCTGCGAAAAGGACGACGTTTCACCTAGGACCTTGGCCGAACCAGTCTGGATGACAATATTGCAAAATGATACGAAGAAGGTAAGGCAATGCACTCTCCAAAATGCAGTATTTTTTCAATCTTAAATCTGAAATTCTATACTTTCATCATTCTAGGATATTAAAGTGTCAAGCGAGGTAGAAAAATTTATTGCTATATAATTAAAACAATGCACAATATTATGTCAGATTTAAAAAACCGAAATCTATTAATTAGTATTAATTTATTAAAGAATTTCTTTCGCAAAATATGGCAGGATTTACCAGTTATGTTGTTTGCCGGCGAAGCTACGCATGATGATTATTATTCGACAACACATGGAGCTTATGAGACAGGAATCCGTCAAGCCAAAATATTTCTGCAACACCACACAAATGTCAACTAAAATATCGTATGTAAATATGTGAATATTTATTATTATATATATTATATATTATTAATATATAATAAAACATTTTATTATATTATATAGCAAAAGTATTTTTCTGTTTATCGCAAAGTAATTTTAACATTATTAAAATTTATTAATTTTTATTTTACTTAATTAATTTCAAATTTATATTTTTGTTTGACTTCTACTTTGATTTATATATCGACTTACACTTTCTGCTTTACAAGTATGTTATTTCTATATATATTCATGGGTAATACCGGATTTATTTGTTTTGTTTTCCTGTTGTTTAATATCCTTATCTCGTATATTTTTGCAAGATAGACTGGTTTATCCGCTTTGACCGGTTGCGTCAGAACCAAAGATTCTCAATAGAGCGATTATATATTGATTAAAATGAACAGCATCTGCTTGATATTTATCCTTGGACTATTCTTTGTATCCTTCCTTTTTTTGTTTCGTCGCACGAACATTACAGAGCGCAAACACACTTGCGTTTTCAAAATTTGATTAAATTTAATATTTAATTTATATAATCGATTATTAATCAATAAAAAACATAAATACAATATAAATATCTGTTTCTTGAAATAATTTATATATCTTATATTGACTTTCTATTTTTATCAAATACAAATGTATCATTAATATATATAATGAGCATAAGTAATTATCGCGTTTGTGTATTCACTTTATTGATCAAAGATAAATTTAATATATAAGATATCTGTATATTCGATATTTCGTTTGTATATAATATCATATTTTGTATCGTAAAGTTAAAATTATGTTAAAAATATATAGTTGTAATTATCAATTTTAGCAGATATAAAACTGTATCTAAGATATATAACTGTATTAACTGTAACTTATGACTTCTAATTATCAGCGGATTAATAATTGCTTGCTTAATCATTTACAGCTGAATTTCCCACGTCAAAAATAAAAATTGTAACATTGACGTCTTTGGTAGATCGTGAATGTGAAGAGTCGCACGACTGAGTACTGTTAGGATCCCTCCCTATCCTGATCTTTCACGCATTCTCTTCTCCTACTCTTCCTGCTTTTTTATCTTTCTTTTATCATCTCTTCTTCGCGCTCTGTTCTCCGTAAAATTAGAAGGGAGAGAGATGGAAGCCGCGTGCGGATACCACCGCATAATCATCGTCATCGTTGCTTATCTCCATCGTCGAATGTATACTTGACATTGAATATTCAATATCCTCGCGCGTCTCTCTTCAGCGATGGATCTTCGCTTTGGAATATTCCTTGTAATCTTCTTGATTGCAGCCTTTATCTGGCAGCCTATCAACAGCAAAAATTCAGGTGGATTATTATTAATTTCATTAATAATTACCGCTAAAAACGATATAGATTATTCTTGTGCGTTTTGAATATTCGTTGTAATGGTGATTGTTGTTTGTTATTGTGTGAATATTATTAAATTTTATATAGTACTGTGCATTGTTGATTCTAAATTTGTATCTATACATTAAAAAATTTTTCTATTTTAAAAAGAATTTGTATAGCAAAATATATTAAGAAGTTCTATGTGTATAATATAGATAGTATGTATCTTCAAATTTTTTAGGTAATCATGCTTCTTCAAAGAAGAAAAATTCAACCAAAATTCAACTCAGTGAAGGTATTGCGTTCAATCCTTTTCTTCAGCAATCCATAAATTCTAGTGCTGACAGCAATATCTTTCTGTCGTTACATGTCAACGAAAATGAAAAGCCAAATATAATTCAAGAGAATAATTCATCCAGCACTGCAGTCTTCACTAACAATCCCTTCTTGAACTTTGGGACTGACACAAGAGTTGATACAGGAACTTCTAATGCACCGGAACCAGTTACACAAGCATCTTATAGACCACTGCCATCTGCACCAGTAATTAATACACCATCATCATCATCTCATGCACCACCAGCACCAGTTAATAACCCTTTTATAATACCTCCTACAAATAATCCTCCTATTAAAGTTAAACCTCCATCCTCAGGAACAGCATCATTGGAGGATATACCTATCAGGATCGACTCGAAAACAAGATCAGAGCTTAGTAAGTAAAATGTGATTATACAATAATTAACAATAAATATTTGAATTATAACATAATCAACATATTAATCTAGCGAATGACCTAGATTATTTAAGATTTTTACATATTTGCTACACATTTTGATATCTATAAAAAATTTCAGAATGCGACGAATATGTGAGAGAACTCGTAGGCACAACTGAGATAATGTCGCTGGCCGGCATATCGTCTGACGTGATCAAGCTGGACAATGTCTGTCGGGATACGAATCGTTTGGTCGTCGGTGGCACCGAGGCCAAAGCCGGCGAATTTCCGCACATGGTCGCCTTGGGTAGACGTAATTCCGACGAGACGTTTACCTTGATGTGCGGCGCGACGCTGATCTCACATACTTGGGTACTTTCAGCTGCGCATTGCACTTACGGACCAAAGTACATTTCTATTTTTCTATTTTTCCTTCGCTTCTTAAATAAGAACTTCAGCGGAAAAGTTTCGATTTTTCTTCCATCAGTCATCCCATAATAACTGCAACAATGGATTAGATAAAAGTTTAAGATCCAAAAACATCCCTCAAGATTAATTCAGAATATATTAGACGAGGAAGTTATGGCGTTTTAAAAGTTAAATATTAAAAAAGTCTATGAGAAAAGTCTATTTTACCTAAACTGAAGAGCTAAGAATCACGAGGATGATCTTGCAGTTATTTATGGAACGACCAACGAAGTCCTTTAAGATTTGCCTTCTTGCAGTGGCGCACCGACTGATGTGCGAATAGGCTTTCACAGATTGACAGAACAACAACCTGGTGTCACAATTACCATCAAAAGAATGATACGACACACGGATTACAATCCACCCGCAATGTATGCGGACATAGCTCTAATAGAACTCATGAATAGCGTTACGTTTAGTATGTTGATACGACCTGCGTGTCTTTATCAACAATACGATACTGTACCTACAAGTGCCTGGATCAGCGGCTGGGGTGTCACCGAATTCGGTACATAATTTAATAATCCTTTAACTAATTTCGAACATTTGTATATGTAAAGGACTTTTTACATTTATTAGGAACCAGGAACTTTATTTCTAAATTTTTTAAATTTAGTAAGAAATGTGAAATACCAGTTTAATGAAGTTTAACGATGTGCTTTCAGCTGGAGATCAGACAGATCGATTGCAGAAGGCTAAGCTGGATCTGGTGGACAATTTAGCGTGCACAATACGGCATAACAGTTCCAAAGAGATTCCTCATGGTGTCACACCGAGTATGATCTGCGCCGGTGATCCTCGTGGCGGTTGGACCAGTGATTCCTGCCAGGGCGACTCCGGAGGTCCTCTACAAGTTATCCATCCTAGGAATCTGTGCGTCTTCCAAGTGATCGGTGTCACCAGTTTTGGTCAAGGCTGCGCGATCATCAACACGCCTGGCGTGTACACGAGAGTATCCCATTATATTTCGTGGATTGAGAATATCGTCTGGCCACAATAACGGTGATATATTAGACTTTTATATGAATATTTTTATTTTAAAAAATTGTTTATTAAAATTGTACTTGATCAAATTAAATCTTACAATTAATTAATTAAAATTGACTAGTCAGTCAAATTAATCTATAAAGTACTAAAATATTTTTAACATTTACAATTTTTGTCCACTCTTTCGTTATTTTTTGATAAAATATTCCATTCATCATATGTATAACAATAATTTTAAAATTTCAGAGTTGACATGCTTCTTATGCTGCTTATCCAATTATTATTTGTCAAAAGAATTTTATCAATGGTTGTGAAAGCTAATTGTATATATGTTATACGTCTATTAATTGTGATGTGCATTAAACAGTCTGCAGTTCTGACTAGAATATTGAAACGGAAAAGTCACAAGAAAGTATAAATTGTAAAATGCAGGAGTGATGATCAGTTTCGTTGATATTTGAATCTTAAAAATTAAGAGATCTTGCTATCGTGAATGGTTCGCCACGTGAGTCCATCCCCATATGGACCATGGATTGATGGGAATAGAACATGCCACCAGCTTCTGCAATATATGAGAAACAATATATGAGAATAATATTCGCCATATTTGACATTGAAAATAATATTAAAATAACTTGATATATTTGATAGAAAATATTTGTACGTTAAATAAAATTTGCAGCAAAATAAATTTTCAAATTCTATTCCATTATATAACCATCTTAAAATTAAAAGAATATAGTATATAGTATTTAGAAAAACGAAGATCGGATAAATATAATGAATGCCCACTGTTATGATTTTAAAAAATTAAATTATTTTATAAGTATATTGCTTCAATTAGCTTTCTTGATTTTACAATTCATATGGCTTTCTAAATATCAATTAACTGCATTTTAATTAAAGATCATTATCTCACAAACATTTAACACTTTAAAATCTATTTTAGTAAAACTTTAACACCTGTTTTTTATTCCCAAGAATAATCTCCAGTTCTCCCTTGGCCCGAAGTCGTAGGGATTTTGATAGAACTTGCCCTGGGCTCGATACTTTTGCGTTTCCGTGCTGTTGATACGCGCTTCGATGCTCGTTTCTCCCCGGGTGATGAGACCCGCGTGCCACCAGGCCAGGGCACCCAACGCTGTAAACGTGGCGATGCAGATAAGACCCGTGAAAATGATCAGTCTTCGTTGCCATTCCTTCGTCTCGGTTTCTGCTGCTTGTCTCACTATTTCTGCTAGTTCTTCCTTACTTAAATGGTCCAGTGATTCCGTCTGCATTAATTAAATGCAATATTTACTTTTTGAAAACTACACGATGTAGTTGGATAAAGTATATTTTCATTAATCATCTAACATACCACAGGAATTATTTCTGAATTATTGAGACGCACTGGATGACCGTCCAGTTCCGGTTCCTGCTCAGGGAAAAATTCCTCGTATGCAAGTCGTACCCCAAATATCATGATGAACGTAATGCCGAGCACAGTGTAAACCATGTACAGGAAGAAATGCCGGTGATTATAGTGGCCGACGCAATTGTTTAGCCATGCTATATGTTAATTAAGGAAGATTCATCACAAGATATCGCAATTGCAAGATACTTCATTGATAATAATTAATCTGAGAGGACTAATTAATTAATGAGAAATAATCGAAATATTGAAATTGATTTATAAACTATGTAAGGATACGACAATGATGATCCATCTTGAGAATGCATTTGTTGCAGACAGAACAGTGATGTGTCCTGGGTGGCTTTGGCTTGATACACTTTTTGCAGATACTCACAGCCTCTGGAATAAGGCCACCCTGTGGTGGATAACCTGCTGGTACGGTTACACCCATATAATAATGGAAACAGACGTTAACTAGTAGCCAGTTTCCAACCAATAGCAGAATTATTGTCACTGAAGGACTCCGATCCCACCACCAGGGTAAACCCAAGTAGTATGCAATATATACGATGCTGGCGGTTAACAGGCTTACCATTATCACAAATACCTGTGGGCTGCAACGTTTAGTAAATATATTGTGGATATAACAAGATTTGCATTAAATTAAATTATGTATACTGTGAATTATTTATATAATATAATAAACTGTATGATATAAATATATAAAAAAACTTTATTTGCAGAAAATAATTGGTATAATTTTTAAATATTATAGTATAAATTGATATTCTATGAGATAGAAAAATAAATATTAATTAAAATCTTACCGGACCCAAACAGGCAGTGAAATTCTCAACAAACCAGAACATAGGTTCCATAAGTATATCACAAGCGTAACTCCAGTTTAAGAAATCATTGTAGAATAATGATTTAATGACAATTTGTAATCGCCACCATTTCTGCTTCAAACTAATCCTATAAATAAAAATTAAATTAGATCATATTAATAAAGAGGTCTATACAAAATTAAGTGAAAAATCAACTAAATTTAGTAATGCAATTTTTAAAAATATTACATAAACACAGGAATAGCAAATGAAAAGAATGAAATAAATAGGATAAAAAATAGAAAAAGCATAAAAGAAGATAAATTTAATAAATAATAAATATAAATATAGGAATTTCACAATGAAAATACATATGCAAATTTATTGATTTACTTAAGAACATTTGGCGCCTTCGCCAAGGACCACTGTATCTTTGCCATTTTCGCTTCTTCCCTCGAGTCCACTCAAATAAATTCATAATTGTTGCATATTAAAATCATATTTTACGAACATTGACATACGGTTGTTTCTCATTGTACTAATTGTTCGAGTTTTGCGCACCTTGCATACATTTGATAAGGTACTGACTGATCAAAATTGTTATCATGACAAGGCAAAGGTTTGTCAATAAACTTCGATAAAGGTGCGTTCAAAAACCTATCAGAACTAACAAATATTGCCGTGTCTTGATTGGCCAATTTGATGCTACTCTACACGAGTAGGATTTCTGAACATTCTAACAAGAGGGAGAGAAAGAGACTTCTCCGCCATATTTAAATGCCTGGCGGCATTTTTGAAAAATAATAGCTGTAGGAAATACTTATTGTATTCGTAAATATAATTCATATGTTAATTGCTGATATATTATTTTTAAGAATTTAATAAACAAGAAGCATATAGTGATGTTCGAGGTACAAAGATAGATTTATTTTCACAGATGTGCATGTGAATATACATGCATCTTAATAAAGATTATATATATATTTTTTTTATATATATGTATATGTACATACTACACGCTAATCTCAATAAATATGCGAAGGATATTTTGTGCTCATAAACGCTGAAAGATTCGCGATATACGCGAATGAGAATAAATTTCACGAAATATTTTTAACAAAGTCGATATAGCTCATTTTTATGTGTATAATAGGGATCAAATTTTAAATCTCAACAATTTAAGAACGAGTAATAATATAATGGTATTCATTTTATCTGCCACGAAGATCGTATAATAAAAAGAATTGTACAGGGAAACTTTCTTAATTAGAATTCAAAAATAAAAACTTGCAAATCAAAGATTAAAATAATTTAAAAAATTTTACAATACAAGTATTCTAGAGATTCAAAGTTGAACGTACAATTGGAATTGCGATTATAAAAATCCAATGCAAGATTATCGCAGTGATCAAAGGATTTAAAACTTTAAAAAAATTACAAAAGGAGCAATTTTTAATAATATTTAAATAAATATATAATCTAAAAAATTGCATTATTATCGACATCGCACGCATGGCAGACAATATAAGTTTTTTCTTATCTTAAGTCTATTGATAATTCTATATTAATATTAGTAATATTATATAATAATAAGGTACAGAATAATCACATGAGGCATTGACCAGGTGAAAACAGGACAACAATAGTTTCCTTCACTTGGTCCGAGAAGAGTATTGTTTTAGTAGTTGCTGCCTAAAAAGTCCAAATTCGGCATTCATAATAATACATTTTAAGATTGAAAGATTAAATTTAGAAATCTTAAAGAGTTAGGGCACTGTTATGCCCAAAGGATCAATAGATTATGCATATACTACTAAAGTTCCAGAGGCTACGAAACATTTCATAATATTTTGTGAATATCGTAATAATCTTGTGAAAAATAAATTAATAGAAATGTCTGAGATTCTATGAAATTGGATGAAAATTTCAAAAATTAAGTCGCTCAAATTTTGATTTCGTCAATTATAAACTTTATTTTTATAGATCAAATTCATATCTGTTGCTCTTATTGCAGCACTTATTTTTCTGCAACTGCGCATTTTGAACAATGTATTTTTGTGTCATAATTAATTAAAAATATTTAACAATTTTGTAATAATATATAAGTATAATATATAAATTTGATATTTTTCATATATAACTTTTTTTTTCAAAATTTCCAAAGCTGTGAAGCTTCAAGAAATTTCAAAGGCGATTTAAAGTGTCCTTAAAATGTTCTTTCAGATCTATCCTTGAGTGACGTACCGGAAGTATTGTATGAAAGACTGGGTAGATGTGTGTAAACCGGGTACATACATATTTACAAAAGAGACGTGCGAAAGTTCTCCAGCGTCTTTGCGTAAAGACATGTTTCAAACAATAACACTCTGACTTCTCGCGTTTGATTTTTCCTTGCAACAAACAACACTTTGAATTACTGCGTTTTACATTATGCCTGTAAATTATAAATTCGCGATTCACGAAGAAATTTAATTGAATTTTTGTTTCCCCTTTCTATAAGATTCTTTAAACCCTCTCGATCGAGTTTTATCATCTTTCCTATGCGCAATCATTTATAATCACTGATATAATTTGTGTAGCGTATTATTCGCATAAAGAGAGACGGGTAAATCGATGCAAAGATTCACGAAAAGATTTACTTTACGTGAAATCCTCGTAATCATTGCTCAAAGCGTAATTGATAATCCAATACTGGAATTTCCGATAATAAGTTAAGATCTCATAATACGGTATCCAGAGTGTCGAGACTTCGCAATAATTGCTCGTCCTTGGAACACCACTGCACCAGCTCTTCGATGGTCACCACGCCGTCTTTATTTGCGTCCATCAACTAAAAATATATGCAAGGCATTATTAATAACTAATAATTAAAGTTAATAATATAATTAGTATATATCGTAACAGTATATTAGTAGTAAATTAATAATAATTAATATATAAATTCGGTAAATGTTATGCTATTGATTGATATACTAAATATTGATATATAATTAAAAATAAAATTAAGACAAATATGTAATAAATTACGATATATAATAATTAGAAATATTAAAAAAAAATTTTAATTTTTATTTTCAGAATAATTAGAAAGTTGAGAATTTGGAAAACAATTTTTTGATAAAAATTCTGGATAAAAATTTCTGTTTAACATTTTATTTTATTTGTAATTATTTTTGATCCAGATGCTTTTTTGCTCATATACAGGATATATGTCAATACTTACATGGAAAATGCGATCGACGTGTTCGCGAGCGGCCACGTGCGGCTCGAGAATTTGCGGCTGCGTGTAACGACCCAACATCTCGTAGATGGATCCCACGACGTCCAGCATCTCCTCTTTACTTATTAGACCATCGCCGTCCAGGTCGTACAGTCCGAATACCCACTGTAACTTCTCTTCAACCGAGCCCCTCGACACCTTTGACAGTATGGTGAGGAATTCCTGTTCAGGAAGATTAAAATTTAGTTTAAAACTGTATTTTCCGAAAAGCTGAGAATGCATTCGGAAGATTCCATTCGATAAAAGTTTAGAGGGTTGTAGAAACACATGTCCGAGTTTCTCTAAAACGTTTGTCCGCAATATCGCTCACCTCGAAGCTTATCTTCCCCGATGGTTTCCTCTTCATGGTGTTGAAAACGTAGTGAGCATACTGACTTGCGTCTAAAACATATCATAATCAGAAAAAAATGATAATAATAATTCAAAAAAATCCATATGCAATTCCTTCTCAGCACAAAATTATAAAAAAAAAACTCGCGAAATATTTTAAAAAGTTAAAAATTGATGAGAAAATTATATAAAATAGAAATGCGAATATTTATCATCTCTACAATTTTTCAAATTAATTATCACGGAAACGCAACTATTAATAAGATCAATATTATATAATTTTCTTTATAAAAATAAAAATTAGCAAACGTGACGAAGAGGACACCCAGCAATCATTTTTCATCCTTATCGTCGTCGTTATCCCTTCATTACCTCCCTGCGGGAAGAACTGCGAAAAGATCTTTTTGAAGGCATCCTCGTCGACCAGGCCGCTCGGGCACTCCTGCTTGAAGCCCCGGTAGATCAGCTGGATCTCTTTCCGCGAGAACCTGGTGGTGGCCGCGAGAGTGGCGAGCTCCTCCGGTCTGTGTCGGCCGCCAAGGGCTACGGCGCCCCCGGAGCTCCCTAAAACGTCCCCGAGTCCTTCAAGTTCTCCTTCTGCAAGTTCGCAAACCTTTCACTCCTAAGACTGCGCCGCGTCTTCGAGATGCTCCCTCTCGCGTCCTTCGCCTCGTCAAAGCGTGCTCTAGGAGAGAAAGCCACCCTTCGCGCGAAGGGCTCCGGCGACCCCTTGACGCACGTGTGACGAGAGAAGGCGATTCCATTTATTTCTTCTTTTTTACTCGAGAGAGAAAGAGTTTTCTTACTTTTTTCTCTTTTCAAAAAAGTCATGACCCAAGCAACCTTTAAAAAAGGGTGACTCTACTCTAGGGGACCTATATAGTGCACAGACTTGCAGGCGGAGAGAAGTCGTGAGAAGCGAGAGACAACAGGGGTGAAGAAAGATCGCGGAGGTGGTTCGCATTATACGAGATCGCTCGTTTCTTTTTTCCAATTAAAAAATCTGTCAATTTTTAAACTAGTTCGTTGTAAAAAAGGCAAATTGAGAATTAATATGTTATAATCCAGATTTCGGGAAATATTGAAAGGAATAATTTAATATCGTATCATATTAAATTTCCTAATTAATTTGATATTCTTAATTTAAAAATTAATTTTTACGAGCGACCTTGTTTCTGCAATACGAATCATTGAAGAAGTTTGAGAAAGATTGTGAAAGAGCTCGAAGAAGAAGATTGCAAGATTACATTATTCAAATTCTGAGAGTGAGGAGAATCCATAGACACGACTTTATAGTGCTAGGAGAAGAAGTTTTGCTTCATAAAATTTAATACGTCTTACAATATAAGTGTAGGTTTTTCATTTTAATTGTAATATGTGCATATTTCTATAGATGTTAAAGAAAAAAGATATTTTATAAAAGTAATCAACAATGTATATATATAATAATTTGTATATAATTTTGTAGATGTAGACTATAAAAAAGACGCAACTTTATTCTTAATTTTTGTAAAAAAATTCTCAAGATAATATTAATTAACAAGTTGATAACTACGACGTTCAATATGCTAAACTACTAACTAGTCAAACAATAATAAAAGCTTGCTATTAAAGAGTTTAATATAATTCTATAAGAGAATTATGAACTTTTAAGCGTGGTACTCTACAATAATATATGATAGAAAAAATATCTCTAAGAACAGAAAATAATAAAGATTCTAGAAAAAGAATAAATAAATCTAAGAATCTAAAAAAAAGTTGACATTCAAGTGTTGAGAGATCTACTCAAGAGTTGAGAAATCCTAAAATCTAAATTTTTTAAATTTGGGTCAAAAGCTGTAAAAACAGACTAGTCTACTTAGCTAGTCAGTAATCTGAAAACTCGAGAGATTCAAGACAGCTCGAGGAATATAGGTGGAAATTTGTGTCGCAAATTCGTGTCACCTAATATGATTAATGATCATATGTCAGGAATCACTTTCTCCTCTTTCTGATAATGATCATATGTCAAGAATCACTTTCTTTCTCTAAAGGATCGCGACGTTTCGATCCCCATCTTTTAACGACGCATACTGCGACCATTAGCTCTGGTCCCGGGTATCCGGGGTTGCTATGGTTACGTTGCAGCTCCTACCCCGTACTTCCTGGCCATCCCTTCTTTTTTGCGAAAGCTGCGTGAATATATTCGCGAAGATAAAGCGCGGAAAGATTTTGCTGCTAAGATAAATTTTTCAGAGCACAGATTTCCTCCGTATAAAAACGTACCTATATTTTTACGTATGTTATTATATTTATGTAACAGCTAAAAAGTTAAAGAAAGTACAAAATTATAATCTTTCTTCTAATCTTTTAGTTATAATTTTTTATACTTTCTAATTTCTTGATTATTAACTGGCTTTATATTGAATACTATAATATATATCCTCTTATAATATATTTTAAATTTGCAAAATAGTACAGAAATGTAAGAGAATTTAAAAAGTTAAGTGTAGAGAGTGTGAGATAAAAAAAGAGAGAAGGAAGATAGATTAGGGATCTTTTTAAAAAGAAATAATACATATCGAAAATTTAATAATCTAAAAATCCTAGATACTCTAATGTTTTACAGAAAAAAGCTAAAATCTAGATAATTAAAAAATTTTTTTAGCTTTATAGAGTAATGTAAATAGATAGAGAAGCTAGCTAATTGAAGCAACTATTAGAAAAGTGAAAGTTTGAAAATCTCGAGAGAGCTATAAAAATTAATAGATCCAAAGATTATTTAAAATGTTAAAAAAATGTAAAAAAATGAAAAAATTAAAAGTTTAAAGATTTCAATTTCAGAATCTGGAAATACAATATTGCTGTAGAGATATATAAATATAGTACACCGATTAGAGCTAAAGGGGATGAAAGAGCAGCGGGCAATCTCGCGAATTTCGAAAGCCACGGTTATTTAAACGGTGAAAAAGTCCCAAAATCGATAGCAAGAAAATCTGAAAGTTTAGAGAAAGTGTGGTATCCAAGCATATCACCCGAGGAGGTATCCAAAGACTCGTACCAAGTCGAAAGATATGACCTTTGACACATTAACAGTCCTGGTGCGACAAGGGGTTGGACTCAGACCTACGCAAAAATTACCATTCACAGAACACGGGATTACTATGTACAAACGGACAAGACAGACAGACAGATAAACAGATCAGGCAACCCGTATCCATAGGGGCGAAAAGGGGGGAAGAGGGTGGAAAAGTGTATAAGAGAAGAAGAGAGAGAACCTATCACTGATCATCACACCTTGGTGCTGCATTCGGCAGTTATCACCCCCGGTTGTCGCTCCACTTGTCAACGACGCTCTCCGCTGAGTAGTCGATCGACTGGTCCAAGTATCAAAGTGGCTGTGCAAACGTCGAGTATAAAACGTTGAGTTTATCGAACGAATCACACACAAATACGAGCAAGGTATGAGGAAGAGCTTCGATCTCGCGCAGCAGCCTTTTCCTTTCTTTCTTTTTTCTTTTTACAGTCGTCCACGTCACCCGGACTTACTTTTGTCGCGGCTCTTACGCGCCTTCATCGGCCAGCAAGCCCGCACAACACTTCCTGCTCGGCCTCTCCTTGATATATTGGCGGCAGAACGGGATTATCGGGATTCGATTTCACCACCACTGATCTGCGCGACGCATTCCGAGACACACTTCCCGATGAGGAGCTCCGTTCATGCACGGAGAGAGAGAGCGGGGTGAGAGATCGCAACGCAGTTGCGGATGCTGCGCAAGAGGGATACTCGTCGTGGGCTGCTCTGTTGCTGATGCTGCTGCTACTGTTACTGGTAGCTACGGACACGCCGATGTCACACTGAAGCTGGGGGTTCGTCGGAAAAGCGTGTCGCACGTCGTTTTCTCAGCGCGCAAGTGCGACGATCTTCGACAGCTCTCGGTACTGACGGCTCAGTGGAAACTTCGAGTCACTTGGAAAAAAGTTTCGAGTTATCTCTTTAATGTTGTTATCAAAAACTCGGAACATTTGAAAAAATCTGGAAAAGTTATTAGCTCGAACAAAAGATATCCAGTGTTTTTCCCCAATAAAAGCATGTACTACATCTAGCTAAGTTAGAGAACAGGAATAAATATAGAAGAGTCTTTTTTTGACTTAACAAGATAGAATTGATTCCTCCCCATCGATTATAAAAGTTAAAAAATTATTTCAACCTTTTTGTGATTGCGAATTAAGCACATTAGAATTTTTCTAATTTTCAATGAGAGAATCAATAAGAAAAGATAGACAATAGAAAATAAAAATTACGGTTGAAATTAAAGTCGACGTCGAAGAAAGCAATTCTAAGTAGTTAACAGCTACGAAGGAAGTCTTGAAAGCCTTGAAAATAAAAGTCTTAAAACTCTTGAAAGTCTTTTTAAAAGTTACAGAAGCCTCGAAGCGTTAAAAGCTCTCAAGAGGCAATAAACATCGCACCAAGTATTCTATCTCACGAAGTAAAGTTGTGGAGCACAATGTTGCTACAAATTGTTTCACATAAATTTCAGGTTCATTAACGCGTCTTTTCAATCATAATTCTATTATTAAAGTAATTCTATTATTAAAGTCTGTCGTATGATACGTTACTATAGCTGACAAGTTGCTGACAAGTCATTTTAATTATTAACCGGTTCAATCTAAAAATAGATACTTCCCTATTTAGCCCGACAAATACGTCAAAGAAATATTAATATTTAACAAACAAATTATCAAATATGATTCTAATAATCGATCTAATAATGCGAATCATAAGAAAATAATAAAAGTTCTCTTTCCATCCCTTAAACTGAAAAGCTATCAAATTTAATTTAATTATTAAATCAATGATTTTTATAAAAAATTTAAATTTTATATTTTTTCGAAATTTACCAAAGTTTGTTTAAAATATCTATGTACAATATTTCTTTCCAGACGTTTGGTACATTAATTGTAAGAAGGTAAATCCCTGTACGACGGATCAATCGGATCCCTACAAAAATAGCAGATGGATTTATTAATTCACAACAGTCTCGCTTTTGCGTCACATGTGAGAATATAAAACGTCGATATCACCTGGAAATTATAATCTGTGTGCTAACAGTTACGATGTATATCGACTGTATTAGAAATAAATTAGAAATAAATTTCGACGATGTAAATGTATTTATATATCTCCCTAAATATTTAAATATTTAAATTTGCCAAATTTTTAAAATATTATTTTTACATCAATTAATCGATCCAATTTCTGCTTATCCCTCTTATCACGCCTATTTTTTTTGTTTGTCAGACGTATCGTAAACTTTTGTCACACAGTGTACATTCCTTTCAATCTCAAACTCGTCTAAATGTTTTACGAACTCTCGGCTTGAAGTTTGCGACTTTTTCTATGTAAACAAAGCGCGAGTCGATATGCAAAAGTAGCACGCGCGACAACCCGAGAATTCACTTGTGACGCAGTTTGTCGAAACATGTCGCTGTAATTAATATTTTTCATATAATTATTATATGAAAATGTATTATATTATGATTCTTTCTTTCTCTCCTCTGTTTCAATCTATCTCTCACTCAAAACTTTACTATCACAAATTAATTAAATTTTATAGAAGAATAATCACAAAAAACAGGTTCATCGGCTACTAATCAAGCTTGATTCTTTTTTCGAACACCACATAATCACCATAAATATAATTATATATCACCACAATATCATCATCATCATACGACTATGTACATCGATGAAAAATTTGGCAGACAACACAGTGGTGACAGAAAACGAAGCGGCAGAAGCTTTAATTACATGTGACAATCACTACTACTCGAAGTCATACCTTCATATATCTTCATATTTTGCTTTCTTCCCTTTCCAAATTCCAATTCTAGAGGTATTTTCGCGGTCGGGATTGGTGGCTCCGATCGAGGCAAATTCACCAAGGTGTCGATCAATAATATTTTGATTTCGCGAACCAACAAATCAATAGCTTCGCCGATTGGTCTGGATGGTAGCGTTCAATCGTGCCAATTTAATAGTGTCGTGGTCCTATCGCGAGGACCCACATTTTACGACGTTTCGCGCTAAAAGTCAGTCGGCTCGAATTCGAAATCCGTTTGGGTGAGCGACGAAGCAGACGAAATTCCGCCATACATAAGAGCATCATGAACGTCGGCGGTGATATCACGCAACTGTCCTACAAGGAGCTGCAGGCCCTGGCCCTGAGGTACCATATACCGGGTAACGTTAAGGTGAGCTGTCATCGTCATCGGTGATGACGTCGTCCCGGTCGAACGTTGTGTATCCTGTTCCTCGTCCATTTTAATCCTATCTTCTGTCATCTTCCGCATGCTCCGAACCAAGTATAGGATTAATCCAAATTTCATCGATCGCGCTCCGATCATGGTGATTGTAATTCAAAGGGTATGACATCTCTTCAACGACAGGCTGAAATGCTGGTAATTGAAGGATGAGACAAATTTCAGTCTAATTAACGGATACGACTTGGGAAGATACGGGAAACTCTAACCAAGATCTTGATTGCTCTTCAAATTATCGATGCAATGTCAGAATCGGCCTTGTCATCGAAAGGGAGATTGCGCTAATCGCGATTAACGGATTATTCGATCCGTGGCTATTTGAATGCTGTTGTTTGTCTTTATCTACTTGCTCCGAGTAGATATGAATACCGATGTAAAATAAATTGCTTTCATCTGGCAAACGGTTGAACAAATTTCCTCCCCTCTTCTGTATATCTTCACGATGTGAGAAGGTATGCGAAACTCTAACCAAGTTTAATCACATTCGTAATTGCAAAATTAATTACTCGCAAGTTTATTACGTCCCCGAAATATTAATCATCAGATTTTCAATTTCGACGAACATTATTTTACAATTTTCAATCCTCTCAGGGGTTTCATCCTTTTATTATGTATAACTGTCAAAAATGTATCAGCATGCGCAAAATTTCTTACAAATTCATACTTCTCGAAGATCTCTTCGTGTAAAAAAATGTATTCCTTTTTCATTTTTCGTGCATTCGATATTTTCACTTCATCAAGATCCTTCATTGCAGAAGAAAGCATTGATCAAAGTCCTCCAAGCCGCCAAAAGCGGAAATGAGGCGGAGTTCAGCCGACTACTGCAGGAATTGAGGAAGAGTCGTAAGAGAAAGACTAGGAAGTCGAAAGATTCCAGACTCGGGATAACATCGACGCCGTTGCACAGTCCAGATTATATGATGGCCGATGACGACTATTATTGCCAACAACAGCAACAGCAGTCTCAGCAACAGCCGCCTTATCAATGGGTAAGTTGCTACAAATTTCCATTTGCAATTCGATCGCATTCACTTGATTGTAATCGATCACATCGTGGCTCGAATCATATTCTCGACTTTTACAAAAGAGTAAAACAAATTTGCGTTATATTATCATACATTTTCGCAACACAGAAATTGAACGGTGATGATTGACTTCGGACAAAGTGCTTCCCGTTTTTGCAGATCGGCGCCGAGGAGGAGATCGTGAGCAAGGACGACGACACCAAGATCCCGCATTACGAGGAATTCAAGCAGTTCCTGCTCAAGAGAATTCAACGGGAGTTTCAGGCTTGCGACAACAACAACAACCAGGTGCAAGATTTGAGTATCATGGATTTGCGAACCACACCGATGCCGCCCAATTTGCAAACAATTCCTCTCGACGAGTCGAATTATCCCAAAGCAAATTTGATGAATCACATGGATCCTTTGGCGATCTCGTCAAACGACAGGCCGAGCTACGAGATTTTGAAGGAGCCCGAGAGCAGTTCGCAGGGCTCCTTTCTGCTGAAGAGAATGTTGCAGGCGCCAGTGGGTGCCAATTTAGGCGAGATCGCCAGCTCGCTCTTCTGGGCTAGCAATCTGTTGGATAATTCCGACACTCTGACTGCCGAATCGGAGAACAACGAGAACGAGAATCAGCTCGAGACCAATACCAATGAGTACTATGGCTTATTGAAAAACACTAGAAGCGAGTTTTTGTTAAACGAAGCGAATCTGATGTCTCAACAAGTTCCAAACGCGATGACCAACGATGATCAGTACAGGTTTCCCAACGACGTGGACAATCGGCCGAATTCTTATCAGAACTGGACGATCACCAGCGTGATGGAGGTGCCTGATACCGAGCTCCAGTCTTCCAAGGTGTATCACACGATCTACTATAACAATACAGATCCTGCCGTGGCTACCCCAAACGTAGACAACAATTTAACTTATCAATATCAGACTGATACCACCTACAACGGCAGCCAAAACTTCTTGAACTTTGACGCACAGGACCCTAATTACGGCACAGACATGATAGTTAATGAACCTAACGATATTTATTATCTGCAAAATTTTGGCAAACATAACGGGGAGATGGGAACAGGTTATTTCCGCAACGTGGATACTTTTGGACAGCAAAACAATGTGCAGCAAAATACTTATACGAACGATCAGCAGTATCAGTATCATTATCCTCGGTTTACTCAAGAGACGAGCAATTCATTGAACGAGAGACTGGATCAGCAGCAACACAATGTTGTGGCAGGGATGGAAAACGGCGTTAATCATGAAATTAATGCGACGAATATGCAGAGACCAGCATTTGGTGCGCGTTTGTTTCTATTAATTTTTCTCACTGTTATAAATAAATAATATAAATATAAAACGAGAGAGATAATATAAAATAAAATAAAAAACAATTTTTACATAAATATAAAATCACACACACATATATATATATATAAATTTTTCAACCGCGTGTTAGGAAGAGAATATATATGTATAAAATATTTTTGTTATCAATCACTTTCATAAATAATTTGTCTAAAAGCGGATTCCATTTCTGATGTTTTAATTAAGCGATATTTCGTCAATCAGGACCGATAGAGCCATTCTGGCCGAAGTGGAGCGCCGAGACCAGCAGCAATCTGGAGAATGTCCTGAACTACCAAGTGTCCAAGCAAGTGGATTACACCAAGTTGAGTCAGACGTCCTGCGTTTACTGCTACGTGGCCCCGATCGTGTCGCAACGATCTAGCTTGACGAACAGCGGCTGCTGCTCGGTGGAACGAAGATACACAGCTGAACAACGGCAGCACTCCTTCTCGCCTTACTGGATGTTGTACAACGATGCGTCGCAGGGTATGCGGATGACAAATATACCCAACGATTCATTTGTGCAACATGCGACGACGACGATGCACACGACCACCAGCAACGACATCCTGAAGGAGATGGTCGGCGACGTTCCCGAGGCTCCCATCAACGACGTGTGGATGAATCAATACGAGTCATCGTCAATCGGCGACGACATTACCGTCCCAATCTCGGATTCACTCTTTTGCAATGACATTTCGAGTGCGCCAACGAAGACTTAAAAAATTCTCAGTATTTATGACAATTAACAGACAATAAGTAGATTAAATTTTTGTGATAGGAATTAATAACGTTCTCTCTATAAGTCATAGAATGACGATAAAAGACTATTTTTTTCGGAACAACTAAGATTTTTTCAGCTGCGAAAGAATCTCTGGATCGTTGTTATTTCGACTCGGAATTGGGACAACCGAAGTTTCTTTCCTTCGCGAACCGCAATGATATTTAAGTAATTATTTTGCGAGACTGCCATTGGCACACGAGACCCCAATAACACGCTCTTCCACGTTTCTGTATTACTTCTAGTGAGTGATTATTTTGCCGACTTGAAACGACAATGATATACGAACACAGATCAATAACAGATGGAAAAGTGGAAGCTGAGTAATCGATTACTTAGGAGATAAATTACCGAATCTATCTCTGATCGTACATTTTTTCAGCTTCGAATTGTACTTTGGATACTTTATTTTGAACAAATATATAAACGCTTCAAGATTCTATATTTTAAAAGTAAAATAGAGGTAAATGCATTATATCATAGATCAGAGATAGATTGATAAAATACTTATATTAATTAAGTATGTGAAATATCATTTACGTAAAATATCTCGCAATATGAAGAGGATTACAATTTTTTTATACTAGAAAAAGAAAGAATTAGGACTTTTATATTATATATAGGATATTACATCCTATATATTATATAGAACATAGCAAGGTAAATAAATCATGAGAAAAATGAGAAAGAATTATATAGATAAAATTATTAATAAATAAATAATAGAAGATTCTTATATATATATATATATATATATATATATATATATATATATATACATATATATATATATATATACCTTTATAGTTAAAATATGCAGTGGAACTGCATAATATATTGTATATTAATGTATAATAAAAATAAAGTTCATGCATCAAAAAATCTACTAAGCGTGCATCTTATTTACATTTCTAGATTAATCATTATAAAATATATAAACAAATTAATTGGCAAAAATTAACGATAAAAATAAAATCTTACAAATTTATTACAAGCCCAATTTAAAGAAAAAACTGACAGAGACAAGATTAATTTGATGTAATAAACTTTTTCCGACTCACCCGATATGGAGTCTGACTGAAACTGCGAACGGATGTAGTTTTTTAGCTTCACAGAAATCGATTCCTTCCTTCGTCCTCCATATGTTCTAATTTCGCTGTCCATATCTCTCGAGTGTTTCTTCCGCTCCGAAGATCTTCCCGGGGTCACATGTACACTGTACATTTCCGCTAATCTGTCGTTGCTTTATCTGCTGATCCTTCACAGGGAAATAATTATATCTCATTAGATATGATATATAAAAAAAATACATATATAACAATCGCTATATATACAATCAATTAAAAAGTCCGCCTTTTAAAAATTTCAATTATTTTTACTAAAAATATTAAAAAATAAGCAGAAACAAAATTGGAGAAATTTTGAATCAATTTTAAAAATTCTAGAAATTCGTAAAATTAAATTTGTGCATCATCTTATATCTAATTAGGATCCTAGAAAATTTTATAAAATTATATAAATTATATTAATTTCTTTTTTTTAAAGCATGAATTCACAATAGAAAATAACTATATTCGTGATTTTACAGTATAAATTTTCATTAAAATTTCCAAAAAATTTAATTTACTTATTTGATTATGAGCGAGATGCGAAGCAGTTTGATTTTTCCGAATAAACTGCTATTTATATATTGTAACACTTTTCATTAAAATTCAAACAAATTTCACGCGTCTCTGGAAATACGAAAATTTTTTCTGCCTCAAGAGTAGAGAAGCTGAAATCAGTAGTGCGAGTCGGCGCACCGTTCGCGAAAGACTGTGCTTGAAATGCGTTAAAGGGAAGCAGGTAAATGCAGTAGCAGGCAGTCGCCTATGTATATGCATATACATGCCGAGATATGCATATACAACTCGATTGCAGTAGAGTCGCGCGCTTTTAATGAGGTACTTCATAACACCCGGCACTAATTATACGGGCTCAAATACTTTTCTCGTACCTTTCTACTATAAGAATGCAAAAGCTTGATTAATTGCCTAGTATCATAATTAATCGTAATCGGTAGATTTTTTTATATAAACGAAAATTATTATGTAATCTATAAATCTATAAATTATTTTGTATATAAGTTTTCGCAATAAAATTTGTTTCATAATTTAATTTTATTCTGTAGAAATAGATATTTATATTTGATCTATCAAAAAATGATATACTAATCTCAAAATATGTTAGTTGATCATCTAATTTTGAAAGAATATTAATTATTTTTCAAAGAGTAAGGAACAATCGCGCGGGATATATTTATTTCAATTGTTACAATAGCTCTTTTTTATTATGATTATCATAATTATTTATATTTGTATTATGATTACCATAATTAAATATATTTCAGTAAGTCTAAAATGGAAAAAAAGAAAAGTTAACTAAACTGTTGCCTTATTTCTCCAAGTAGCCCGAATCAATGTTCAATTCTCGACGACCGCTGGTTTCTGTGTTTCTTCAGGAAGTGGAACTGGAGGATATTTTCCGTCATACCAGTTTCCCTCCAAATCTAACGCACGATTATGATCGACGATATTCGCCAGACACTCCTCGATTGCTGCATCTACATTCTCTGCAGTGATAAATGTGGCAGCTTCCTCCTTAACTTTCCTGATCTCCTTGTCGATATTTTCCTTCTGCTGCTCTTTCTGCTTCTCTTTCTGTAGTAATGAATGCAGAATATGCTCCTTTTGTTTCTCTCTCATGTCCGTTAATCTGGCTTCCCGTATTTTTGCCACCTCTGCATTCCAATAGTCATTTATAGCGCTGCATGCCTGGAAATCCTCCTCTTCAGCTTGCTTGATAACTGCTTCGTCATGCTGTACTTCATTCTCTTTTGCAACTTTCCTCAAATGTGCCCTAAAATACATTTCATTGTTAATTTAAAACTATCAAAGTAAGAGTTATATTCAGAATTTTAAATATTTTATTAGTTAAAAATCCAAAAATGTAATAAGAGAAATAATTTCAGAATTGTAGAAACTATATTATTCATAAATACCTAAGCGATGTCATATATGTCCTATAATTATTATATAAACGTTGGAGTTCTTTGTGGTCCTCTATAGGTATGACAGGCCTCTTTGGTACTCGAAATACTTTGGATTTTGCTGTAGGCATCCAAATTGGTTTCCTTTTCCAGCGTACACACTGTGTGTAGATAGAATTTGGGATAAAAGTTTCGCAAAGTCCTGCAGTGCCTATTGTCAGGCTGCTGGCATTTATTATCCGCATGGTCTGCATGATATTTAGAACTGCAAAATATTCATTAATTGTTATGAAAATTATTACCATTAACACCAGTTATTTATCTATATATCATAGTATTATTTTATATAATACATAAATGATCAATTGTCATATTCATTTTTGCACTATCATTATTGTATATTAATAGATATCTAAAAATTTCTTTAAATAAAATTTAACACATGATTAATTAATAATTTAATATTGCAATAAATGCTTTATAACATATTTAAAATTAAAACATGAACAAGATGCAATACAATGTCTTCTAAAAGAACTTAACATAATAATACTGTGGCAATAACAATTAAATAATAAATTACCATAATATATGTCACCGTAAATTAATAAATCTTTTCTCGTTTCTTTTTTGCCTAAATCATTGACAAAATGATGTACATCGAGCATCCATGGAACCATTTACAATCATAGATAATATAAATGAATAGATAGCTAACTTCTGTATTTTTTGGAAACAGTTTTAAGCGTCACCTAGGTGAGTACGCGCGTTAACATTCAATATGGCCGCCTTATAATAGAATTTAAAAATAAAAAATTGCGTATCTTCGGTGCTTTTAATATTTATAAAAAAATTAAAAGAATCGAAATACAAATTAAACGTATTAATTTTATTATATATATTAAAAATACTAATATATAATATGTACAGTTAAGAGTTGAGACTCGCGACCTGTAACTGACAAATAATTATAAATTAATATAATATATATAATGTTCTTTCCTAAGTATATATAATTACAAAAATTATATAACAAATAAGCTAATGAGAAAGTTTCATTATTATTAAATATATTATTAAATATTAAAAGAATTTTTTTCAGTGGAGAGAAAATATGAACATAGCAGAAATATTTCTAATATAAAGAAATAATTACAATTTATAGAATATGTTTATTGAAAATGATCGTGTATAATGCGACATATCTATAATAATATACAACAAAAAATTTTCCGCAAAACACATTCGTTCGAGCTTCTTTTTCTCTCTCTCTTTCTTTCTCTCTTGTGTTTTTCTTTATTTTCTTTTTACTTTGAAACAATAATAGTGCTCACACTATATATTAATTATTCTAATTAATAATATTAATGCATATTTAATTATCCTCATCACCACGCGGTACGACAATATGCATTCAACATAAACACAGATAAATCTTATCTCAACAATCGTTCTAAAAGTATTATCGCCATACATATGGTTATTATATATCATTTTTTTCTTTACTTTTTTCTTTGTTATGATTTTTTACAAATATGTCTGAACGCCGTAGAAATCACTTAAAATATATCTGCATCGACGATAATCACAGATATTAATTTGTATCTATACAATCTTGTTCTTTTTTCCTCTTTATTACGCCATTTATGGATCAAACTTATTAATTGGTGCACTTTGTTAATTAAGATCCATTACAAATCGAATGGAATCGCGATGTAATATAATTTTACCTGCATATTATATTTAACGCGGAAATAATTATACGTAAAGATAATCATATCTCGTATCCGAGTGTTTCGAAAAATTTAACAGAGTATTAGTTGGCCAAAAACACTTCTCAACATTTCAACATTTTAATCATGTCATTAATTTTTATTGGTACATCACATTCTCTGTATTTTTGTCGAAACACTCACATTGAAATCTCATTATACTCATGTGTTATATATATTTTTAACACTATAACATTATATCGTCGGGATATCTTTGGCTTACACAGACAGTTTGTGCTGTTTGTCTCTTGGAGAAACATAAGTAAGGAGAAAAATCTATTTGATAATAAAATGTTCAATGAAGATATCACTGATTAATAAACATTTTATATAATTTTCGCCTCTATAAACTTTTTAATATTGAAGGGCTCTAGGCAGTATCATGCTAAACTTTGTTGATAAAAAAAATGTATGGAAAAATTATATTTAGCATAAAGATCAAAGATGATCTCTATTTATGATACTTTAACATCTCATTTATGATGCAAAATTTAAAAAGAGACTACGTTTATCCAATAGCAAAATTCACAAAATGTGCATTATAAACTGGCAGTCTTTTATATAAAAAGGGCGGCTATTGAAGATTTATATGCATCTATTATGGAAAAATATTACTATATATGGATCTATACTGTATAAACTACTTACATTTAAATATATTTAATCTCCTTATCGATGTGAATATTTGCGATTACTAAATGATAAATTAATTATTAAGCTAGCACTTAGCATGTCGATGAGCCCTTCAATTATTAGTTTAGGAGATTCCTATCGCATCATATAGTTCATATGATTTAATGCATGTATAAAAAAATGTGGCTTGTTTTAAAAATGCTTGTCTCTCCCGTTTTTTTATATACTACCAGGTCGTATCTAAGCGCTATAGGTGATAGGATTATCGTTAGAAGTTGTGAATTACGATTTAGAATGTTCATGGAATTTATAAGTTCGCAGAATCTTCGCAATCTTAGACTCCTAGATTTTCTCTCTTTTCTCACAGAAATATATATCGTAGAGCCTCAGTGTCTTGTTCTTGGATTTTTATATCCTTACAATCGTCGAAGTCTGAACTTTTTGGCTTCTTAGACCTATGAGTACCTCGAAATATTATATTGTAGTTGAATCTAGATTCTTAAATCAGCGGTAGTTTAGGTTCTTGAATCCACGCGTTTAGTCGCTCTGGAATTAAAAATACAGTCTTGTAAAAAATCCTAAGTTTTATATCTGTTCTTATATGTGTGAAAACGATGGCACATGTGTTTATAGCTTGGCTGTAAGCAAGAATCTCTTGTCGACAATATACTTGAGCTGTGTGTACATTTCATTGATCGATCAAAGGAAGGCATTATACATAGTGTACAGGATGTCTCATGATTAGCATATTATTTTCTTTTAATCATAAATTTCTCAATGAATCTTGAGAACAATTACAAAATTCATTATTAAAAAATAATATGATAGTCATTGGACAATTTCCATCAGAGTGCATATTTTCTCAAACTTATTTTTAGCTTAAACAGTAACGTTTAATTCTCGTTTTTTCATCTTAAATAAGTCTCCTTGAATCATGAAAAATTTATTTATTCGCAACACAAAGGCTTAATTACAACAAAACAGCAGCAAATATTATTGCATCGTAAATAAATTTCATCAAACATCTTTCTTTATCCTTCCTTTTTTCGTACACAATCAATTAAAATAAAATACATATATACTGAATATATATATATATATATATATATACAAGGTAGAGCAAAAATATCTTATCATCTCTGATAATTTTGAGATACCTTGTACATGCATATCATCCAATTTGGTCAATTCTCTCTTCTTTTCTTTCTCTATTTTCTTAAATCAGTTTCTTTGTATCCTATTATTAAATGTATATTATAATATTTTGTACGATTATATTTTAATAAAATAGCTGTGATAAAGAGTAGATATAATTATTCAACAAGTACTACGTTGTAATAGTAATAACATCCGGCGGTTGATCGACAGAGATATATAACTGAATCACATATACATATGAATTAAATTCCATTTATTTCTGAGACTTTGTTGCATCAATGTAATTTATATGTAACAAATTCTTAAAGTTCAGATTCTTAAAGTCTCATCCTGCCATCATAGAAGTTTTGAATTTTTTCTTAAATTTCATTTCCAGATCCTTTTAAATTTAATCTTTCAAAGAGATAATATAAATATAAGCATTCATTAATATACCACATGTATATGTTATTTTCTCAAATAGTTATTAATCATTCTCCTTCAACAATCGCAATAATAATAATAATAGTAATTAATATTAATAATATAATGTAATTAATAACCAAAAATTAAAAGATTTTATTTGACGAAACAAAGAGATAAAAAAGAAGAACAAGAATGTTCATTAAAACTTCAAAATCTCTATGTAAAATAGTTTTTGGTTATAAACTGTAAAACAGACAATAAACAAATTATATTCATTCGTAATAAACAAATAATTTTAACGTCACTGTACCAAATTTCTGCCAATGCTATATAATTATATATCTAAATTGTGATAAATACATTTTCTAAGTATAATATTCTCATAAATCATAAAAATGACACATGATATTTCTTCTATTTAAATTTAAATACCAAAAGTTTCATTGAAATATTATGACTGTATGTGAATAATTCTTAAAAATTATTTATATTTGCTACTTGGCAGAAATGTATTACTGTGTATTCAGAGAAAATCTCCCTACTGTATACATGTGCATAAAGATAATTCTTATATCCTAAGATGCTTACATCTTTAGATCTCTAGATCTTCCGACTTCAAGATTCCTGGAGTTTGAGATCCCTCAAGTCCAAGATTTCTGGATTCCTAGATCCTTGAACTTCTACATCGGGATTCTCAGATTCAGAATTAAATTTCATTAAAACTCAAAATCAAGATATTCTCCTCTCAAATTATACAATTATTAAACTTTAGAAGAGATTCATATGAATATCTATTTTTCTCTTTAAATCTAAAAATGATTAAAACACTTTTATTTTATATTTGTATCCAGGAATCCAGAAATGTAAGACTTTCTTTCTTGTCTGATATAAATATTGAGCTTAACATTTGCGATAAGTAATAATAAGTGTGTAGACAATAGTAGGTTTTACTTATCTTATAAAGCTAATCTCAAAGAACAGGGTCGTGACTATGTAACGGTTCCGAAACTGGTATCACTGAGCTTAGCGGAGGAATTTCCTCATTTCGCATTTCGTGTCTAGCAAAATAGAAGACCGTCAATCTATTTTATTCTGTTCCTTCGTCGGTGAGACACGTCGTATCGCCTCTCTCCGTAAAAAATTACATCTCGTAAATAAAAATAACGTTTCTTTCGCTTTTGTACGTTGATGGTAGTGCAAGGCCGTGGCACATGTTTTATTCTATAGCAGGGGTTCTCAAACCTGAAAAACTTTCAAAGCTCAAAGGAAAAAAGATAGAGATTAAAGAGAACGACGTTTCCAAAGAAAAAGAATTTTTAGCATACTTTTGAATGGCACCATAGAATAATTCAACAATATTCAAACCTATATCAAACTTATACAAATATCAAGTCTACAAAAAATCTAACATAATTAAAATTTCGTCCAGCACATACAAGCTCTGATCTAATTTGTTATACTAACTTATTTTTTAAGTTTTTAACCATCAGAGAGTAGTTGTAAATGTGATAAAATATTAGATTACATTATTATTATAGGATTCTTATAAATTAATCCTTGATAAGATTTAAAAAACATATATTTTATGTAAATGCAATGAATATATGCAATAAAAAATGTAATTTTTCGTTTCAGAAGTAAAAATTTGATACATTCAAATTCAAAGCATAAATTAGAAGTAAAAATTTGATACATTCAAATTAAAAGTATTAATTATTACATAAACCTAGAAACTTAAAATAAGACTTTAATCTTTTACTTTGCAATTTGAAAAGTCTCCACTTTATGTTATATACATATATGTCTAAAATTAAATGTAAGAAATAATAAATCATTTATGTGCACCAACATCTGTAACATGTAATTTGCATTGATCTTTCTCCTTTTCTTTTTAATTGTTTAACAAAGATTATTACTAAGAAAACTAAGAAAACAATTAATAAAGATGAAAGAACAGCTGTAAGTTTTACATTTGTACATTCTGCGATAAAATATACAAATATGTAAAATATATACATTTTTAGAATACATACAGGTATTCCATCTGTAGACCATCTGCAACGAGAATGCTAGAAAGTTTGGGAACCCCTGTCCTACACAGATTATTATATATCACGAGTTGTTAAATATATAAATAACTTCCGCAAGCTCTCTCCCTCTCTCTTTCTTTTCCAAGCTTTCTGGTCGAATTTCTTGTCTCAATCATTTGATCATTCCTGTCTGATGAATTTGGTTCATCTGACTTGTCCACTCGCTTTCCTAAGCTGAAATTTCTCGAATGAAGAAAACTTTTGTTGCACTTGTGCACTTCATTCAAATGCCTTTTTATACTTTCAAAATTCAAATTGATGAAATTATTCAATCGATCGTGGCCCATCAATAGGCATCGAGTGCAATACCTCGTCCAGTAATTGAAGTGCTCTATGTAAGTGCACCTAGGAAATAAATGTGATATTAAAATATGAAAAATAGAAATTTCAGAAGATATGTACAAAATTCGATGAACAAAACATCAATGAAAGTAACAAAAAAAAAAGCACTAATTAATTTTTTCTGGTTTTAATATTTAATTCTTTGTGCCTCTCTTTACAAATAGAAAATAATAAATAATAAGTAAAATATATTCTTACTACTGATATTTATGTTCTTATTAAATTGTATTAAAATTTTCCATTTTTCATTCATTTATATATAAAAGTAGATTTATAAAATAAAATTATAAAACAAACCTCAATCCAACAAGGTGTTTCTTTTATACTTTGTCGTGGATAATCTGGACCCCATCCCTTAACAAAACTCAAACGCAGGATGCAAAGTCTTCGCAAATCATCGACTCCAATTCCTGCAGCTGCGCTGATACCTGCAATAATTGTATTTTATTTATATACATTATATCACAAAAATATATTTAATTATACGTTATTAATCGTTAAAGAGAATATGCTCGCGTTTTTAGATTCTTAGATCAGGCATTACTTTTGGCGATAGGCCCTCCATGTGTAAGATGACCCGCGACGGCTGCGGCTTGGGCCGCTGCAGCAGCCTGAGCTGTAGCGGCTTGACCTCGCATTTGTTTGTGACACTGTCTCAGATCAAAGACCTTAATATATGCCGATGGATAAATTTTATGTACCGCATCGCCAGGTGCCCGACCCGCCTCTCTGTCCAGATAATAAGACTGTACAAAGACGCTATGCTCGCTTTGACATCTCAGCCAAACGTCTCCCTCGCCTCTTAGATCCAGAACAACGCCTTTCCCTAGATTTATTTTAATTAAGAATTTTTGCAATATTTTTTCCAACATTTGTCTGAAAATTACTATTAATATGAGAGTGATAATTACCTATATGAAGACGCGCTTTCTCGCTTTGTTCCGTTCTATGCACGTTGCTCAAGGCACCTAAACAGAATCTATTTCCGCCGCTCGGATCCACGTAGCCGTCCACGGTGACTGTGGGACAACTGCTGCTGACTTTAAATGTTTCTCCGACTTGAATGTCCAATTCGAAGTAACCCACGGAGCACCAGTATTCCGGCGCCGGTTGCGTGGAAAGCAATCCTCCGATATTTCCACTAATGTCGTTTCCATGACCTCCCCCTGTTTCATTCAAATATTAGTTTGGATTCTCAAAGCTATATTAGGTTCTTTTCAGCTGAACTAACACTGCACTAGTTCAAAGTTTATCTTTTTTACTCCATATCTGAATTAGTGCAGCCAGTTCAGCTGAAAAGAACAGACCTATTATTTAATTCCAAAGCAGGAAATTTTCTCGAGAGCTTAACGCAATCAACTTACAATATGACGCTGTATGAAGATGTCGAGGATCCGGCGGCTGCATACTTTGAGTGTACGTGAGAGTATTGGCGCCGGTCCACTGCGGTGCTCCGGAATTGTACGGTGCTGTTCCCACGGAGAATCCATTCGGATGATGAAGATGCACGGGCGAGACGGGTGAGCTCTGGCCCTCGCCTATTAAAGTAAAAAGAAAAGAAAAAATCGAGTGATCCAGTATAATGCAGAAAAATGTTGAAAAATTTCGTATAAAAAAAATTGGAAAATTCAGATTCGTTGTCCTTGTGGAATCTGTGTTCAAAAGGATATAGTGTTTCTCTGTGTTGATGTCTAATTGGCGAGTGCGCTATACACGTTTTATGTACCTAAAGATGCTGCTAGCGCGTCGACTGTAGGAGGTTGACTGATGTCTTGCGGGGGTGTGTTGGTGCCGTAGAACGTATCGGCGGTCGACTGTCCCTGCGCGGGACTCAGGATCTGCGCGCCAGACGTTCCGCTGGACGCGGCGTTCAGCGATTGTTGTTGGCTACCTACGGTGTGACTCATTGGATGTACTACTGCTGCAAAATCAAAATTCATACACGATGCAGGCAACATAAAATATTCAAAAGGCGCAAACGTTGCCCTCGCTGTAATCGTTTTAAACTATCCGTTCATGTGCAAACCGGTGTTTCCCAAAAAGGCGATGTTTCTAATTAATCTGATTTGCCAGGATATTAATCAAGTTTTTCGGTCTCTTGAATTCTTCATAGTCATAATTTCATTATCTCATTTTGAAATATGAAATATGTATTTGTAAATACAATAATAAAACGTCATTTAAAAATTCATTTCAGATAGCACGATACAAAAAAATCGTGTATAATTAATTTGGGAAACTCTGATCCGTCGATCTAAGAATCACAAAAATACATACTAGCAACACACTAGCAAAGGCTAATCAGCGACATGTAATTGAAAGCTTTTTGTATAATAAGGCTGTGTTACAATGAAATACGTACGATGATGCATGTTACGGCCTGCCGAGTGATGAGACGTGGGAATCCAGGTTTGCCTGGGGCAATTATTGTCGTCCAGTTTAGCGTGGGGATTACCATTATTGCCACTCCCACCGGCACTAAACATACCCTCAGTACTGGCTGTGCCGAACAATCAGAAGGAAAAGAAAACAATGAAGCCAAAAACAAAAAAAATCGAATTACGCAACAAAAGAAAGAAGATTGCGAAGCAAATTCTTGCCTGCTACAGTCTACATTTAATAGCAGTAACGAAAGCAGCTGGCTCATTAGCAATCAATTTTATAAATAATTAACAATCGCATATCGAGAGCGCCAAATTCATAACACGTATGTTTTAGCACAGTTGAAAATATGATGTCCACATAAATTTTCCTAGAATATAAACCATCATACATCGAATTTTTCTTTTATCAAATTAATAAAAGAAATTTAATAACAATCCCTTATATTAAGATAAAGATGTATTCACACGTATCAATGTTGCATCGATTCATTAAGGTATATCACTATCTATTGTGATCAGACATTAATTGCAGACAAATTTACACTGTGTAAAGCCATTTGATTGAAATTTTGAAAAAATAAAAGCTTCAGAACGAGATAAAATAATCTGACATTCAACTTACTTGGATTGGGAGCTGGTAAGCCTGGTATAAACCCTTGCTGGGCCTGTTGAGCGTTGTTCGAAGCGGTTGGTTGAGGAGCCGGTGGATGATGCTGGATCGTCTGATTCATTTCACCGTCCACGTCCATCGCGGATCCAACAGCGGCTGCGGCTGCTGCGGCAGCTGTACCTCCGCCGCCGACCGTGTACTCATCCTTGACCAATCTGCCACCGGGTCCCACACCGACGCCAGATTGCAAAGTGAGGCCGGACAGGTCTGTAAAGAACGGGTCTGTGCGGGGGAAACCAACCCATTCCATCAAGACATCAAAAAGACGACAACAATCAATAATTTGCCCTCTAGCATTCTCTGTATTCGTTAACCAACTCCAGGATGCATGATTTATTTTTATCCGGTTGAATAATTGTAATTCGATGAGAAACAATTTGAGAAATTATAAAAATTGTATGATAACGACACAAAAGCAAAAATAAAAAAATATTGCAGAAGAAAAGCAAAAAATAGATATACATGTGAGAGATATGAATATTAGACACATGAAAATAAATTATTATATACGAGATATCGCACATACCTATGCCAGGCGACACTACTCGTTCATAGTGATAAGGGTTCACACATACGGAATCGCATTTCAAATCGAAAGCGAACTGACAGTATTTCACATGTTTCAGTTCGTTCTTGTGCAAGTCCGGCCATCTCCAAATGCGAGCGTAAATTACATGTGGGAAACCCTTGCGTCCTGCCACTTGCAATCTGCCATCGAGAGTTCTCTGGATAGTTACACATTTGCTAGGATGTGCTCCATTAGTAGTTATTGCAGTGATCAAACTGTCCAATTCGTCGCGTTTCTCCTATTAAATAAATTTACATTAATTGTTATAATTTGAAATTGACAGAAAATTAGTAAAAATTGCAAACTGTATATAAGCATAATTTTTAAAACATAAAAATAGCGTTTTTAAATTTTATATACATTACAATATGTTAAAAACGTAGGCAACATATATATATATATATATATATATATATATATATATGAGATTTACTTTGAGCTTCTTCACTAGCGATTCAATTGCGCGTTTGCTGAAGCCTTCACTTTCACCACCTTGACGATGACACATCAATGAATGCACAATGCTCAAGCAAGCATCAGCACTGGTTGGTGCACTGGGTGCAATCCCCGTCATTTCTCTTACTGTATTTCAAATTACACATATATACATATAATACAAATATATAAATTAATTACATTAAATAAAATTCCTACATTTTTTTGATGACTTGAAATACAATAATCTTATTTTTAAACTTTTCTTTTTAGACAATATATCACATAAAGCTTAAAGAATCAAAGTCATAACAATTTATTAAATTAAGTGATTAAATACAGATAATAAATTATCGAATAAAATAAATAATAATAAATAGAAATATGCATAAAGTATGTATTATATAATAAATATATATGAAACAAGTATATTATTTGGATACTTACGTTCTGGATTGGGTTGCATGGGGGGCGAGGGATACAAATGACCTCCCCCGCCCGCCAATCCAACCATCTCTGTAAAAGCCGTGGTGGATACTGCCACTCTTCTTTTCTCAAATCAATAGTCTTTTTCTTGGACTTGGTAGAGTCCAATCTTTCACGCTCTATCATCTAGTGACAGTATTTCATCCATGCATCATGGTTTGCTTTCCTGCAAATTATACTATTTACTTATTCAATTAATTTTTGTCAAAAGCATAGCTTTCTAACAAATAAACCCAACTTTTTAACAGATAGATCAAATAAGCTTATCTACACTGCAACTTTGTAAAGACAATTATTTCATTTTGTAGTATTAAATAAATACAACAATTTACACTTTGTATCATTCAATTTTAAACCCATTTTATTTGATCTCTCTTAAATTATCTTTAATAGTCTTTAATACTCATTCAAAATAAATATACCAACCAACAATCTTGTACAGCAGAGGCAAACCTGCTTTTGTTTACAATCCTAACAATCAGTAGATTCTTTAATCGTTACCTCAATAACGCACGTGAATAAACCATCCAAAAATGAGGGAAAATAGCACGAGGAGGACTCACGTTTCCAGCAGAAGTGTGCAGACAAAAGAATCGGCAAGAATGAGTTTTAGGCTCGAGTTTAGCTCGCGGGAAACATGTAAGCTGGTGACGATGGGACATCGGCGACCTCGCCGCGCCGAGACAGCCTCTCGCGAACGAGTCGAGCTCCCACGACGGCGGGTGACGCACGATGACAGTTGCGCGCGAGGAGACGCTTGCGACTGTACGCGGTGAATCGGCGTCGCGGTGTATTGCGACGAATCCCTCAGAATTTCGAACGGGACGAGACGGCGCTCGCCACGTGCGCCACGCTCGATCACCGAACGCGACGCGCAACAGCGACGTTTGATACACTCGAAGGAATTTTCGCGACGAGTCGTTGCACCGCTCCCGCATAGGTTAGCGCATCAATAATACATATCCGCGGGGCGCGGATGGTGTCGCTGTGCGCAGGCTGACCAACCTTGCGTCGATCACGTTCAGGGCGGATTTGCAATTGCATTTCGCGAATGACAGTTAACAGCCTGCTCCCGTCCTCGCGTCTCATTGGACGATGCGGAACGGGTGGATGACATTTGGTGGGAATTTGCAGGCGCTAAAAATGTTATTATATATAATCAATAATAATTATATATAAAATTAATATATGAAAAATATATAAAATTTTGTGTATGTTGTGTATAATTTTATATATGAGATTTATTATATAATTATATATATAATTTTATATGCATATTAGCTGACTCTTATATTATATATAAAATTATATACATATTAGCCACAAATAAAATTATATATAATATTATATATAGCTTATACAGAATTTTGTATATTTCTATATAATTTTATATTGTTTTATATATTATATGATTAAATATAATAAAATAATTTTTTTAAGATTTGTAATTATAAATAGCATTTGACAAATTGACATTATAATTTTTTTCTTGTTTATAGTTAAGATTATAGATGAGTTAAAATAAAGAAATATATAGCGATTTGCTAGCATAAAATTGTACTTGATATTATACTCGTAATTTATGGCTGTTACATATAAGATAGGCATTGTTCTACTATAGAATTTGTTATCCTAATCTTATATTAATCGCATGCAAGAATATTATTTTTAAAAACATGACTCCGTTCAATGTCTTTCTGTTTAAGGCTTCATCTCAGAAATGGGGGTGTAACTCAGTGGTAGAGTGTCTGCTTCGCATGCTGAAAGTCCTGGGTTCAAATCCCAGCTCCTCCAAACCTTTATTTTTGATCTTTCTTTACATTTTAAACGTCAACGTGGTATATATAATTTGTACAAACTTTTCTTTTTATTAAAAAATGTTTGATGTTACTTTTGACATCAACGATCATGAAAATTCGCCTTTTCTATTTCATCTCTTTTCCTCTTTATTTTCTAGCCGGGATTTTTATTTAATTTCTGGCAAATCACATAAATATATAGTATAACATATAATATTATATAATAATAATAATATGATATACGAATTTATCATTTGGACAAGGTATAAAAATTTATTTAATATTTAAATTTGCAGTTTTTCGCGCCCTACTTGAGAAAAGCACGCGTCACGTGATCGATTTCCGCCAGCTATCCGATCAGTCCGCGTCGAGCGTCTCCCGGGGTAGTAATCGATCGCGATCGCTCCGCGGTTGTGTGACCTTTTCATCCCGCGAACAAGTAATTACGGACGGATAAGGACCGGAAGTGTCGAGATTAAGGACGGACGACCGTCTCGTGGTATATTAATCGCTCGCGACGAGTATGACCAGTCATTCTTTGCAGTCTCATTTCGGAGAACCACTGGAGGACTCCGACTCCGAAACTCCGAATCAGTAAATTCGCGGTACCTCGTCATCGTCATTATCGTCATCACCATCATCGGCTCATCCGACGAGTGTCATCCAACATCCGCAGCGGCCTCGAGGAGGGTCGAGGAACGGTGGAGAAAATCGCGACGATGGAATTTTTCATCGAGGATGAGGATCATCGCTTGAGATATTCCGCCATGACACTTTTTGAATCTTCGCCGGCCAGGCGTCTCCGCCAAATTCCGCGCTCGTCTCGGATTCCCGCTAGTTCGACCACTTCGAACGAGTTCCATATGGATTTTCCACGTTCCGAGTGTCATTCGGCGTCCGCTAGGTCGAGGAACATCGACGGGAACATCGAGGGATGGCTCGCCGCGAGGACGAATTTATTTTGGCGGGTAACGCGACGTCACGTGACGTGTGACGTTGCTTGAGATATTGAGATATGTCCACCATGACACTTTTGAAATTTTCCGGTACTGGTCATCTCGCGTCTCCTTTATCCGTCCCGGTCGAATTTCGTGTAGCGCCGAGTGTCGGGAGTGTCGAGTCCGATGACAGATGACGGGTTGTCATCTGTCACCTCGTTAATTCGTCGCGCGATTCTCGGTCTTCGCGATCCGGATACTTCGCGTCGCGATTGCGGGACTCCACCTCTGCAAAGTGCATGAAATCTCGCGTGCATAAAATCTCTGCTCATCTGTGACGTATTTGAGCATCGCGAGGACATGCAATGTCCGCAGAAGGAGCATCTGGAAGGGTGAATGCTCGGGATGGATTCATCGAAGTGAGAGATAACGAAAGTGGCACTGTGAGATATTCCGCCATGACCTTGAAACTTGTGGAGCTAATTCCCGTTAAATCATGGTCTTGTGTCTTCTTTCGATCCTTCCTCCGAATCGAATTTCGCGTGTAAACGTGTGTCGGGAGTGCCGAATCAATTAACGGGCTAATTAAATCCGTGTGATCGAATGTGCGCGAGTGATATCGATCGCTTTAAAGCGAATCGATCGAAAGAGTGTGTGTGTGTGATGTGTCCATTATGGGATTACGTCGTGGGATTCATCGTGGGATTCATCGAGGATCATCAACGGAGGCAGAGGATTGCTTAGCTATAATATCTTGAGGTGATTATGGTGAGTGTTAAACTAATATTTGGTATTTTTCGTTATTTTGAAAAATTTGTGTTAAAAATTATTTTTAAACTATTTTAAAAATAGCTAAATATATTCATGATTCATGATTCTTATACATATTCGATTATACTAACTAATAAGTAGTGCGCAATAAGTAGTCTTCAAGTATAAATCTGACGTAACTGTGAGACTTTAGGTGAATTCTCCTTTTCCAGAAAGCGTAATATATTTTCCATAACTGTAAAATAAAGAGGGAGAGATCTATTTAGAGAGATCTATTTATTAATTACATAGATTGAATCAGTTAGATTTTTGCAAAAATACATTTTATTTCACATGATTTCAAATAGGAGCTATTATATGTATATTATATTTGTTATCTTTATGTTACCTTTTTTATCATTGGAATCCATAAACATGCAAATGATAGAAAATCTTTTTAATTGACTTAAAGAATATAGTAGATGTGTGAGTAGCTCTGTGTCTTTTGGGGTGCAGAATTGTTGCTCGCAGCAATGCAAAATGAGACTCAACATTGTCGCATCCAATTTGTTGCCTATAACTGTAAATTATTTTCATTAAATAATTACTTGCAACACTCTAATACAATTTATATGCTATTTTATTTAATCTATAAAACATTAGAACATGATCTATGTGAACACACTTCTACTTTTACTGATTGTGAATTAAATAAGTGCTAAAATATTCAAGTATTAAAATAAATAGAAACTATTCTAATTGAAATAGTTATTAATAGAGATAAGCAAACCTTAAATTTTAAAAACAAATAATATATAATTTTAATATCTACAAATATATTATAATTAATATCACTTTATAAAACTTACTTTTATTTATGTCCTTGTATGCTATACATCTTAAAAGTTTCGCATGTAATTGTAAATTAGAATCATCCTTCAGGGATAGCCATAGACGTAAGAATTCATAAGGTGATTCAACGTTTTCCAATTTCTGAAAAAATATGTGTATCATATAAATTATATACTTTTATATAAATTATATATTAACAAGTTATATAAAATTTACATAATTATTAAATTATATAAATTAAATAATTGTTAAAATATATATAAATTATATAATTTTGTATAATTTGTATAATTATATAAAAATATATTTTATATATTTTTCTCATCCATTTTTAATTATACACTTTTCTCATATCTGAAATTTAAATAAATAATAAGATGCAATTTAATTCGACCAAAAACTGGCTATTCATTTATTGAAAATAAGTACACACTACGTTTCGACCCACATTGTGGTCCTTTTCAAGTGTTGTTCTTATTCAGCAATTAGAACAACACTTGAAAAAGACCACAATGTGGGTCGAAACGTAGTGTGTACTTATTTTCAATAAATGAATAGCCAGTTTTTGGTCGAATTAAATTGCATCTTATTATTTGTTAAAATTTTATCACTGGCGATCAACAATTAATTGTGAAGATTTTAAATTTAAATCATACTTGAAATTCCTCTAGGTTTTCGCTGTCTTTCTGATACTCATTAAACATAATTTTGCTCGGTGTTACGCTCCTTTTAATCTTGCTTTCGTTTTCAAGCGAACTTTTTTTATTCTTATCTAAATCTGATCTTTTCATTAGCGTATCTTTCTCTTCCTTGGGCGTCGTTTTTTTCTTTATTTCCATTCTTGTTTCGCTAGTGTCGGTACTTTTTCTCGGCTTCTCACATTCGTTAACTATCTGAATTTTATTCGGCGTTAAATTCGTTTTAGTTCTACTTTCTTTCCCAAGAGAGATTAATTCCTTGGTTTTATTTACACACGATTTCTTTGTCGATGTACTTTTCTCTTCTATCAGACTCGTTTTCTTCTTCGCTTCGCTCTTCTTCTCGTCAGGCTTGATAATTTTCTTCGGCATCTCGCTCACTTCGTCGCTCGAAAGTTCTTCGATGATAACAGTGGAGGGTTTTATTTTATTAGAAGAGATGCACGAAAAAATAGACTTTTCCAGTCTACCTTCTGCGCCGCGTTGTTTGTGAAATGACTCGCGGGCTATCGTAAAAATATCGTCACTCCTGAAAGCGTCTTCGAGATACGATTTTGGCGTTTTATTTCCACTGCCGAAATCCTTCGCAACAGGTGATAATTTATTGCCGCGCGTTGTTTTCCCGCTGCTTTTATTTACCGCTGCAGCTTTGTTACTGTCGGTTTCCACGCAATAACTCGCTTTTAAGTGCGGCTTCGTCGCAACACTTTGTGACGGGCCTGGCGCTCTGTCGCAATAACATATATCGTTGTTAACACGCTGTTTCGGACACTTGATGCCGTTCGTTTCCACAGTTCGCATCTCCGACTTCACTTCTCGCTTGGCCTTGCCTTCGTCGACACTGATATTTTCTTCTTCTTCGATGTTCATCCTGCGGAAATGTAATGGGAAAAAATGAACGACAGTAATACAATATTCAGACAGTAATATAATATTATATATCCGATATATAGTAAAAAAGTTTATCATTCGACAAACTATTGGAAATTAAAAATTAAATCAACCTTATTTTTCTCGATTTTTCACATGGTTTTCTCAGCTTGTTTACGCCGGAAATCGCCGTTTTGTTAGTCGGCTCCAGTTTTAAAACCGCTTCATAATCTGCCAAGGCCTATATGAGAACATGAGAAATTATACATCAGCTATTTATTATAAAATTATGAAACGCGCGTATTAGTTATAATGAAAAAAAAGAAATTCGATTAAAGTTTTCGTTGTGAATACTTTGGAGAACCTTGTATTTATTATGCCATAAACTTTGTATTTCTCGGCATTAAAATATTACGAATTATAAATTAATATGAACGTTTATGCGTGTAATTTTTATACCTCGTATGCCTTCTCGAGATGCTCCAAGGATAACGCTCGGCGAAGTAGCGCTTTGACATTTTTGTAATCCATGGTAAGCACCGTGTTGCAGTCGTTAAGCGCCTTCTCGTAACGTTTCAACTTTATAACTGAATGCAATATAAATTCAATGATCTTATTATATAATACAGAGTTAAGTAATATTTTAAAGAACTATTAAAATCGTGAAATAATCCCACATTTCTCGTAATACAATTTTATTTTAATTAAATTTTTTTATTGTCTAATAATTCAAGAAATCTTACATGGTTTTATTCAAAAATATTTAAAAGATACGAGAAAAATATGTACAATATAGGGACTATTAAAATCGCGAAATATCCCACATTTCTCGTAATACGATTTTATATATATTTTATTTTAATTTTTTATTATCTAATAATTCAAGAAATCTTATGGTTTTATTTAAAAATATTTAAACGATACAAGAAAAATATGTATAGGAACTATTAAAATCGCGAAATATCCTACATTTTTTGTAATACGATTTTATTTTAATTTGATTTTTTTATTATCTAATAATTGAAAAGATGAAGAGGTTTTATTTAAAAATATTTCAAAGATATAAGAAAAATATATGTAGGTTTCTCTTTTTATCACGTAATTATGTATCGTGTAATTATTAATTTAACAAAATGCATCTACTTACATGTCATTGCGCGATTGTTGTAAGCATTCAGATTCGATTCGATTTCGATACTAGCGTTGTAATGTCGAAGGGCTTCTTCGTAATCAGCTGCTTTGAAGGCTTCGTTCCCTTTTTCTCTCTCTTGCTCTGCTATTACGTTTATTTCCGTGCCGGTTAACGAAGCTGTCAATCGATTAAAATATTTAATATAAGACTTATCGCTTTAATTAATTATATCAAAATTTACAAGAGAGATCGATGCGAGAAAAATTCTATGAAGTTTAATTAGAGAAACGAAAAATGTGCAGGAATAATTCTATAGATTAAATAAATGCGCTATATAGATAGTTTTTCGTTCTTTTAATAATCGTCGAGGTTTAAAAAAAAAATTACAAACTTACATTTATTGACGGTCGCTTTATGCGTCATTCTATTCATTTTCTTCAGCTCCTTTTGCCGTTCTTGGATTCTCTTCATTTCGGCTTGTCGCTGCTCGTCCTGTAGGTCTATCCTGTTTATTTCCGTATCGACGTCGTATTTATCCCAAGCCGCGTAATCACACGAAGATATTCGTTTATTGGGCTGCTTTTTCTCGTTGTTCTTCGTCTTTTTGTCCTGCAAGTGTGACGCATGCATATTATAAACTTCAGTTTATATAACTTATTTACAATTTTCCATAAATCAGTCAGATATTTAGTATTGACAATTAATAAACATTTATAATTTTAAAAATAAATAAATTATTAATAAAATACAGCTGGGTAATACAGTTGGGTAAGTTAATGATTTTTTAAAACTAAGTTAAGTTAAAGTTAGTTGCTTATAAAATTAATTTAGTGAAGTTAAAAATTGCATGAACAAAAAATTAACTCAGTTAAAGTTAAGTTAAGATTAAATTAACTGAAGTTAAATCAAAAGTTAAGTTTTAAAAATATTACTTATATTAAATTAGAATTTTGTTTGTTAATTCTTTTAAAATATATAATAACAAATAACAAAGAAATTTTGATTTTTATATAGAAATATATTCTTTAGTAATTACAATTGATGACAAGTGAACATAATAATACTTTAATTTTTAACTTATTACTATAAAAAAATTTTTAACTTATTGTTAGGAAAAAAGTTAATTAGTTTAAGGTAAAACATAACTAGTTGAAGTTAAAAATTAATACATTTTAAATTAACTAAGCTAAGTTATTAACTCTTTAACTTTGTTTTAACTTTCAACTAATTAACTAGTTATCACCCAACCTTGATAAAATATAAATTACAATGTCGAAGAGAGGGAATATTTCAGTAAAATATATTTCTATAGTTTGACGAAGCTATATTATAATATAATGAATAATGATGTATACTTACAATATCCACTTTAATCTCTCGAATGTTCGGTTGTGCGGAGGAATCGTTGTTAAGGACGGTTTTGCCTTTGTCTAAATCCTTCTCGCGAGATTGCATCTCGCACGTCCAATTGCTGATATCGTCGTCGATTTCCTGCCGTTCATCCGCATTCAACATATTTCGTCTCAAAACTGGCTCCGCTTTTCTCAAAACAGCGCTTGTCGGCTTAATGCTAATAAGACGTTTCTCCGCGTGCTTTGTCAAATCTGGATATACACCTTCTTCGCCAGAACTGGTATTAAACCACGCACACACAGAGATATTTATGATAAATCGTTAATAAACATGCCGGAAAGTAACGGGTTTAATGGCGTTTTAAGCAGCAAGATTGCAAATCTCTTGCAAAGATTAAAAATCATCGATTTTTCTGTAATTATCATAATGTACCGAGGACTAGTCGAGAGAAATACTACCGCAAAATAGGAAGTTCTCGATGAAATTATTAATATTTCGCGCGTGCAAAACTTTTCGAGAGATCGCTCTCGCGAATCCGAATTATATAATGAATGCAAAAAAATGTTTAACACATCGGGGATACGTAAGCTAAAAGTAGCAATTAATCAGTATCAACCCTGATTATTCGAGAGACAGGAGAGAGTTCTGAAATCGTATCGTATTACGTTTCGAAAAAACTTACCGTAATATGAGAACAATTCGCTCCAGTGTTTTTCCATCGTTACATCCCGATATGAATTCGTACGAGAGATACTCGAGCGGTATGTTGTACCTCTCCAACAGAGAGGTTTTCTTCTCGGGTTTCTGCGCCACGCTAATTATATCTACCTCCTCGTTGCCCATGATAACGAATGCGGGGATCCGAAGATTGCACTGTAAATCGTTTGCGGTTTGCCTTCGTCGTTCTATGCGTTCGGCGGAGACAACAGTTGAGCGCAGCAATCGAACCGGATTTGTCCGATCTCCGAGGGCGAATGCCAATCGTCCAATTACTATGTATTCCTATACGGTTGTCTTTGCTGAAACGTGCTCTTTGATTCGTCAGGTTGCCACGGATACGCCGAGTTGTTGATTTTCTACACATCGAGTCACGCTTGTAACACTTTGCTTCGTAACGATCTACCTGAAATATAATTTGTTCATTAATTTGACACAGAAGAGAAAGAAATTGAATGATATATGCATTGAACAAAAAATTTGTTAACTTGACGAAACTTTTTAGTAGTATTTAAGTCAAATATACATTTTGTTAGATTTAATGTCATATTTATTTTAAAAATATTTTTATGTTTAATTAACAAAATATTTAGTTGAAAGGTTTAGTCAAGCTAACAATTTTTTTGTCAGTGTGCGGTTACCATATTTTTTGAGATAAAATAAAGGATAAATCTGAAAATTTTTTAGGACTTTGTTTCAATATGTTTCCAAATTAATTTGCGACCAAAAAAGTGGAGATCGATGAGCAAAAAAAATTATGTGACTGTCAGAAGTCTGTTACGTATTCTTATATAGTTTGAAACTGGGCAGTTATGTATCTGGATTCGGAAAGGATCGGATTTATTTTATTTTTCCCTAGAGAACTAATAAGAAATCTAGGGAAAAATAAAATTATTCCGATCTAAAACGTCTCCGAATAGATACAGATACATAATAACTGCTCTGATTCGATTATGTTAAAACAAATCCTTTCTTAAATAAGTTACGGATATAAAAGGTTCCATTGTTTTCGTACTAATTCTCATGTTAATATTACACATTAGACATTCAAACGTCAAATAAAAAATAAAGGACAAAATTAGTTTTGGATAAATGAATAAATTTAAAGGATTAAGTACTTGAAATAAAGATTCTCTAAACTAAAGAATGATCACCGTAATGATACATGTATCATTTAAGGATAAAAATACATAATTTCTTACGCAGATGTATTATCTTATTTTTATTCATAAAAATTAGAACATTATTTACTTCCAAATTCCAAACAAAGAAACGGATTAAACAGGGTGTCTAGCAGTCAGGGAAATCTGGAAAACCGCGGGTATTGTCGGGGAATTTTATAAATCTGGAATTGTCAGTGAAAAAGTTTGGAAATTTTACTATTTATCTGGATTTTTTCACATTCTACATTGTCTCAATAATTTGAAATTTTTTATTAAATAAATATAATCTTTTCCTTGACTTCTAGCACGCTAATTTTCTGTTATTAAAAATCGATTCATCTACAGCGTGTTCGTTAATTTATATTTTTATCGTCGCGTTATTTTATTTCAATATGTTTGATAGAGACAAAACTAAAAAAATTGATATAATATAAATAAAAAAGATGATTATTTAAATAATTTATAGTGACATGTTTGTTTCGATTATCGTACATGATGCAGATTGTATAATTGATTTAAATTTTTGTTTTTTTTAACTTCCGAACCTTTTCATTATTAACAAATATATCTCAAGGATTTCATGATTTAACATTGAATTGATTTATCATATAAATATATGCAAATCATATATTTGAAAAAAATAATATTAAAAAATCAGAGAAAAAATTAATTTCTGATCTTGGAAAATCTGAAAAAGTCAAGAAATTTTTTTCATTTAGTCTGCCGGACACTGTTAAAGTTACTGCCTGACTCTATATAATACACATCGAAGAATTGGAATTTTACTATAATTTTCGATTTTCTCCCTCCAAGTATATAATTTGATATTAAAAAAAAAACGATATATCCTATTCGCTCTACATTCTCGCGAAGAGACGCTGCATTAGAAATAATTCAACGTACACGTAATGCATACCCAAGGGAAATAAATTCGCACTTCCACCTTCGTCGACGTCGCGAGAGTGTAATGCACATCTCTCTCTCTCTCTCCCTTTTTCTCAGAGAACTCTCCCTCTCTCTCCTCTTTCCTCACGTGAACACGCGCTCGTGCACGCTTACCTGTTAACATGGCGGTCGGCTTGTAGCGCGTCGCAACGCGCAACAGTCCGCGGCGCACGAAAGAAGCGTGCAGTCGTCGTCGTCGCCGTCCTCGCCGCCGCCGTCGTGCCGGTCCAGAGCGAGCGCAGCCAAGTGCATATTAGACGAGGCGGCCGCGAGCGCCGCGCATTCGCCGGCGAGCGCTCGCTGAGAGTGGTGAGCACTCGCTCATTCTACTCTTTCCCTCCTTCTCTGTCTTTCGCGCGCGACCCGTTCGTTCGCCTCCCGTGCGAGTACGAATAAGTATACACGGTCCGAATTCACCGCGAAAACGCGAGTGATTTTTTCTCCGAAAGCTGAAAAAGATATTTCCTTTCGAGATTTCGGAATTCTACTTTTATGTGCACCGGCCATCGAGTTTTGTAGCTTGTAGAGTGCAAACTTTGATCGATAAGTTGTGAACATCGCGAAGTCTCGGAGTCTCATCGAAATGTGATCCTGAAATTGTAAACGTGAAGTAGTGCTTGACGCGTTAGGAGAGAGAGCTGCTGGCTTTCTTGTGTGCTTGAATTTTCAAACACTTGCCTCGATTTCACGTGCTATGGCAACTGAAGTACGATCGACGAGTTATAATCGATTTTTGTTTGTCGAACTACGATTGTCAGATTCCAATCATAATTGTGCAAGTGTCGATAATCGTTGATATATACATCAGGTAATTATTCTGAAAAGAAAAATTCGCCAAGAGATTTCGATTCGTCTTAATGAAGGATTAAAGATCGTCAGTTACTCTTTGAAGTCATGAATTGCAAAAGTTAATTTCTTTATTAATGCGCAACTTAATTAATCTTATTGTTAATTAATCTAATGCCGGCGTGCGCGATTCGTTTGAAGTGTCTTGGCGAATAAAAATGTATGATTTGATTCAAGAATTGTGTCGGCCTTCCTCGACGCGGATTAATGCAATCTGCGATTGTTGTCAATCGAACAGAATTAATTTATGCGAAAACTCCAGACACGTTAATTAAAATCGCATGCATATAAATGCGCAGATTTCGGTACGGATAAAGTAATTACGGATCGATTCTTGCAACGTTGATTAATTCCCACCGTAATTTTAATTGATTTTCTCTGTCCTTTCTAAATTATAATATTCATCGTAATGTACACAGATTGATAGACAATTTAATTGATTATCGTTAATCGATATCGGAATTAAACTGTGGTAGGAAATCTTTGAAAGTCGGAGAAAATCAATTTCGTTGAATAAACAACCGGTACATCTGCGTGTCATCTAGTATTTACACGTCGCAGAATGGCTACATGAGAAAACTGATACGCGGTTTCCGATTGCGCTCTTCTATCGCGAGCAACGAGTCAATTTCCACTTGCGTAGCTGATGAGTAGAAACATTCACCGTACGTGCCCAAACTTTGTTAGTTAGATATGCAGATGAGACTGAGGTCCAAAATAATATCTATATTCGATCTATATTTGATTCGATCGTAGTGATACTGAAATATTTGACATCGAATATATGACGTGAAATTAATCTCTTAGAAAATGTCAAGTGTTCGACAAAATAGAAAACTATTCCATTTGACATTTTATTCATTTAACGTGAATTTAATGTGATTTGATTTCATCTGACGTGAGATAATTTGAAATGACTTAATCTAATTCAATTTATTTTAAGAATGCAAAATGAGACAATTTTATAAAAGAAACATTGCACTTGTTCAAAATAGAATAGAATTTTATGTACTCTGTGAAATGTGGTGCAGTTAACGCTTATTTTTCTTAAGTATTCTTAATGCAGTCATTAATGACTTTATTTGTTGTCTTTTCGAAAAAGCTGAATTGCGATTTTTTCATGAATACGCTATCGCAATAAATATTGATATCGTTGAAACGTCTTATAATCACGTATCGTCGTTTCGGCAAAACTTGCTTACATTTACTGAATTTCTGAATGAAAAAAATACATAAGTTTGTTTTTGTTATATTTGTTCTTTAATTTTTTATTCGAATTTTTTCCAAATTCAATATGAATAAGTGAAATTATCAAAAGTTATTAATAATGAATTCAAGAGGAAAATTTATTATTTAATTTTATGATTCAAATTACAATTTACTCGATTCGTATTTGATTTAACACGTGTTACAATTTTAAGATCGCGCTTTGTTGTTCAACATTGTGACGAGTGTTTTGCGATAAGCTTGTTTAATACAAATCTCGCGTGAATAACAACGTCGTGGTGCGCCTTGAAAGATAATGAGATTTAATACACGATATACAGACAGAGCGTTATCTAATCTAGGTATTATTTAAAGTACAGCAGAGGCGCGAGAAAATGAGAAATAGCCAACTTTGCGAAGATTTCCGACGAGAAAAAATTTCTGAATTTTTCGCGCGTTTTTTCTTTTTATCTACTCGCATATTAATTATTGCTCTCCGTTAATTTTCGTGCCTCCTTCATTATGTTAAATGTTTCTTCTCATTACGTCAATCATTTCCCCGCTATGTTAATTGCTTTTCTCTCAATTACTTTCCCGTTACGCTATTTGCTCGTTTGTCACATTAATTTATGCTCAAAAACTCTTAACTTTAATTAAATATGTGTAGGATTCGACTTGGCGATATCAGACATATTCATGAAAAATATTGCAATTGCAAAAGTATTGTAAACTGAAAAATATATTTGTGAAATTACATGATTATGGTACTCATATATGTAATTTCATATGATATATATTCTTATATATTTCCAAGATTAAAAATATTTCATTGAACATGGAATTACACATAGGAAACGCTAATAATGTATATAAATGCTATAAAATAATGTTATTAACAAAATGGATAAATGCTTATAAAATAAAGTTCTAATAAAATAAAAATACTAAATTTAAAACTATTAATTGTTTTACATGTATTTTCACTTTAAAAAACATGGAAAAAAATTACGATGATAATCAAGTAATTTTTCCAATTTTGAACAAGTATAATTTCCATATTAAAAGTACATAGATTTTTTTCAGTGTACAAGAAGCATTATTTGTGCAATAGTTTCTTTACTACTTAGTTAATGATTTTACTCATCGAACGCAATATAAAGCTACGCTAGCGAAGAGAATAAAAAGAAAACAAATACTCCATAATTTCGTGGCAAACAATACTCGCGCTCGCGAGATGAATCAATCTCTTTTCTTTAATCAAACTCGCCGTCTCGAAACGTTAAAATTAGCTCGCGCAACACATCTCCGTAAACATAAAAAAGAAAACACGAAAAAAAAAAAAAAAAAAAAAAAAATATTAAAGCCCGCGCGTCGCCGCGGGGGATGCTCGCGCGCATCCTACTTTTCTCGCGGTCTGCCATCGTCGCTCGCGCGAGAGCAAGAAGCGAGAACACGCGTGCGAGAGAACTGGGGAGGAGGCGCGTGTGCGTACGTGCGCGTGCACGTCGTGCCTGTTCTTTTTTTCGTAATCGCGCCGACGTGTCGGCGGCGCCAAGCTAGAAGACGCGGAGGAAGGCCGACGACCCGTTATAAATGGAACCAGAGAGACGGCATTTCTCGAATCGCTGCTTGTGTTGTTATTCGCAGCCGCAGCGCAGAGCGTCGGGGACGGGACTCCGTGCGGAGCACGTTCGAAAGCGTTCCTCGCGCTTTCGAGGTGCGAACGAGGGGACCACCAGCTCCGTCATTCCGAGTCTCGCGAGCGTGCCTGTCAGGTTCGATGTCCGGAATAAGGCGGATATAAGCGGAGCAGCGGACGAAGGAAGGAAACCCGGGGAAAAATTGGAAAAAAAAGAGAGAGAGAAGAAAAATGCACACTCCTTTGCGCTCCTGTAACGAAGCGAACGACGCCCGATTAATATTCAAAGCGGCGAAATATATCGAAGATATCCGTTGAAGAACGGAGAAAGTTGACAGTTGCAAATTAGCTGAAATCCACTTATGAAATATAATCAAGTCGATGTTAACAAAGATTTTCTCTAACAAAAGTTCGCCGAGAATCTCGCTGGGAAGAAAGGAAAAGCGTGGCGAAAGGAGAGGAGTACAAACAGAACTGCGTCACGTAAGACTCGTCATCGTCAAAATAGCGTGAAATCCTGATAAGATAGCGGACGGTCGTTGATAAACAGTCGTCTGCGAGACACGAGCGAGACAGGTTGTGCGATCTCTAGACTGCAAGGACGCGCGAAGTGGGCGATTGCGACAATCAGCTGTTTTCCTCCGTCTGGATCGTCAACTTGAATCGCGGAGCTTTCGCAAGAATCGTCACGCACGCGCATACCGGAAAAGGGATTGCGTTACTCAATGAGCGTTTTTACGTAGCGTCATTAAAGATCACGTGCGAGGAAGAATCACACTCGAACGGAATTCGCCGACGTTACGTTCGTTCGTTCGTTCACCAATTACAAAACGCGAGAGAGGCAGTCTATTCATCAACCGCATTCACCATTTCTTCGCAGTCGGCGGGGATTAACGGAGAAGGTTTCAATTACCGTTGCCATTAATAGTTCCGCATCTAACCGCCGACGACTTCTTCGAATGATTAATTGATAACTGCAATTGAATACCTAGTCGAAGTGCGAGAAGAACGAGAGCGCAGCCTTTAAAACAGACTGATATTATATCTTCTCTGCTTATATTTCTCATCATTCTTTTTGCTCACATCGTTGACAGAAGATATTCAATAATTCTGGAATTTCATCGTCGAGGAATTAATTAATCAACAACTGAGTGGATCGAGCAACAATTTAATTATCGAGAATTGATCTATTAAGGATGAAATTTATATATAATGGGGCGTTTCGGAAATTAATAATTAACGACTGATAACTCCCGTAACTATATCGTATAATCATCGCGGAATCGAACAGTGATGACTCGAGTCGATTGATCGATCGATCGATATAATAATTAATTCCGTCGCGAGTGCCCGCACGTGCGTATTAAATAAGTGTCCTGACGAGGACCTGAATGTGAGTGCGGCGGTAAAGTGCAAAGTGGATGTAATTGGTGCATCCGCCGCTGAAGCGATGTGTGATGCCAGTCCGAATGACACTTAATCCACGCAGCTGATGACAAACGTAAACAGGATCAAGGTGGTCGTCCTCGGCGGCCCCAGAGTCGGCAAGTCAGGTGAATCTCCCTGCACTTTTTTATCTCATGCACTCTTGCTTCTGCTTTCAAAGATAATCCCTCGTTTGTTCCTATTCAACTTTAAATCATTATAACAGTTGGCAAATTTCTGTTTTTAACAGATATGTTCCAAACGGTCCACAGAAATTTTTGTGTTAATTTAATGCAGTATCTTAATCTTTTTGAAGTTATAGAATACTTTTGATTATAAGAAAAATTTGTGGAACACCAAAATCATTAAGATTATAAAGGTAATGACAGAAATATACATGAACATATTTTTTATTAAAAATTATACGCAGTACAAATTATGTGACAGTAAAAAATTTAAATTAAAAAAATATTCATAAAATAAAAAAAAATTATAGTAGTTTTCTGTGTAGGTATACCGTGATTTCATAATTTCGCAGAACACTTGTATCACGTTCGTGGAACACTAATGTTCCGTGGAACACCAATTAAGAACCACTGATTTAACGTAATATAGATATATGTTAAATGGAGACACAAATACTGTGTGTTAATATTTTAACTTAACACAAAATAAATACAAAATTCAAGTAATTTAAAATAAATTTTGTGTAAAATTAACATAATTTTAATGTAAAAATCAAAATTTTACTATTATCACTTGTATTATAAAAAGTCAACATTTTTTTCTGTAAATTTTAACAGATAAACCGTGTCACTAATAAAACAGAACATATTTATTGTGTAAAATTAAAAACAGATGCACATTGTGTTATTTTTACATATTTTTAAGCTGTTTTAATAATTTAACATTTAAGTTCAATTAACACAACAACAATATGTTAAATTAACACATAAAGTGTTAAAAATTTAATACAAAAATTTTAACGGGGACCGTTTTTAACAAAAAAATATTCCTACTGTATACCGTTCAGGATTTTGATAATAAAATTATGCATTAAGTAACCCAAATTAATAATTAATGTTGCGTAAAAGAATTTATTTTGTTAAGATGTAAATAAATATTATGATGGACTTGTGTTTCGCCGATCTCTTATACGATTCGCAAATAAGGAAAAGTTTAGCGCGTTGATTTCAAAATTCAACCGCAAAAAAAATATTTCCGCAGGATGTTTTCCAATATTAATTCGCGCGCTCGCTGACGAATAATAAATAAAGGCCCGACAAAAAATGGGAGAAAAAGATGGGGGAGGTCGCGATTATGGCGCAACGGCGTGAAATATTGAATCGCGTCGGAAGGACGTTCATTATGGTGGACGATACTAATATCGCGTCGCCGTATAGCGTATAATTTCTGTGCGTTGTCTAATAGCGCACCGACGCAACGCATTGAATGAAAGTGCCGTTAAGATGGATACGCATAGTCCGCGGAATAATACGTTGCATTAGTTAACCCGACAGTCGCGCGACGCATACAAAGCGAGCAAACGAACAGCGATAAGGCGGTTCGCCGACCTCGAATAAATCCTATTAATATAACCGCTAGGACCGACCACCTTAATAAAGAGAGAAGCGCAATTCTCTATTTTATTTTAGTTTCATTCTCATCTCTGATTCTCTCTTCTTCGCCTCTCCCTTCACAATTTTTCGCGTCTTTAAATTGCAATTGTTCTTCGAATTCTTGCAGTTCTTTCATGCAGTTGGAGATCTTTTTGATAGTGGCGATTAGATCTTATCAAGATCTTGCAAGAGAATTATGCTTCTGTATTTAGAACGTTTCTTAAATTATTTAAAAATATTAATGATGTGATTTTGAAGCTTTAATAATAATTTATTCCATTAAAATTTCTAAAGAGCGATTTATGTGATCATAAATGTATGTAACATAATTTTATAACATTAATGGAAATCTCTCTATTCACAAGATTGTTCTTAGATTTATAATAATTCCTAGAAATTCTTCGGTCATTTACACATCTTTGAATGGTCAATATCTGTCTACCTTTATATCCTCGGTATGTTATAATCTGACGTTCCTTTAAATTAAGATAATTTCTCTGCGTTAATATATTTAATCGCAGTTTGCTTCTGTATATTTGCTTGAACGTGATCGCGGTGAAACACGCGACAGTGTCGTCCCACTTTTTGCGACACGAAAACGGCGCATTCTCACGCGGCGGAGGGCTACCTCGACGGGAGAGAATCCTTAAAAGTCCTTCGTGGGATCCCGCTGGGTATAATAAGGACCTCCGTGAACGCGTTATCGGATATCGCCCTGCGAATGAACGGGGGTCGCGTCGCGCCACGAAAAATCCCGGTTGCGACAGCAGGTTGCGAGATCCGACATCCGATATATCCGTCCTGTTACTCTTGTGGCATTCGATTCTGGATTCCGAGTTTACGCAGCAACACGTACCTTCCTCCCTTATCGCGCCTTTGTCATTAATGACAATAATGACATATAAAAATTTTTTTTTATTTCATATTATTCTTTCTTAATTTTTTAAATTCAATTTTTTTTATTATTTTGTTATTTTAATATTTTATATTAAATAAAATTTTGATAAATATGCGATGATCCGAAAAAGAGAAGGCGTTCGCAGAGGCATTTGTCCCTCTCTTGGAATCATTAAAAAAATTAAGCATTTGCTCCCCTTTTGAATAAACACTGGAATTTATTTGTATAAATAAAATCAAATAACCAAAAATAAAATTAAAAAAATTAAAAAGAAAAAAAATTAATGCCTCCTCCTAGAAAAAATCTTGTGAACACCCATGTAGGGATATGCGAATAAGTAATTCGAGCTTGACAAAGAAATGAAGATACTGTTTAGAGAACTAGGAGGTTGTTTTTACTTCTTACGACAAAAAATTGAAATTTAATCTAATCGTAACTGAGGATATAAAAATACCAACAAGTTTGCATATTTCTGAGCGAATTTATATAAGATATTTTCTCAACTCGAGAAGTCGATTCTTCGCTCCCTAAAAATAACTGATGGCAAAGAATCATAAAAAGAATCGTAGTCGCACTTGTGAGAAACGCGAGATTGTTATCCATAGCCATTTATCTGCGTTAACGCTTATTGAGGAGACAATTGGAGGTCCGCTACCAAGAGCCGAGACGTGTTCATAAATTCATTTGGTCCTCAACGACTTGCCGTGTGTCACGAGAAAAGCAAACAGACGAAAAAAGTAGCTCGTAGAAGCTGCACTTTAACGAGTTTCTTTTCTGCACGATCAATCTGAGACTTTTATTACTTTTTTAATGTTTTAACGTTATAAAAATTAGGGACATAAAAAAAACATTACAATCAAATTACAATTTAGTCTCGTTTTCTATATTATATATATCCCGTTATCTCTTTGTTCCGAAAAAAATATTTGTATCTTCTTTTTTACATAATAAATAAAAAAATATATTTTTTATTGTAACACAAAAATGATGCTTAAAAATAATTGCATTCATAACGACTGAAAAGATTATATGCGGAAATTAGTCTCTGTAATACGGCACATAATATTAATTGGCCTATTCAATTACTCGATAATTTTGATAAATTACAGTAAAAAAGTTTGAGTTAAAACTCGCGTTGTCTTCAGTGTAGAAAGGAAATTTCTATAAGACACAAGAGAGGATGCGCTTGGTTGCTCGCATATCCCGATCCTTTTTTTTATCCTCATTTCCTTTTCTCTTTCCTTCTTTCTCTTTATCTCCCTTCTTATCCACGACGATAGTGGTCGTAATTACTATTTTCTTACGTTCACCAAGCGGCTTATCCTCCAACGATCTATCTATAGAATCTCGCGTTGGCAACCATCGCACGTCGGCGAATGGCACCGCGAATGATTGCGTTTTGCTCGTACCGTTGAATCCTCCACATTACACACAATTCTCCGCAGGTGACTTAATCGGCTGTCCCCCTTCTTACTCCTCTTTTTCATTCTCTTCTTCCTGTTCATTCTCCTCTTCCCGCGCTTTTTTTCCTTCCTCATTTTATGCGTGTGGCTACTTACGTAATCGAATTCCTTTCTCTTTTGGAGATTAATTGATACATTTTTGGATTTTTTTTTATTCATATCAAGGTGTCTAGGGAAATCTGGAAAACCGGGCATTGTCAGGGAATTTTATAAATCTGGAATTGTCAGTGAAAAAGTCTGGAAATTTTCTGAACTTTTTCACATCATTCTACATTTGTCTCAATAATTTGAAATTTTTTATTAAATAAATATAAATTTTTTCTTGACTCTCACACGCTATTTTCTGTGTTGTTAAAACTCGATTCATCTGCAGCGTGTTTGTTAATTTACATTTTCGTCGTGTTATTTTATTTTAATGTGTTTGATAGAGATAAAACTAAAAGATTTGATATAATATAAAAAAAAGTGATTATTTAGTTTCTTTTTTTTGTTTTAACTTCCGAACCTTTTTATTGTTGAGAAAAATATCTCGAGCATTTCATGATTTAACATTTGATTGATTTATCATATGCTAATTATATATTTGGAAAAAATAATACTAAAAAATCAGGGAAAAAATTAATTTCTGATCTTGGAAAACCTGAAAAAGTCAACATTTTTTTCATTGAGTCTGCTGGACACTCTGCTTACGTAATTGAATTCCTTTCTCTTTTGGAGATTAATTGATACATATTTGGGTTTTTTTTTTATTCATATGCTCCTATTAATTTTCTCCGGAGAGAAAACTTTTCTCGTATCCTTCGAGAGTCTTATCACCATCTTTTACACTCTGCACGTGAACCCTTCATTATTCTTATTCTTTATAAATATCGGGCCCATATTGTCGCACATTCGTCCGAGTTGACCCTACGAAGATAAGAACTTTATAAACGTCCTGCATCTGGCACGAGTGTCGGGTTTCCCTTACGTTTGGGCTTTAGGATGAAGAGAGAGAGGATGGAAGAGGAGGAAACGTGCTTTCATTTAGACTCAGGCGCTTGGCACAGATCACTGTTGGGACCATTAGGCATTACGAGCAACATTCTCGTGTCCACATCAATTATTCCGGTTCGCGCGGCGTGTATAGGATTACGCGTGACGTCGCCGGTTTGACGACAGTCATCTTTAAGGGAGAATGGGTCTCCACTCCATTACGAGGGTCTTTCTGCGTGGTACTAATGATTCACGATATCTTTGCGTGGACCGTTGAAAATTCAACCCGTCAGAAGATTCTAATTTTTTCTAATTGATTGATTGAAAATGCAGTTTAATTGTGATAGCGTGCCAGTTGATCTATTGTAATGACAGCTCGATCTTTATGTGCGAAATGTACAATAAAGAAAAGCGTGGAATTGTTTTCAAGATAAAATTTTTTGTTGTACGTATATGCTATATTTTTTTAATTATTATTATATATATATATTTATTATTATATTATTAAATATATTTTTTTAAATAAAGTTTTTGAGACAGATAATAATCCTTAAGGTTCGCCAGTAATAATTAATAAAAATCTTTGTTAATGACAGCTCGATCTTTATGTGCGAAATGTACAATAAAGAAAAGCGTGAAATTCAAGATAAAATTTTTTGTTGTACGTATATGCTATATTTTTTTAATATAATTATATATATTTTTATTATATTATTAAATATATTTTTTTTAATAAAGTTTTTCAGATATATTATTACATGCAATATTTTTAATGAATTAAAAATAAGAATATTTTTTTGGATGGATCAAATTTCATCGACTTTGCACGATCGCATGTTGAAAAGCACTGAAATATCCTCGGAAATATCGTTCAGCTGTGCGGAAATATTTCGCGAAGATATGTAGTTTATCTCTCAGCAAATAGTTCACGAATGAAGTTCTATATTCCTATATATTTCTGCTCGTGTCTCTACCTTTTCTCTCCTCTCATCGTGATATTTTCCTCTCCCTCTCATCGTCGTCGTCGTTGTTGTCGTCGTCGTCGACAGATTTATAAACGGTGTATGTACCAGTACGGAACGGCACGAATCTATGTACTCGATAAGTCTTGCGAGAATCGAACGACGACGACGATGACGACGATGCGAGAAACGTCGTCGACATGCTAAACCACGTTTCGCGTGCAACGAAATTTATGAAGCAAGAAATTTATCGGCAGCCCACGAGAGAGAACCCGTTCCGATATTTATGGTTTCTTTATTAACGGACACGTTAGTCCGAGATGAGTTAATAGCGTTTCAACACCTGCGCGCAAAGATGCGTTCGTTGATTAGAGACGCGTCTAAAAATAAATATTGTACATCCTTTAATGTCATTACTTATAATTACGATTCGATATACATGGACGTTTGCAGAGGGAGGCAATTCCCCCTTGGAATCAGTAAAAAATTAACAGGGTGTCTAGAACGGTCAGGGAAATCTGGAAAACCGGGCACTGTCAGGGAATTTTATAAATCTGGAATTGTCAGGGAAAAATCAGGAAATTTTACATTTATCTGAATTTTTTCACATTATTCTACATTTGTCTTAATAATTTGAAATTTTTTATTACATAAATATAAACTAATCGATTCGTCTACAGCGTGTAATTTATATTTTCATCGTCGTGTTATTTTATTTCAATGTGTTTGATAGAGACAAAACTAAAAAATTTGATATAATATTAAATTAAAAAAATGATTATTTACATAGTTTTTAGTGACATGTTTGTTTCGATTATCGTACATAATGCAGATAGTATAATTGATTTAAATATTTGTTTTAAATTCCGAACCTTTTAATTGTTAACAAAAATATCTCAACGATTTTATAATTTAACATTTAATTGATTTATCATATAGATATATGCAAATTATATATTTGGAAAAAATAATACTAAAGTGTCAGGAAAAAAATTAATTTCCGGTCTTCCGGAAGATCTGAAAAAATCAGGGAACTTTTTTTATTAAGTCTGCTGGACACCCTGGCTCTCTCCTTTGGAGTAAACGCTAAAATTTATTTGCATATTTCATTTAAAAAAATAAAATAAAAAGATAAATTCGAGATTATTTCTGAGAAACTAATCAATGTTTTTTCTTTTTTTTTTTGCAGCGGTGGTTGTGCGATACTTGACGAGGCGATACATCGGCGAGTACAGCTCGACCAGCGGTAAGTGTTTATTATCTCTTCTTTTCGTTTCCTTTTTAGAATAATTGGCAATATTAAGCGTGAGTAATTACATCCATTTGTTGGTAATTTCGAGGCATCGCTATTCAGAGAACAAATGACCTATCTAAGTTCTCCTTTCTCGCTTGCTATCGACTTATCTCTCGAGGGGCGGCGTCGATTCGCGCGCGCGAAATGCTTCACCCCAAGAGTACAAAATGCGAATCTAAATCTTGATCAGTTCTCCTTCGCGTGCTCCAACGGGCCGGCGATGGAAAAATCCGCCATGAAATATTCTCGCGCTTAAAACCGGACTCTAATTCAAGGGTATCCGCGAAAAATCTTAATCATGGCGCCTCGCGAGCGACGTCCCGAGGGCATTCTAGCGGTCACAGAAATATAAGCGAGCTATAAAGGGGTTGTGGGAGGGAAAAAGTAACAGCGGGACTTAGAAGGAGAGAAAGAGAGATGCAACAAACATAGCGCTGGACCCGTATGGAGGGCGGAGATTTAAACACTCGATATGAAATAGAGCCTATGGGGAGGGTCCGCAGAATGCAGATCTCTCCCATAACTCATGCAGGCTACTTCGCCATAATAATTGCCGTGCACGCCCGCGGACGTATAAGCTACGGCGAGTTTCGCGGATATCCGAGCTGCCTGGAAAAATTCTCCGTGAAGTATTGTCCCTTTAACCCTGAACCGCCGGCCACTTGTATTTTTGTAACACCTCTATGGTTGCGCTGCTTGTGCTCGCATCCCCGTTGTATCTGTTATTCGAGTATCGTATGCCTTTTTATCGTGCTAGTTGTAAGAATATTATCGTAACGATAATCGAAGAACGCTCGAAGCAAATGGAATTACGTAAAATCAGGGTTGGATAATTTAATGATTTTTTAAATTAAGTTAAGTTAAACTAAGTTAGTCGCTTATAAAATTAATCAAGTTAACACAAAATTTAGTCAAGTTAAAAGTTTTATGAACTAAAAATTAACTAAAATTAAATCAAAAATTAATTTTCACAAATATTATGTATATTAAATTAGAATTTTGTTTGTTGATTTTTTTAAATATATTGTTTGGTAATTATACAATTGATGACAAATGAACATAAAAATTAATAATACTTTAATTTAAAAATAATACGTTTATTAACTTATAAAAAACAATGGTATTCAGAGATAAAAAAATTTAACTTAGGAAAAAAGTTAATAAGTTTAAGATCAAAAATAACTAATTGAAGTTAAAAATTAATGCATTTTAAATTAACTAAGCTAAGTTAAAAATTATTTAGTTTTTAACTTTTAACTTATTAATTAGTTATTACTCAACCCTGAATCAATTTGATTATAAAAGACTATAAAGTTTTAAAATTAATTTGAATGGAAAATCGAATTATATTTTATCGAGCACTTTACTATACATACATATTTTTAGAAACATTTTCTGTAACTTCTGTTATTTTGATTTATATCGGCGTGTATTTTTTTTTAAATGAAATTTAATTATTAAAAATTTTTGAGAATTTAAATTAAATTAATATAAATATATGCAATTTGAACCTTTTTATATTTATAAGTCAATTTCTCCTTACCTTTCTCACAATTGCATTAAAGTAATATGCCGAAAGCTTTCCGATACAATAGCGCAATCATCGATTTATCGAATTTCTCTTGTGTATAACTGGCAGCCGGAATCAATCTTAATCTTGATCGATTTAACCGCGATCGATAATGCTGAACGAAAGTGGACGGGGTGCCAGCCTCTCTCTCTCTAACATCGGTATTAATTAATTTCCTGGGAAAATGATGGATAATCATTGTTGAACATAACCAGGAAGCGGATAATCTCGCGTGTCTCCCTCGACCGAGAAGGGGGATAATCGCTCAATCGATCCTTAAAGATGACTCTACGACGATCCGATCGCCGTTAATCGATAATCGATGAAAAATGATAAGAATGACAACGGATAAAAAAACGACGCAGACACGACAGCATATTACAGATATTAAACTGCTTTGTATAAAATAAACCGCGTCGAATGGTAAGGGCTATAAACGAGAGCACAGAAATTAATACCTCAATTATAATATAGATATCGAAGGATTTCTTTTTATATATAAAAAATTTTTTAAATACGCTTTACAGAATTTGCACAGTTACGTAAAATTTTGGAAAATTTGAAAAAAATATCGAGTCTTTGAATTTTTGACACTTGAGAATTTTAATGAAAATTGACTTAGAATGAGACAGTAAGTATTCATGGTACGCGATCGCGTGCAGTGGCACATTTTGTTTCTCTCTCGGCGCATCTCGTGTGAAACGAATCGAAAATGCGTCGACACTTCGTGCGACTCGTGCGCGGATTATCGCGTACACTTTCGTTCCCGCTCGTTGGAGAATTACTTTTCCGAAGAAAACGCCCTCAAACGGTGAAAGCGGGGCCATTGATTTTCTTCAGTTAAATGCGCGTAGGTGATGTGACGGACGTGATCGTGAAAAAAAATTCTCTTCGTTATCTTAATAGAAATTAATCTATTTTTATCATTCCAATCGTGTATGTGGATATATTAGTAAATGAAAAATTATTTATAAATTCCTATATACAGATTAGAGATCCAGCGATAGAATAAAGTGTATCAATTATAATTTTAATTAATTCTAAAATAAATTATTCTTTACAAATTTGAAAATTAACACAATTGTGGAGCAAGAAAATTTGTGAAACAACATTTGGAAATTATAATAATTTAAAAATATATCTAAATATGTATGTAGGTGGAAAAATCAAAGATCTATAAATTCAGACATTCAATGAACGATGACGAGTACTTTCGAAATACCAGTTATTACCGGCTTCCACATCGCACGACTTAAATTTGATCTCTCGACGAAAGATCGAGGATGATCTTCCTCGGCAATTTCGATTACAAGGCATTTGTACGAGCAAACCATCGTCGTTTTACGGGACTCTGAAATAATCGGTCCTTTTCATCTCTCGCCACGATGCAACACGCGCGCGCTTGTTATTATTTCGATCTCGATTAACAATGCAAATCTCTTCTTGCGTGGAATAATTCTAGGCAATGATTTTAGAAAGCGAATCTCGTTGCATTGTCGATCCGCTCACGGATGGGAACGTTTTGTCCGCAGATTGCATCTCGTGCATCCCGATAGAGATGAGTCTCTAAAGTGAAGTGACAGTTATATATCCAATTACATATTCGACGAAAGTGTGTCATAATCTTTCTTCTTTTTACGTCAGTTTTTATACATTTTCTTTTTTTTTTTTTTTTTTAGAAATTAAATTTTGTTCTCTTATCAAAGATTTCTCATCAAAGACATAACTTTCTATATCATATCCGATATGCAAATTTGTCTTGTATTTAGATTAGGTTGCATTTAGATTTCTATAGATTTTTGCCTAATTATATCTAAATATCCATTCGTTAAATTTGATCTTGTAAATTGTAAATTATCTCTCACCTACATCGCCCGATTTCTTCTTACACAAGCGTGGAAGAAATCTTCTTCACGTGTTTCATATATACGCAAAGATCAAATAATACATCTCACGGTCTTGCGAGCCTTTTCAGGGTGTCTGGCGGCCAGAGAAATTTGGAAAACCGGGCATTGTCAGGGAATTTTAGAAATCTAGAATTGTCAGGAAAAAGTCAGAAAATTTTATTATTTATCTGGATTTTTCACATTATATTCTATACATTTGTCTCAATAATTAAAATTTTTTATTAAATAAATATAAACTTTTTCTTAAGACTCCCAGCACGCTAATTTTTCTGTGTTAAAAAATCGATACATTCACAGCGTGTTCGTTAATTTATATTTTTATCGTCGTGTTATTTTATTTCAATGTGTTTGAGACAAAACTAAAAAGTTTGATATAATATAAATAAAAAAGGTGATTATTTAAATTGTTTATATAGTGACATGTTTGTTTCTCGATTATCGTAGTTAATTAATGCAGATTGTATAATTGATTTTTTTGTTTTTTAACTTCCGAACCTTTTCATTGTTGACAAAAATATCTCACGCATTTCATGATTTATCATATAGATATATGCAAATTATATATTTGGAAAAAATAATACTAAAGAGTCAGGGAAAAAAATTAATTTCTGGTCTTGGAAAATCTGAAAAAGTCAGGGAATTTTTTTCATTGAGTCTGCTGGACACCCTGCTTATTTTTCCGCACGCGGTGATATTTCTTCCACGAGAGGATGCAATGAATTTTCCGTCGCAACGCTTGGTCAAATCGTTTCTCCATCAGCATTGTCCGGCAATAAAACTTTCTCGAGCGTAACGGCAGCTAATATAACGAGCATCCTTATTTGCTTGTTTCTGCGCTTCTCCAGCTTTTCGCTCCCGACACTACAAGGTGTTTATGAGTTTATTTATCGTTTATTTATTACGTTTACCCTGGTAGAGCTACTGTGCTCGACGTGGTTTCGCATCTTCTCTCTCTTTCTTCTTTTTCCTCTTGATACGTGTACTTCTCTAATCAGCCTCTCCGATGAGGAATACGAGCTTTTCCTTTTTCATTTGTCCTGTGTGAGGTGTGAGCCAAAAATCGAAAAATTTCAGAAATATAAGAAGCGACAAATATATCGCGAAAAATTTCTCTCTTTCTTTCTTCAGAAATTTAAATATTTGGAGAATAAAATTGAAGGAAAAAATATGTAAAAATCTAAAAATTCAATTATTTCTTAAAATTAACTTTGTGAGCATTGAACATTTTAAATACGTATAACAAATATAACTAGTTATGTATGTAAATAATTTGAACGTATAATAATCCAAAATTGCGTCTTAAAAATTATCCACGAATATTTTTGATCGCAAATTTCCAGCAAAAGCCATGTGTCATTGTCAATAATAGTAATGACACAGCGGTGAATGTTAGCGTAACTAATTAGAATTGTCGTTACTAACTGCTCTGGCACTTTCTCACATTAGCCGCGTTTTCTATTCTTGGGAAAATGTCGCTCAAACTTTTCCAGAAGAGATCGTCTATAAATAATACCGATTAAGAGAGATTGTCGCTGTTTTCAATTTATTTCACGAGTCTTGTAAAATACTTTTATACTTATTAATTTACCAAAGGATAATATCATTATGTTCGAAATTCTATTATTTGTTGCAGATTTCCTCTACCGACACAGTGTTACTATTGACAATGTCACAACGGAAGTCGAGATACTTGATACCTCGAGGTGCGAGGTAAGTTTCAATAATAATCAATTTTGTCTAATAATTTTAATTATATCTTAATATGTGTTTATTAAATAAAATAATTTCTTTGAAATCTATTTTTTATGATTTTATTTTATCAAAGAATAAAATATATATTTTATCAGAAAATAAAATTATTTAAACTTTTCAAAAATTGTTTATAAAGAACATTTCAAAGAAATTAATTTAAAAATTTTTTAAATTCTTTCTCGGATAAAAATTAACCTAAAAGTGTAAGACTATAATTGTAGTCTCGTTAAACAATTCTACATAAACAAAAATTTTAAATTTTGCTGTAGAATAATTACACGGTATTCAAGATTATAAAGACATTCTCATTTTTTTTCACCATATTTTCACGGACAATAGCAAGTTGATTTGACAGATTGATTCGCTTGGCTAAATTATGTTTGCGTGCGTTCTCGTGACAAGGGTGATAAATAATGCATCGGTGCAACGGTATCCTGTGCAAATCTGTATCTTTTCGTGAGCCATTTTATTTTTGCGGTCTGCAAAAGATTCTGCGTATACTCTCGAGACGAATCCTCGCGACGCGTTCCGAGGCAGGACCCTTCAAAGACCCGGTCTAAATATATCTTCTTTCAACGGAGGCCTCCGTAGGGTTCCGTAGCCCTTAAGGCCCACGTCCATCATACGTTGGCGAAATAATGAGCGACTCGCGAATTGCAAAGGTGATAGTATTGCAAAGTGACTTCGAATCTTTAACACATACATCTTTCTATTATCCGCAAAATCGACGATTTAATCTACAAATAAGTAATTTAGTTCCGCGGTTTATAAAAATACTATAAAATTTACTAATAATACAATAATTTTTCTGTCAATTGTATATGTAGAAAATACTCGTTTTTAAAATAATAGAGCTCGCGTTTTATTGAAATATCTGTTGGTATTTAATTATGCGCGTGTAATTACACAATATACAATATATATATATATATATATATATATATATATATAATTTATATTTTTTAATATATATACTATAAACTTGGAGCATGTATATTTTTCAAACATGATACGTTGCTCGATAAAATGATATTTAACTTACAATTAGAATCTTTCGCGGACGATTGGTCACAGATCTACCTGACCTTTCCTAACCCGATTCTTCTATAATACGGTAACGAACCTTGAGCCGAACCGGAAATCCTACGCTGACCCGTTATAGTCGTATATTTGAATTGAATAACGATCGTCTTTAAATTCGAATCTAGGCGACTACAACCGCGACTATGCACGAACAACACGTGGCCTCACCTGTCGCGGTTATAATGCTCGTTGAAATTCCAGCGAGGTCGTATAGCATGTAGGATGAGGTATTGTTCTCCTTTTCCAAGGAATCACCGTCGCTAAATTCAAACGTAAACAGCGCAAATTCGTGCATTGATCAATTGATCTTATATATTAATTTTCAAAAAAATTTTCTATCTATTATAACAATAAATTCAAATTTAAAGTGTGTTTTATATATACAATTTTTTAAAACCATAAAGTTTTTTTTAAATTCCATATTTTAATCTATCTTTCCATGTTCTCAAAATTAAAAAGATTAAAGTTGCAATAATGTTTTACTAAATATTTAGAAAAATATCAAGTTTTTAAACTTTTGAAGTTTTAATTTACCAGTTTCAAATTTTTGAAAATGTAAGACTTCAGATCTTAAGTTTCTAAGGCCCAGATTATTCATGAGAAGGAAGTGTATTTTTAAAATTGTAATTGCCTTATAATTTGATAATAGCACGAAGAATAATATTACATATTACACATCAAGAGAATAAGTTGCAATTTGTTTTCGCGAGTTCCCCTCCGGCTCCGGTTTTGGTATTATGTATCCTTTCCCTCGATATAAACGGTGAGAAAGTTCATTCATAAAAGCATTTTCTGCATAAGTTCAAGTATTGCGAATCTCTGGCACCTTTTCAAGGCAGAACGATTTCATGCATTTATTATGTTAAATATTGTATTAAAGAGCAGACTTTTAAAATATGGTATATAATTTTATCATTACGTATTCGTAAAATATTTTACTATTATATAACATGAACAAGGTGTGTTTCTCTCTCTCTTTTTTTTTTTTTAACAACACGTATAATTTACACCGTCGAATAATCGTTTAATTTCTCGCTGGATAGGAATCGAAATATTTCAAACTTAAGAGTGGTTTCTTTCTTCCGGACAACCAGACGCATAATTCTCGCAGGGTGGTGATATTTTTAAGGATATTTTAAAGCGGATTTTTGAAAAGCCGCGCTTCTCACGGGCTGTTTACACGCACGTTATTACACCGACACCCGTTGGTTGTTCGGTAGCTCCGCAACGAGACTCGATCAGGCCCGGGTTGTTTTTAGCAAACTGGTTTTTCTACCCGCGGCTCACAATTACCGGCTTCCTTTTTTGCGCTGCTCCCCAAATGTTTGCACCTGTCGCTTAAAAGGCCGCGGATCCGCAGGATGGCACGCTAGATGCGAATCTTGGAATTCTACGATTTATTGGATTCCTCAATTTTCATCAATACTCAGATTATTAGATCTCTGAAATCTCTAGATCTCGCAAATCTAAATTTATATTTAGGTAATTAAAAACCCGTATTTTTGCATCAATAAGCTTTTGATTTTATAATTTATTTTTCAAGAGCTTTTTTAAAACTCAACTCTTTTTAGATTTAATTTCTACATATTTAATCACCATTAATCGATACTACACGCTTTAGTTATTTGTAAACAATGCTTGTCCATTTAGAGACTTGTATGTCAAACGCGTAAGAATGAATGCACCGTTATCATACGACAAAATAAGTAATCTATAACAGGAAGCGATGTTGGTGCTTTGTACGTGCATAAAATGATATTCTAAACGCTTTTTAAAAACATCTGATGATAATATATTTGTGTATTTATATAGGTATGCAAGCTTGAATTTTTGGGGAATTTTGTATTACTACAAATGAATAGGAATATTTCGAATTTTATCAATTTATGAAGAAAATTATGATTTAGGAATGTTGTTGGTGAGCAGGATCTAAAAAGATTGATATCGATGTGGATCAGTGTGGCAGTGGTCCAGGAAGTCGACATGACTTCGTGTAGAAGCGGATCGTTAAATACGCTATCAACTGGATATTCTTATCTAATTCTTCTGTACCAATATATCACGTCCGATATGTGAGGTTCCATTGTGCGAACGAGACTTTTAGGTCGATCCTCTTTACTCTCGGTAAATCTCCACGAAACAGCCCGGTATACGCCAGGATTAATCAATCCTCGACAACACGCTGTTTATCATGAGTACAACATTTACGAGCAATATATCGTTTTCATCTCGACATTTTTGTTACCAGATTACCTCGGTTATCAGTCACGTCCAACCTCAGTAAATCCGAAAGCTATTATTAAGGACTATTCATTATTATTGTTATTATTAAAGATTAAATTTTATTATGTACTGCGAAGAAAGTTTTTACTTGAGTGTATGTGTGTATTCTATAAAATGTCAATTTTCAAATATTTTATCATTTTTAAATTATGAAATTATCTCACTTTTAAATTACCAAAAGTTTTCGACTTTTTTAAAATCTTGGATTCTTTACTTCTGTTTTTACGTTCTTAGTGTGTGAGCTCTCAAATTACTAAAATTCTTAAATTATCGAGAAACCAAGTTCTCAAGTTCCTGAGAGAGGAAGACTTTAGATGACTGAGCTATCTGAACTATCTGAAAGTCGTGCAACGGATATTAGAACAAACAGTCGATAATTCGTCGCTAAACTAAGGCCTCAGCCGCGCTACTAAAATGCATAACGCATTGGATGTTCACGATGTAATCTTTCCAATTATCCCAACATTCCTCTCACTTTTACCGATATCTTTACCGCGATATTACATTCACCGAAGAAATTTAATGTTGTTAAGAGAAGCGGCGTAAATTCGCAGATATGTCCTGTATTTCGACCACAATACGATATATGCTATTAATATTATCGAATTAAAACTGTCTTTCTTATATAATCATATACAAATTAAAAAAAAAAATATATATATATAAATCTTTTTATCAAATTATAAAATATAATTGATAAGAGAGGACATATTTTTCTCGAAAAAAAAAGAATTAGTTACCATATAGCTAAATTTTAGCTATGGTAGCTAATTTTTTCCCGTGATATGTATACATATAAAAAAATCTAAATTTTTATTAACAATTTACATAAAAATTAGAGTTTAATTTACTTTTTCCGTAAACCCTAAGTTTTAATTTAGCGCGTTTCTTCTTTTTGTAACAAAATTTCCCAACTCGACGATAATTAATTTGCGTTGCACCGGACGCCGCGGTTTAAAGGGCACATAAGCCCCGCATTTAAACGCGCTCTAATCTACGGTATTATCCGTTTCCGACGTTATTCTACGTAACGTGCATCCCTGATATTCCGATACGCGACGGGCCGCACGAATGCGCAACGATACCGGGTGCGATCTACCGGCACTTTAAAGTGCACGAACCCATTGAGCGCACGTGGTCAACGTCCGCTCTTTCCGATTTTTCAGCTAGACACCCTGCACGTATACGCTCTCGTGTATAGCGGATACCGATCCTCCGGTCGCCGTTAAGATACGCCTGAAAATCGGCCGACCGTACAAATGTCCTTGGAGATAAGCGCCATGCAAGGCTGGCCATTGCAATCTGCATTCGCTAACAAGGAAGTGTGTCTCCATTTTTTACCGGTTTTTATTTATTATTACACGCATGATTTATTAAGTTTGTGTCCTTCCGCTTAATATTTTGAGATTTATTTTCGGGTATAATTAAGTAATTATTTTTCGGTCATGTATATATAAATTATTAATATAGGTCGAATTTGTAAAAAGTACGAAATAAGATAAGCAATCTTCGATTGAATTGATAGAGACACGTTTAAAGGATTTTTATTCAATGATCGATTTTCATTAAGTTGTATACTAAATTAACATAAA